GGGTGAAGGTGTGAATATGTTTAGTTCCAATGATACAAAGTGCTAATTCCAGTTTCTACCCGTGCTGGGTGGGGATGGGGATGATATATTGAGTTGTTAATTAGTGTAATGACTATACATTATCTATCTTTGTAATGAGACTCTCATACCCTCCTTCCCAGGCAGCAGTATCTCTCCTTTAAGGAGAGGGGGCTGTGTAATAAAAGTAAAGGCCCTGGGCAGCCCACGCTTGGCTCCTGCAGCCATTTTGCTTAGCCGGCATATATATTTCTACATCCACGAGTTCACTGCAAACGCTTCCTCCTTCTTGTGTGTTTGGGTGGAGTTAGTGCACACAGATCCTGCTTCTTAGCAAGGCACCGCTTGGTTTCTTCTAAATGTTCTGTTTTTTGCTATTTTTAATGCATGGATTTAATATTCTTATTAAACCAATATACATGTGTGAAATATTGAGAGAGGCTGTGGAAATTCAGAGTAAGCCCTGTGGCAGCTCACTGGTTTGTACAAATTTATTTTATTTTTGTCCGGGGATTGCATAAACCGCACAGGGGTGTGTGAGGCGAAGCCCACCATACACTTTATATGTCTCCATCCTGTGTTATTTAATTGCTATGCCATCCATTTCCCGCATGCTGCAGTATACATACATTTATGTAGCTCTTGTTAGAGAGAGGGCGTTACCCTGATTTCAGTCGGTGTATAGTTTTACTTCACACTATTTTACAATTCTATTCTCTGGCACAATACACGTTTGGTCGTTATGAAACCATTACTAAACCACAGTCATGTCTGACTTTATCAGGTCAGCTTTATGCAAACTACATTTCCCATGATGCTATATGCTGGCTGGGTGTTGTGGGAATGCAGTTTCCACACATCTGTGGTGAAACAGTCCGATAATATTTCTATTCTGCCCCAGTTGAAATTCGGACCGCTGACCCTGTCTGACATATATTCCTAGTCAAGACCTATGGCATCACACTTGCTGTCACCTTACCTAGAGGCCACTAGCCACAGAACCTGGATATGTGCTTCCTCCGGTAACTTGTAGGATTTAGGGGAAGCTACTCCCCCCATGTTTTGTGCATGGTCAATTAACATTTTGCCATTACACATGTTGGTTCCTAATCAAGCCCTGTCATTGCATTGTAAGTAACATGTGTTTCCTTGCAGCCATCGAGGCCTATTACAAAGTCAGGGAAGAGATTCAAACATAGCTCTATCTAAGATTTTTAAATGTAATGTCCGTTAACCTGGCAGAGGGTGTAAGGAGTTAGTACAAATGTCTATATGTCTCTGTATATATATTTTTATGATTTTAAAGCAGAACATGCAATTCATGAGAAGTGACCTGCAGTATATGAATTGATCTTGTGATACATGTCAATTTTATATCATCTTTTCTGGGGTCTCTAACTTTATTTATCATCCTTAGGCTCATGGGAGTCAAATGGCTTTGGGCCGGACCCAGAGATCGAGACTGTCACTGGCCGCACAGAAGAAAGTGTTCCTCTTAGCCCGTCTAATTCCCTCAACATCCGTCACCTGCGAGGATGTGAGAAGGACCCTGCAGCACGCCAGTATCAGCGACCCTCTTACCACCAAAACCACTATCCCCCACACCACCACTACCGCCCCTTCTACCCCAGCTACCACAGGAAAGGATATTGGGACTATGAGAGCCAGTATCGAGATGGGAAACGTAAGGAATGGGTTCCCAGGCCTGGAGGTGGACGTCCACAACGCCCCAGGAACCGTGAAGCCTTAAACTCCACAGTAGAATCATGTGCTGATACCCGGCCCGAGCAACCTGTTGGAGAGAAAGGGAAGACTGTTCAGGGGGGAGGAACTGGTCAGCCCTCTGCTCCAGTGAAAGAAGAGCAGACGGCAGGTAGCTGGTTGCTATTTAAGCCTCTGCCAGTTTTTCCTGTCGACAGTAGCAGTGCAAGGACACTGCCTAAAATTAGCTATGCCAGCAAGGTAAAAGAGAACTTGGATGGCAAAGGACTAGTGCCTAGCTCTGCACTTCGAACCTCTCACAGCTTACCCAACTGCCTTCTGAACACCGCACTCGAGGAGCCACACATTGATGGCACTTGCCCTGCACAGTCAACAGGATCCCTCTCCTCCTCCTCCTGCTCTTCACTCTCCTCTGCACCCCCTTCCCCAGTCAGCCAGGAGAACCTGGGTGCCATTTTCCAAAATGAATGGGGACTGTCTTTTATTAATGAACCTGGTGCTGGGCAGGCCTTGGCAGAAGAGGGCAAAACTCATGAGTGTCCCAGCGGAGGGGGGGAGGAGGGCGGTGGGAACGACAATCCTGCAGTACTGGCAGTTGGGCGGCTGTCAGTACATGGATTCTATGTGGATGGAGCCGAAGGTATCGAGGGCCAACTTGAGAATCCCCATGATTGGGAGGAAATGGTTACATATACCTCTCACGGTAAGCAAACGTTTTTTTCTGGCTCCTCCTAATTATGCATTTTAATCTTTTTATTAGTGAACTCAATTTTAAATTGAAACTCATAACTTGCTCGAAAGAGAGATCAGGCCAATAGCAGAATATTGTGTTGCTTTCTCAACATAGAGTACATTGACGCAAACTGCAATCATTTTGATTAATACAGCTCTTGCTCAGTAGGGCTGTGATGATTAGTGCCAATAGCGTGTTTCTCTGCCAGAACAAATCATCATGGGAAACCTGGTTAACTAGTACAACCGTGGTAAATGTGTGTGTTCAAATTCTGACTCTGTCTATCCTACTGTCCTGGGGTTAGAGTGCGCCAGGGTTTGGGGTGTGTTAGCAAATCCATGCATTCAGTTTCATTATGAATATGTTTCCTTTTCAGAATGGAATCGGGTGTGGAATCTTTACAAGAAAGGTAAGAGGAATGAATTTGCCACCACACAGGGCAGTGGGTTCTAGCAACAGCTGGAGAACAGACAAATTAACATCTGCATCTCTTTTATTCTAGATCCTTCGCGTGTAGTCATATATGCAGAGACAATGGATGGGAAAGGTTAATCGCTCAACAGGGGGTACAGAAAACGGCCATCCACAAACCTACATCCCCAGCTCACAGACCCCATTACCCCCGGCACACAAGTCCGCAGCGCGGGATTCAAGAAACTCCACAGAAATTGTGCCCCATGAGAGACCACGTTAATTCCTTCCTTGCTGGCTAATTGATCCAGATGGGATTAAAGTGGCATTTCTTGGAGAACTTGTCTTAACTATTAATGCCTTTTTTTTTGTTTTGCTTTTTATTTTGTTTATGGTGTTGTAACCGCTCTAGAACTAGAGGGTTAATCTCTACGCAGGTTTAGAAGCGTGTTAAGACTCTTCAGATTGGGTTGTCGCTTTGCCTGTGGCTGCTGACACTTGCTTGTCTGTTTTTTATTTTTTTAAATCCTTTCTTCTTTCTCTTCCCCCTAAAGGACCTTGTCCTGTCTGGATGCCTCCTGTGTGGGTACTTACTAAATGTGCCCACACGCATCTCATACAAGTTCTCTGCCCCGGAGAGGTTTAGCACTTGCTCCCCTTAATCTTTGATGATATTGGGGTGTGTGGCTTGGTGTATCTGTAGCAGGCAAGCTCTGGCCTCGCCTGAATAAGTATACATTGCGACCTACCCGTGTCTCAACAGGAGGGATAGTCTAGTAATCCCAAGTCCTGTTGGACTTTTTAATCTTTTTGTTTTTGTTTTTTTCTCCATTTTTTTTTTTCTTTTATCCACCCCAAATTGTGGCTGCAATACCAAACTGGCAATTGGTTTCCTGTCAGCTTGGAATTTATATGATTAAAGCAAGATCTGTTTTATTAACCTGTCAGAGTCTGATTTGCACAACTTACCAGTCGTTAAGGGGGTGGAGTGTCTTGCCTATAAATTCCCTGCCATCGTATGTTCTTTGCAAGAGTTTGTTTTTGTTTACCAGTTGAGGGGCTAGACTGTTGTCTACAGCATTTGAAGGGGAGCTTATGTGTTGGAAGATGTTGATGTGGATGAGTGAAATGGCTGCCAAATCCAGTGTGCTTTAGTCTACAAACATTGCTTGATTGGGGTCATATAAAAATGGTAATTTTTCCTGTGCTGCTATCAGTAAGTCTAAGGGGAATTTTTCACACACCACCAAACTGCGGCGGTTCCAAAGCTAAATATTAGCAAAAGACAATAGCTGATTTGGAAACCTTGTCAGACACCGGTTGGCTATTTTAGCTTAACATTTTCAGTTCAGTGTATAGTTATTATTATTATTATTATTATTATATAGCTTACAGTGGGTTTGACGAACAAACTTGTAGTTGTAACCAAACAAGTTACACACCGGAACAGAGGCGTTGAGGGCCCTGCTCAGTGAGCTTACATGTTAGAGGGAGTGGGGTATAGTGACACAGTAACAGAGGGATTGAGACCCTGCTCAGTGAGTTTACATGTTAGAGGGAGTGGGGTATAGTGACACAGTAACAGAGGGATTGAGGGCCCTGCTCAGTGAGCTTACATGTTACAGGCAGTGGGGTATAGTGACACAGTAACAGAGGGACTGAGGGCCCTGCTCAGTGAGTTTACATGTTAGAGAGAGTGGGGTATAGTGACACAGTAACAGAGGGATTGAAGGTCCTGCTCAGTGAGTTTACATGTTAGAGGGAGTGGGGTATAGTGACACAGTAACAGAGGGGTTGAGGGCCTGCTCAGTGAGGTTACATGTTATAGGGAGTGGGGTATAGTGACACAGTAACAGAGGGATTGAGGGCCCTGCTCAGTGAGTTTACATGTTAGAGGGAGTGGGGTATAGTGACACAGTAACAGAGGGATTGAGGGGCCTGCTCAGTGAGTTTACATGTTAGAGGGAGTGGGGTATAGTGACACAGTAACAGAGGGATTGAGAGCCCTGCTCAGTGAGTTTACATGTTAGAGGGAGTGGGGTATAGTGACACAGTAACAGAGGGATTGAGGGCCCTGCTCAGGGAGTTTACATGTTAGAGGGGGTGGGGTATAGTGACACAGTAACAGAGGGATTGAGGGCCTGCTCAGTGAGTTTACATGTTAGAGGGAGTGGGGTATAGTGACACAGTAACAGAGGGATTGAGGGCCTGCTCAGGGAGTTTACATGTTAGAGGGAGTGGGGTATAGTGACACAGTAACAGAGGGATTGAGGGCCTGCTCAGTGAGTTTACATGTTAGAGGGAGTGGGGTATAGTGACACAGTAACAGAGGGATTGAGGGCCTGCTCAGTGAGTTTACATGTTAGAGGGCGTGGGGTATAGTGACAGTAACAGAGGGATTGAGGGCCCTGCTCAGTGAGTTTACATGTTAGAGGGAGTGGTGTATAGTGACACAGTAACAGAGGGATTGAGGGCCTGCTCAGTGAGTTTACATGTTAGAGAGAGTGGGGTATAGTGACACAGGAACAGAGGGATTGAGGGCCTGCTCAGTGAGTTTACATGTTAGAGGGAGTGGGGTATAGTGACACAGTAACAGAGGGATTGAGGGCCCTGCTCAGTGAGTTTACATGTTAGAGGGAGTGGGGTATAGTGACACAGTAACAGAGGGATTGAGGGCCCTGCTCGGTGAGTTTACATGTTAGAGGGAGTGGGGTATAGTGACAGTAACAGAGGGATTGAGGGCCTGCTCAGTGAGTTTACATGCTAGAGGGAGTGGGGTAAAGTGACAACATAACGTGGTGTACCTTAGTGACAGAGCGTGACTGCTGTGGATTCATGGGACAATTTGTATAAATCTCACTTTTACACTTTTTTTATAAGAGTAATGACTTATCCAAACAGCGTTGCTTTTTCTGGTGCCTATTTTCTTCACTAATGAATCTTTAACAAAACCAAACTTAGCTGTGGTTCAGGGAGCAGGTCCTTAAATCTTGCATTGGAGAAGTCATTTTAAATCCCCTCTGTTCCCGTTCTGGGTATTGTAGAGACTTGACAGTTTTTCCAAATTGTATGCTCTTTCTGAACATGCGCAATAAGACTGACTACAACTCAATGTAACGCCTTAGTGACACGTCGTAAATGTGTTCCTTCAAGCACTTTAGACACAGAGCAGTTCAGCTTGCTGAAAATCCATTTGATGTCTGGTGTATGTCCTATTAGTAACAATTTCAGAATGGAGTCTGAAATGCCATCCTGGATGCCATTCACCCAGGAAACTTTACTTCCACTTCCATTAGCTCCCCTTCTTGGAAACATAGGAAAGCTGCTCACCTTCTCAATGAGAAGCCTCTGATAACTATTCCACTCACTCACTGTGTCTGTGTCAGGGAAAGAGAGGAGGACTTGTAAAGGCTGCAGACAGCAGGTGGACAAATTTGGGAAGCTGTTTTAACCTTAAATTAAAAAAAAAATAGAAGTGTTTTTCTTGGGGCTGTGGAGGGGTATATCAACTTATAGTTTAAATATTCATTTTCAAGGGACTGTTTTACTATTATAAACCTGAAGTACCAAAACCAATCTAGTCACACAGAAGTTTACCTATTTAGCCTCCATTCTCCGGTAAATTGTTTTTCTCAAACAATGGATTTCTGCAGTGTCTCCAATGCAAACCGCTGAATTTAAAATTGCTCAGTTGCATCTCCTGAGTGAAGCAATATCTCCCATATATACCTTTCTACATTATAAAGATATTACAGTGTCAAACTGGATGTCTGTCCATTTCATATTTCAAACTTACAATTTTGCTTATTGATTTATTAAACCAATGTCTAATTACAGGGCAGATCATCAGTGGTGCCCTCTTATGAATCCTATGTGGGTGTATTACAATTGCCTTTACATTGGAGAGTGCTAACTGCAGGGTAATGCCATGCACCTTACCATGATGAGGTGGCACAGCTTATTGAATAGGTAGCAGGAGTTGTACTTAGATCAAGGGTCATGCGTTCATGGTGTTACAACTCGCGCATTTATACGTTTCCTTCTGCTCAGGCTGCAATCTAGCTCAATTGTGTTTGAGTAGGGTGTCCAGGCTTCTGTGCCCTCTTCCCCCTTTTTTATTTTTCTTCTTTAACATTGGTGTTTGATTTCATTAGAGTGGGCCATGTCTATATAACACGTTTTCCATTAGAAGGGGCTCTGTCTGTGTAACACGTTTTCCATTAGAAGGGGCCCTGTCTGTGTAACACGTTTTCCATTAGAGTGGGCCCTGTCTGTGTAACACGTTTTCCATTAGAGTGGGCCCTGTCTGTGTAACACGTTTTCCATTAGAAGGGGCCCTGTCTGTGTAACACGTTTTCCATTAGAGGGGCCCTGTCTGTGTAACACGTTTTCCATTAGAAGGGGCCCTGTCTGTGTAACACGTTTTCCATTAGAGTGGGCCCTGTCTGTGTAACACGTTTTCCATTAGAGTGGGCCCTGTCTGTGTAACACGTTTTCCATTAGAAGGGGCCCTGTCTGTGTAACACGTTTTCCATTAGAGTGGGCCCTGTCTGTGTAACACGTTTTCCATTAGAGTGGGCCCTGTCTGTGTAACACGTTTTCCATTAGAGTGGGCCCTGTCTGTGTAACACGTTTTCCATTAGAAGGGACCCTGTCTGTGTAAAATGAAGGGCCAAATTGGTAACCATCTCAACGACGTACTTTCATAGCTTACACCAAAGTGGTGATGGGGGTAATATTTTGTTTTTATTACTAGTATCAGCTTGTGGACAGTATTTGGTTAAAAATCGGTTGTTACATTAAAAGAGAACTTTGTTAAAGCTGTGTGTGTGGCAGATAGGGAAGCGGAATGTTTAGAGCGGTCAGGTTTTCTAAATGTACCTTGGACATGAGTTACATTTTGTAATAGTTGGTACATAGTCAGCAAGCAATTAGAATAAGGCTTACAGCTATTGTAATCTTCCTACTCACAGACCTCTGTAATAAGCTGCACACAAGTAAGAATTACCCTGGAAGAATACATTTAAAAAGAAAAAGTGGGGGGCGGGGCCTAACCATCATGGCGACGAGACGTGTCTCTCAAGGGCTCCCGCTAAACTATAGCAATAAAGGCGATCTAAGACGGTACCCAGCGAAACGAACAACGATACCACACTCACATAAGCTCCCTGCCACAGAGGGTATGCAGTGGGAGGGTAAGAAACCCGCGCAAGATCTGCTGGTACCGCGACTGACAGTGCGGCCTAGCTCACAACGGGCGGGAGAGACGGCCGCTCTCCCGACCCAGAGATGCTCCGATGATACATACAATATGAGCAAGCCCCGTTACCCCCCCCTCTGGACCGGTGGGGGAGATCCCGGTCCACCCAGCGGAGATGACCCACGGCGAGCCAAAGCAACACAGGCCGCCTCGTGGGCAAAGCGAGAGCGTAGAGCTGCACTTAAGATGGCGGAAATTACAGAAGCTGAGAGCCCCACTGATGCTGCACAAGATGTCCTGGCGAGGATCCACAGACATTTTAAAAGGTTCTGGAAGCAGCTGGAGCGCAGGCTATATCCACCTGCCCCACCACACAGTACTGACCTTCCTGAGCAGACACTACAGCCAAACCGACGGTCAGCGGCCCAGCGCCATGGCACCCGATCAACGCCACCGAAGGCGAAGAAGCTTCGCTTCCCGCCGGGCCATCCACACACACAGCTCAGGCAAATCAATAAAAGCAAGCAGCACAGAGGAGATTCTTACGCGGCAACACAAAGTACAAAGCAGAAACTCTGGCGCAAGCGGCAATTCCTTGGTCCTAACCCGTTTGGAGAAAAGACCCTGCTGCAGCGCAGGGGATACCCTGTGAGGGAACCAAAACGTAATCCCTTAGACATCGTCAAGGCCCGGTGTGTGAAGCCCAGACCCTCCAGACGATCCAGTACGCACCAGCAAACACCAACTATACCGCCACTGGCAGCCCTGCATGAACTGTCTTCACATGGAAGCGTACAGCCCAGCCAGGGAATTGGTTGAATGACTGCTTGACTGTACTGGCATGCCAGGCTTACTGCCAGGGCAGATCACTCCTGCATTGCCAGTGCTGTATGGCTAACTGACCCAGTTCTCTTTGCCACCAGTTGATGCTTAAATGTTTTTGCTAGCTATGTCTTCTTTAACCTTTTTTCTTTTTTTTTATTAATTTTTTTTTTTTTTTTTTTTTTTTTTTTTTTTTTTTTTTTTTTTTTTTTTTTTTTTTTTTTTTTTTTTTTTTTTTTTTTTTTTTTTTTTTTTAACCTTCTTCTCACGCTGACATAGCTTTACATAAAGGCTCTTAAGCCATGCACCGTTATAATTGGAGTTTATCTTATAAATGCAAAGCCAGCATACGATCACACTTATAATGAGCCTCAACATTATACCTAACCTGTGTTACTGTAGATTAGATCTGTCTGCAGTGGATACAATGCTGACTTCGCATCTATATATAATTAAGACTAACAGTGTTGTCGCATTTAGCGTGGTTTACCATGTTTAAGCTGTCTCACCTTAAAAATCTAAAGCGACAGTAACAGATATTGATGCAAATGCTTATGATTAACCTTACGTTGCCACTCAATACGCACACCCATAAATAACACTTGATCTAACATAGACACTAGCATAGCATGTTAGGTCCTATAGGCATTTATGCTATTAGTTCAAGCTTTATTTTTTGTTGTTATTATGTCTAAGACCTGGATACCTCACCATAACGTGACCTACCAAGCGTTAACTCTAAGGCACTTATTCAGAGACATACCGGTTGCAAGCATGTTAACTTACAATGAGTGAAATAGCCTCTGGAGCAATAGGGCAAACAGCGAGTAACCTGTCCTTTTCTATCACAATAGTCGGCATGTTCCTGCTAGATCACTGTTTCCTCTCATAAGTGTAATTCTACGTGCCAGAGCAGTTAGGATGCTACAAGCATATACACTCGCGAATAGATTGTTATTGCATAGAGAAAACTACTTAATTTACCATACCTTTAAACAAAAAGTGCAAGTTTTTAAAGCCACTGTTTACTCTTACTATGTTACCATATTATTGAACGCTGTTGTGGCGCATGACTATACTCTGTACCCACCTGCACAATAAAAATAAAGAATTATAAAAAAAAAAAAGAAAAAGTGTAGAATAAGTGTTGCCATCTTAATCCATGAGTTTAACGGTGAAATAATTTCATTTCATTTTTTGGTTAAACTTTTCTGTTTTCCTTCGTCGCACTTTTGACAAATTCTAATTTTAGGGTCAGCCAACCTGACGGGTACCGTCCCAGTGTCATAATAAGTAAGAGTAGTCAGATTTGGGTGTTGCAGTCGACAGATCGTACAAGGAGCTGCATTAATAGTGTAATCGTGGATTCACCTTAAAACAATGCCAAGGTAAGGTATATTTAGAGATTGCAGTGGAATGCAGCTTACCTGATTTAGCCCCTCCTTGGGGCCAGGTACATACACCTTCATGTAATCGGTATCAACATGTAAGACAGCAGATCTTGATGTATTGCAGTCTTGCAAATTTCATCAGGATGTATTGGCGTCATCTCTGAGAGTTTCTAAAAACCGCCAAGGAAGAGTGTAGCGCCACTGCAGCATTGACCACAGCTGTCTTGAAGGAGCGGTCTTGTTTCCAGAGTCCTATATGCCTTGCATTGGATTGCAAAGGAAACCAATCCGTGTGTGTATGTGTTATATACCCTCCTTGTGAAAAGAGTCCAAAACTTGATAAGATGTGCCAGCACGAAGATTGAATACATTAAAAACAGAGCATCTATAAACGGATTTAATCAACGTAATTGCATTAAATGAAATCTGTATAGCATGATTTAGGCTCAAATGGCTTATTTTATTTACATTTTCTTACTCTATACACAACTTTTACGCTAGTCTATTTCAGCTATAATTCAGTTATTAGAGGGGAGGTCTGCAGTGGCTATGGTACTTGGAGTGTTCCATTGTTCCACTTTCATGGGGAATTTCACAGACCATTGGTGTCCTACTAGTGTACATAGAGTATTCTGCGGTTACTACCCGAGTACAATAGTACCCACTGTGGCGGAACCAACCTCGCCACTGTGCACTGGAAAAGCCTGGTTGCTCGCCTGCTCCCTTTAGATTATGGCCCTGCAGTTCAGAGCTGTTATTCTCCCTGCTGAAAGGTTTATTCGTGCCTTTCTGCCATGGTGTTCGGTAGATTCCATCTACCGAACGATGGACCATCTGGGAGCTGGAGTGTGCCGTCAATTGACCGCCCAGAAGCTGCGGTTAACCGCAGCTTAATTGATGAATGCTGGGTGGCCTTTGTTCGTCTGCCGAACACGTGGCAGCGGCCATTTTACCTCCCGAACGGCCAGCGGTGTTCAGCGCCCAAACTATGGAACTGAAAACGGACACTTATTGGCGCGAACACCGCTAAGCCGCCAGCCTCCTTACCTTCCCATTCGGTAAGCAGAACCGAATGACTGTTCATTCGGTAGTTTCGCCGGATGAACAGCATCCCTCAGATAGCTAATCCATGGAGCCTATTCGTGTAACGAAAGACTATGGGAAAGACTTTGGCTCCATGGCGATTGAACTGTATGTATGTGATCTGAGCGCCATTTGGTAGTAATGTGCGCTCAGATCTAAGCTATCTGGGGATATGTAGAATGTATATGTTTTAGGTAATAAATGTGACTGTATGTAATTTTATGTCTTTTACTGTATTGTTACTGCCATGAGGTTAATGGAGTTTTGCCTCTGTCCTGGGAGATAAGTGGATTACTTCCCCAATTATCTCCAGGACCGAGAGGAGGGATTGTGATGTAATTGTGGGAGTGTTTAAAGGTGTATGTCTGTGATTGGCTAAGAGCCAATATGTTTCCCAGTTTCTCATTTGGTCCCCTAGGGGAGTGTCCACCAGGTGGGAGACCTGCATAAAAGCCGGTCAGTTAGCCCCAGTAAACCAGATTCTGCTTGAACCTCAAACCGAAGTGTCGTCTCGTCTTTGGGGGGGATTTACTGTATGCTGTTAGAGACTGATTGCCAGGAGTGTAAGCTGCGTGGGGGCTTTTCCTGTTCGTCCGCTAACAGCTATTCGTGTGTCTCTAGTTCGGGAGTTTGGAACACTACTTGATATGCAGTTCGGGAGTTTCGAGTATTCCCTTGGTTGCAGTTCGGGAGTTGGTGAATTCGTGGGTTTGCAGTAGCTGTCTGTGCATCTGAAAAAGGGGAATATCGCCTAAACGGTTTTTAACCTCTTTTGGGCAAAACGGTCCGTTACACCCACATATAGAGTTTAGCGGGATTTTCGAGAAGTTATAGGGTCAAATTCTAGACATGCTTGTTACAAATTTCCAATTTTCATCAATTGTGTTCCGGGGACCATATCATTGACATGGGTCATATAATACGATTTCTGACCCTTGCTAAACCGAATAGCAACCCGAAAAGAACTGTTTAGTAAAATAGACCCAGGTAGAGTAATTGCTGTTAAATCATGAAGTAGCCAGCAATTGCAAGCACTGATGTTAGATGGGTCCACTGTCACCACAATCCCTGGGAGCCTGTTTGGGCTATTGGTAAACAGGGTCATAGGGGATATGCTGCAGTTGTGGTATGTACTCCTTAAATTGAGGTCCATGGCTGGCTGAGGTTGATAGGTATGTGGGTGCTGGGCCAGTAGTCTGTGCGGTCTGTGCCTTCTCATCACGATTTCTTTGATGCTTCACTACTGAGACAGCCAGAAATGGCCAAGTCCTAAAGAGACCCGATTTCTGGGTACACTTTTAATAGCTGTAGAATTGGGTACAACCACCATGAAGGGTATCAGTGGTGTGTAAAGGAGCTGTATTGTAAAGTACTGCGGAATACGTTGGTGCTCTATAAATACCAAAAATAATATCATCTCATCTTGCATCACGCCCTGATTATAGCACTGCTCACCAGGTACATCATGGTAGACTCTCCTCTTACATCACGTCCTGATTATAGCACTGGTCACTAGCTACGTCATGGCAGACTATTACGTCACACCATAATTATAGCGTTGGTCACCAGCTAGGTCATGGCCGACTCTCCTCTTACACCACGCCATAATTATAGTGCTGGTCACCAGGTACATCATGGTAGACTCTCCTCTTACATCACGTCCTGATTATAGTGCTGGTCACCAGCTACCTCATGGCCGACTCTCCTCTTACATCACGCCATGATTATAGCGCTGGTCACCAGCTACGTCACGGCAGGTTCTCCTCTTACATCATGCCCTAATTACAGCGCTGGTCACCAGCTACGTCGTGGCAGGCTCTGCTCTTACATCACCCCATGATTATAGCGCTGGTCACCAGGTACGTCACGGCAGCTCTTACATCACGCCATGATTATAACGCTGGTCACCAGGTACGTCACGGCAGACTCTTACATCACGCCTTGATTATAGCGCTGGTCACCAGGTACGTCATGGCAGCTCTTACATCATGCCTTGATTATAGCGCTGGCCACCAGGTACGTCACGGCAGACTTTCCTCTTACATCACCCCATGATTATAGCGCTGGTCACCAGGTACGTCACGGCAGGCTCTCCTCTTACATCGCGCCATGATTATAGCGCTGGTCACCAGCTACGTCACGGCATGCTCTCCTCTTACATCGCGCGATGATTATAGCACTGGTCACCAGCTACGTCACGGCAGGCTCTCCTCTCACATCGCGCCATGATTATAGCGCTGGTCACCAGCTACGTCACGGCAGGCTCTCCTCTCACATCGCGCCCTGATTATAGCGCTGGTCACCAGGTACGTCACGGCAGGCTCTCCTCTCACATCGCACGATGATTATAGCGCTGGTCACCAGGTATGTCACGGCAGGCTCTCCTCTTACATCGCGCCATGATTATAGCGCTGGTCACCAGGTACGTCACGGCAGGCTCTCCTCTTACATCCCCCCTGGATTATAGCGCTGGTCACCAGGTACGTCACAGCAGGCTCTCCTCTTACATCGCCCCATGATTATAGCGCTGATCACCACCTACGTCACGGCAGGCTCTCCTCTTACATCGCGCCATGATTATAGCGCTGGTCACCAGGTACGTCACGGCCGGCTCTCCTCTTACATCCCCCCTGGATTATAGCGCTGGTCACCAGGTACGTCACGCCATGATTGATTGTAGCGCTGGTCACCAGGTACGTCGCGCCATGATTGATTGTAGCGCTGGACACCAGGTACGTCGCGCCATGATTGATTGTAGCGCAGGTCACCAGGTACGTTGCGCCATGATTGATTATAGCGCTGGTCACCAGGTACGTCGCGCCATGATTACGTCGCGCCATGATTGTAGCGCTGGTCACCAGGTACGTCGCGCCATGATTGATTGTAGCGCTGGTCACCAGGTACGTCGCGCCATGATTGATTGTAGCTCTGGTCACCAGGTACATCGCGCCATGATTGATTGTAGCGCTGGTCACCAGGTACGTCGCGCCATGATTGATTGTAGCTCTGGTCACCAGGTACATCGCGCCATGATTGATTGTAGCGCTGGTCACCAGGTACGTCGCGCCATGATTGATTGTAGCTCTGGTCACCAGGTACATCGCGCCATGATTGATTGTAGCGCTGGTCACCAGGTACGCCGCGCCATGATTGATTGTAGCGCTGGTCACCAGGTACGCCGCGCCATGATTGATTGTAGCGCTGGTCACCAGGTACGTCGCGCCATGATTGATTGTAGCGCTGGTCACCAGGTACGTCGCGCCATGATTGATTGTAGCTCTGGTCACCAGGTACGTCGCGCCATGATTGATTGTAGCGCTGGTCACCAGGTACGTCGCGCCATGATTGATTGTAGCGCTGGTCACCAGGTACGTCGCGCCATGATTGATTGTAGCGCTGGTCACCAGGTACGTCGCGCCATGATTGATTGTAGCGCTGGTCACCAGGTACGTCGCGCCATGATTGATTGTAGCGCTGGTCACCAGGTACGCCGCGCCATGATTGATTGTAGCGCTGGTCACCAGGTACGCCGCGCCATGATTGATTGTAGCGCTGGTCACCAGGTACGTCGCGCCATGATTGATTGTAGCGCTGGTCACCAGGTACGTCGCGCCATGATTGATTGTAGCGCTGGTCACCAGGTACGTCGCGCCATGATTGATTGTAGCGCTGGTCACCAGGTACATCGCGCCATGATTGATTGTAGCTCTGGTCACCAGGTACGCCGCGCCATGATTGATTGTAGCGCTGGTCACCAGGTACGCCGCGCCATGATTGATTGTAGCGCTGGTCACCAGGTACGTCGCGCCATGATTGATTGTAGCGCTGGTCACCAGGTACGTCGCGCCATGATTGATTGTAGCGCTGGTCACCAGGTACGTCGCGCCATGATTGATTGTAGCGCTGGTCACCAGGTACGTCGCGCCATGATTGATTGTAGCGTTGGTCACCAGGTACGTCGCGCCATGATTGATTGTAGCTCTGGTCACCAGGTACGCCGCGCCATGATTGATTGTAGCTCTGGTCACCAGGTACGCCGCGCCATGATTGATTGTAGCTCTGGTCACCAGGTACGTCGCGCCATGATTGATTGTAGCGCTGGTCACCAGGTACGTCGCGCCATGATTGATTGTAGCGTTGGTCACCAGGTACGTCGCGCCATGATTGATTGTAGCGCTGGTCACCAGGTACGCCGCGCCATGATTGATTGTAGCGCTGGTCACCAGGTACGCCGCGCCATGATTGATTGTAGCGCTGGTCACCAGGTACGTCGCGCCATGATTGATTGTAGCGCTGGTCACCAGGTACGTCGCGCCATGATTGATTGTAGCTCTGGTCACCAGGTACATCGCGCCATGATTGATTGTAGCGCTGGTCACCAGGTACATCGCGCCATGATTGATTGTAGCTCTGGTCACCAGGTACGTCGCGCCATGATTGATTGTAGCGCTGGTCACCAGGTACGCCGCGGGTGGTACATCATGGAAGGCTGATTAATGCCCACGATACGGGGATTGCTCGCACGCAGTATGGGAATGGGGGATGATGACAGGCTGCCTTTGTTACTCCCTGATGTTTATCACACTGTTCAATGTTTTATAATATTTTATTGTAATGGCGGCTGTCTCACTGACTGATTGTTGGACTGCATTTCCCAGACTCCCAGGAAGCTGGCTGAGGGTGATGGGCCATCACGGCCTCTGCCTTTGGATAAAGGTCACTGAAACCCTAACAGCCATCAAAATGGCCCCAGGGCCCCCAGGGAGCGGCGGGCGGGGATGTGTGTCGCACACTGGGGTTGCCGTGGTAACGGCGGGGCACGTGACCGCGTGGCTGTGGTGACGTCGCAGCGCCATTTTGTGGGTCTGTCCTCGCGGACGACACTTCCGGTGCGGCGGCGGCGGCCGTTGGAGACGATCTCCGACCGGAAACTGCTTCCCTAACTGAAATGGGAGGGGCCGAGTTTCAAACTGCGGAAGGGGCGGAGCTATAGACCAAATGGTAACTATAGAAAAATGAAATCAGTGAACTGTGACCGTCCCAGAATCCTCTGCGGCAGCCATTCTCTGTCCCCCCCCCCGTGTACCCAGATACATCTATTACCATCATAATGGGCGGGCGGGAGTTATTACTGTGTGTGACTGGCGGGGGGGGGGAGTTATTACCGTGTGTGTCTGGCATTGGGGGGAGTTGGTTACTGTGTGTGACTGGCGGGGGGAGCTATTACTGTGTGTGACCGCGGGGGAAGTACACCGTGTGTGTCTGGCAGGGGGAGTTATTACCGTGTGTGTCTGTACTGGGTGGGGAGTTATTACCGTGTGTGTCTGGCAGGGGGGGGAGTTACTACCGTGTGTGTCTGGCAGGGGAGTTATTACCGTGTGTGTCTGCAGGGGGAGGGGGAGTTATTACCGCGTGTGTCTGGTATCAGGGGCGGGGGTTTATTACCGCGTGTGTCTACGGGAGTTATTACCGCGGTGTGTCTGCTGGGGGAGGGGGAGCATACTGGCAGGTGTGTCTGGTAGGGGGAGGGGGGAGTTATTACCGCGGTGTGTCTGGCAGGGGGAGGGGAGTTATTACCGTGGTGTGTCTGGCAGGGGGGAGGGGAGCATACCGTGGTGTGTCTGGCAGGCTTATTTTCACCGGTGTGTCTGGTGCATTGGGGAGTATTACCGCGTGTGTCTGGCAGGGGGGAGTTATTACCGTAGGTGTCCATGGGAGTTATTACCGCGTGTGTCTATGGGGAGTTATTACCGCGGTGTAGTTCATGGGAGTTATTACCGTAGGTGGTCTGGTAGGGGAGTTATTACCATGTGTGTCCATGGGGAGGGGTTACTACTATGTGTCTGGGGGAGCATACTATGTGTAAGTTCATGGGTGAGTTTGTGAAGAATCATCCTCAATTCATTCAACTATTTCCCTCCCTGCTATTGTATTAGTGAGATGTATTACCTGTATTACTAGTGTATTCGTTATTTTCTATGTGTCCAAATCCCTTGTTAGGTAAAATAGCTATTTTACCGAACGAGGACCACCCTGGGTAGCAATTAGAACTTAGAATCGTGTGAAACCGCAAGTTAATTGAGAGTTCCTGGGTGGCCGCCATTTTGGGAGCCGAACACGTGGTGAAGAACAATGGATGGCGGCCATCTTAAACTCCCGAACGGCCAGTCAGCGGGATTTAGGCGTCGAGCGCCTGGAACTATTTTCGGCATGAACCGGTCCCGCCTGACTTATTTCCACGAACGGCGTTCGGGAAATTCAAACTACCGAATGAGGGGAACACTTTGCACGATGTCTCTACATCCTAACCCTGGTAGTTTTCATGTAAATTGATGCAAACGGAGACCGGCTCTTAGCCCCAATTTCATGGAACTCCAAATCGGATACCAGCATGCAGTGAGCCGGTCAAACTTCCACACAACACGACACGAAAACCACCGAACGGATTTTCGTTAAATTTAAGTATGTTGCTCCCCAGACCATCAGCTACCCAGGGATGTAAAATTTATATTATGTGATGTGGAAAGTATTGTTTTAAAAAAATTGTAAAAACTGTAAATTTTCTGGCCAGCAAATAATTGGGTTAGCATGTTGCTCAAACCCAATTATCTAGCCTGGCCCACAGGAGGAGTTTTGTGTTGCATCAATTGTGTGCCCTGTGTGCCAGTAAATTAGTCTTGTTCCAGCATTAAGCTTTGGCTCATGTGTGGATTATTTGGCGATTACAGCGATATTTCTTCTTGTGGATTATTGGAGTTTTTCTGCTATTGGGAAAAGGAAAACTAGATGGTGATACTGACTACTACTGTCACAGAGTTATTATCATGTGTGTCTAGCGGGGGTTACCATGTGTGTCTGGCGGGGAGTTACCGCAGTCTGGCGGGGAGCATACCGCAGGTTCATGGGGAGTTATTACGGGGAGCATAGTGTTCTGGGGTGGGGGGGCGCATTACCGTGGTGTGTTCATGGGTGGGGGCGCTATTACCGCGGTGTCTGGCGGGTGGGGGGCGCTATTACCGCGGTGTGTGTGGCGGGTGGGGGCGCGTATTACCGTGTGTGTCTGGCGGGGGTGGGGGGGCGTTATTACCGTGTGTGTGTGGCGGGGGTGGGGGGCGTTATTACCGTGTGTGTCTGGCGGGGGTGGGGGGCGTTATTACCGTGTGTGTCTGGCGGGGGTGTGGGGGTTAGTACCACGTGTAATGGATCACCTGGCACCCCGACTGGGTATCTCCTTTGATGGATGTTTCTAACGCTTCTTGAGGATTCCAAGCACTCTAGCCGACACTACAACCAATGCAGACCAAACCTCTCTTCCTTCAGAAGGAAGCAGGAGCGCGCTCTTAAAAGAGCGTAGGAGTGGTTATAGCAAGGGAATATGCAGAGTATTGCAATCCCTTGTAGCGGAGTCCCCCAATAAGAGACATGACTCCAAATTGAGGGTGAATTAGAACTGTCTAAAACTTTATTTTACTTGGGACTAGCCCATATGGGCATTACATTAACATTGCTGTGAAAACTCAAAATTACAAACAGTCAAATCATAGCAGGCAACATACAGTGAAAATATCTCACGTGCCTGCAGAATTAGCAATATGCAAATCTACCCAAATATGCAAATGAACCAGTCTTGCTATTCAGGTAGTGCATATTGCTGTTGCTACCAACAGAGGGCACTCGACAAGCTCCATAGCCAAATCCACCTAGTTGGTAGCAAACCTCAGCAGTACAGGAGAGCAGGCAATACATCCCAGGGGCCATAGTCACATGGCAGGAGGCTGGCAATCAGTCTTCTCCAATGTCCAGTGGCGAGGCTGATTCCGCCACACCATTTGTGTCTGGCAGGGGGTGGTTAGTACCATGTGTGTCTGGGGGGGGTCTACCATCTGCTCACTCATGGTAGTGTTCAACATGTTCACATGCAGCATGCGTCGCCCTCCTGTTCCAGAGCAAGGGCCGATCACGTAAGTGGTGTCACACTTTTGCTCCACCACTTTGTACGGGCCCTGCCAGGCGGCCTGTAGCGTGTCATTCCGGACAGGTTTTAAAATTAAAACTTTCTGTCCCACCCAAAAGCTACGGTCCCTGCACCCCAATCGTACCATGTGCGCTGGTGGGTCTGCGCAGCCTGGATGTTCTCTCATACGGACCTAGTCAACGCCTTCAGGCGGTTACGGAACTCCAGCACATATGGAACTACTGGAGTCCCATCCCGGCTAATATCCCCTTCCTAGTGTTCCCAGATAATGTCTAGGGGCCCCCTCACCCACCTCCCAAAGAGTAACTCGAACGGGGAGAACCCTGTGGATTCTTGTGGCACCTCCCGGTAGGCAAACAAGAGGTGCTGCACGAATCTCGCCTAGTGTCTGCGAACGTTTGGAGCATTTGCTTCAATGTTCCGTTGAACCGTTCGCATAGACCATTAATCTGGGGGTGGTATGGGGAGCTCATAATCGGCCTAATGCCGCAGAGCCTCCTACGGTAAACTGGGTGCCCTGATCCGAAACTATCTCCCAGGGAAATCCAGTGCAGGAAATTTGCATCAGGGCCTCCGCGACTGTTTCTGCATGCATGTTGGTCAACACCACCGCCTCTGCGTACCTGATTGCGTAGTGCACCACCATCAAGATATATTTCTTGCCAGACAGGCTAGTCTTAGCTAAGGGTCCCACCAGGTCTACTGCTATTCAGCTAAAAGGTTCCTCAATCACGAGGAGATGGTGGAGCTTGGCCTTGTGGTGGTCTTCCCTCTTGCCTACCGTCTTGCAATACCGCCTTATAGCCTGCCAAATACTGGGCCAAAATAAAGTTTGGGTGAGCCTATACCTGGTTCGGCTTACTCTTAAATGCCCGGATAGCAGGATGTCATGCACTATCCAGATCCTGTCTGTATCTCTGGGGTGCCACTATCTATCTAGTGGGGATTGGTTCCGACCTGCCATTACTTTTTCTGACTCCCTGTAAAGCAATTCCATGTCCCACACATACCTCTCCCCTTCTAACCCCACCTGACTAGAGGTGACCCTGTCCCCATATACCTGTTACGTGGGGTCTGTGGTCACCTCATTCCCAAACTCAGTGGGGGTATCCCAGGATAAGCACTCTAGGGGTGGGGTTGGGTCTCTTACCTGAGCCTCCGGGTGTGAGCTGTGGTCCCTGGTGCAGACCTGCTGCTGGGTGACCACCAGGTACAGTTCTTCCGGTTGTTCCTGGGGCTCAAAAGCAGACTTGAGCTTCCCCAGGTCTTTACCCAAGAGTACTTGAGCCGGTAGTTCTAGCATGAACCCAACCTCCACCATTCCAGACCCTGCTCCCCAATCCAAGTGTTCCCAGGCAGTGGTCAGCCTGTATACTGCTACCCTGGCTACCAGCACTGCCACCGTATTCCCAGTCTTTGCTGCGTCCGGTACCAGATGCCACTTCAGTAGGGTAAGGGTGGCCCCCGTGTCGCGGAGCCCTTGTACTCCCTTACCCTGAAGGTGTATGGTCTGGTGATGCTGCTGGCAATTATCTGCAGCCTCTTGAACTGGGTCTGCTTCGTGTAAGACTTCCCAATGCTCTACTGGTGGTACTGGAGCGGCATACCGGGTGGGGGTCTCCGCCTGATAATAGTGGGTTGCTGCTTGGTTTGCTGGTGGTGGCCCAGGGCGGATCCACTGCGCATGCATATATCTTTATGCATATATGGCATTGTACCTGGCCCTGCTGTTGGAAGCATGGTGGTGGGGCATTGATGGTACCGAGTTGCCGGGGTGGGGGGGTTGCCACTGGCCCAGGAGGGGCTACTGCGGGACAAGGAAATGCTCTGGGCTGGACCGGTCTTTGAGGTCGGCTGGCATCCATATTTTCATCTGCCCGTCTGGCTGCTTCCGTGATGGTAACAGGGTTGCAGTCTCTCACCCACTCCTGGATATCTGGAGCCAGCCCATTAAAAAATTGTTCCATTAGCCCTAATTGTAACATTTCCTCCATGGTGCTTTCTTTGTGGGCTTGTACCCACCCAGGGCAGCTCAGTGTAATCGGCAGGCCCATTCGGCGTGTGAGTCTTTTTCAGACCTCTTTAGGTCTCTGAACCGCCTGCGGTATGCCTCCTCATAGTTCCGTATATACTCATCGGGGACGGTGCGGCAGTCTTCCGCTGCCCTCCCTGACAGTCTGTTAGCCAACGTGGGAATCCTATCTTCAGTACTGATTCTATGTAGGGCACATGGTCTCTCAGAGTCTTGGAGGAAGGCATCAAAATCTTCCTCCACCTCTACAAAGTTTTTACATGCACCATAAGGTATTTTTAGGCTTACCCTCTGGTGCTGCTGTCACTGCCTGGTTCCTTTTGGGAGTTTGCTATTCTTTCTGCTTCAGTACGAACTCCTGGACCTCCGACATGGTTCGGACAATAATATCGTTCAGCGGAAGATAAACAAAATTGCAGTTCTCTTTGAAAATCCGTCATTTCCCGTTCGTGTAGAACAGAGCGCCGTCTGTTCGGTATTCCGCCATGATTTCAGCAAGAAGGGTGGCCTTTTTCTTGTTGCTTGCTGGAATTCCCCTTGCCTCCAGAAGATCCTTTAGTGTGCAGCATTTCAGGACTGTGTAGTCAGTCTCCATCCATCCGGAGCTGCAAAGCATTACTGGCTCTTGTTCCTCCATGAGCTCTGGATCCCGATACTGCCAACCAGTGTAGCAGAGCCTTAGTCCTAGCAGGGACCATTCTCCGTTGGTGTACCAGGAAGCTATTAGGAACAAGAGAAAAGTCCGCTCCATTTCCTGTGGTCAAAGCAATTTTCCCACAATTCTCACATTCCTCCTGATGCTTCAATCGGCGTTCGAACTCCGGTGAAACTACCGAATTTCATCCTAACAGAATGAGAACAGTTTGTCCGTTCGTGTTTGGGCCTACTGTCCTGTCCTCCCCCTTCCTGGCCCCCACCTATCAGCGGCGGGTGGGGGCCCTTAAGTTACACTAGGGGGGGGACCCATTGTCCACCCCCCGGCCCCCATAAAAATTACCCTCCGTATGGTGTCTAGGGGGCCCCTATTCAACCCCTCAATTAAAAGGCTACCTACCCCCTCACCCTAAAAATAGTGAGGGGTGAACCAATAAACCTAAATACCTGAAAAAATCAAAATCAAGTCTTCTTTCTTCTAAAACCTTCTCTTTCCCGCCCCCAAAAAAGGCCAAGTAAAAATCCATAATTCCCGTCGAACTTCTAAAATTAAAAAAGATGCAGAAAAAAAAATCCAAATGCTAAAAATATAATCTCATCTTCATCCAGCAAGGGATAAAATATTATTATATTAAATAGCCAAAAAAAGTTCCAGTCTAATTCAGAGTACACACTAATGGAAAACAAATTACAAAACAATATAGACAACTTCACAACACATATTAAAGAAAAGAAACATTACAAATTTCAACGTGATTATAAAGATTTCAAGGAAGGCACAATATTCAGGCAAACCAAGAGATCGAACACACGAGCCAATAGAAAAAATAGTTACTCTTCAGGCAATACAGAATGGACGGACTCAGATTCCGGCCCAACACCAGGCAAGAATCCATCCTCTGGTTTGAAAACCTCCCATTCTACAAGAAGGGGGATATTAAAAGATCTAAACAAAACTGTAGCTTTCTTAGACACCCCTCCCCCATCTACTACAGCATCCTCGTCGGGCTCTACTTCTTTTTTAGACCAAGCCTGGCCCCTACCACAGAGGGGAAGGTTACGAGACCGGCAGAGATGGGGGTACAAACCCAATCGCAGCAACTCCAGGAATTAGATCAGTTGGATATTTCCAACATGAAAATTATCAATCTTTCAAATTTCAAACTCCTTCCTGATCACATTACACTATTGAATAAAGGGTTATCATTCGTACCCACCCCGAGCGCAGACAAGTTTGAATGGCTGAAGGATATTAACCTATTTGGCCGTAAACTAGCCTTATGCTCACTACATAAAAAGAAAAATAATAAAGAAGCGAAGGAATTAGGTCTTACCAATGAAGATTTTATACATTTTCAAACTCTGGTACAACTTCTTACTGAACAAGAAACTGTACCTCCACTTACCAGCTTTAAACCACTAAGTTGGTTTACTCCCAATTTTAGAGACGATATTAACGTGGACCTGTTTGTAAAAATGACTACCGAGACAATCGAATCCTTACCTACACCTACAATTCAACAAAACAATCTTTCATTTGGTGAACAAAAAGCATTTAAAGACCTAAGCAACAATAAAAATATTGTCATAAAACCATCAGATAAGGGTGGCAACATAGTTATAATGGAAAGGGAGACATATGTGGATATGTGTCTCATACATTTAAATAATTCCTCTTGCTACAGTAAATTGGGTGAGGATCCCACCTCATCCTATTTAAAATCTCTTCGAACCTTATTAGACGGTGCCATGATAAAAGGCATCATAACTAATGACGAATTGAGATTTATTCTGCCTAAAAATTCACCAACCATTGCTACCTTCTATTGCCTGCCAAAGGTGCATAAAAATCTCACTCACCCTCCGGGTAGACCAATTGTCTCTGGAAATCAATGCCTTACAGAAAATGCAAGCAGATTTCTTGAAAATCTTTTACATCCCTTTGTTATAGGGCTAGACTCTTTTCTACAAGATACAAAACAGACTCTATTGACCTTAGAACACTTAACTGTTCCACCTTACACTCTTCTTGCAAGTCTAGACGTGGTATCATTATATAATAATATCCCACATGACATAGGCATTAAAGCTACCTCTTATTTTTTACAGAAGTCCAATAAATTCTCCACACAACACCAACAATTCATACTAGATTTACTTACCTTTGTGCTAACACATAATTATTTTGTATTTAACGGAATATATTATTTGCAGATCAAGGGCACCGCTATGGGGACAGCTTGTGCCCCTAGTTATGCCAACCTATACCTAGGCTGGTGGGAAGAAACTTTAGTATCGGTAATTGACTATGAGTACCGCCAATTGATATTGAATTGGCATAGATACATCGATGATGTGCTTCTTTTCTGGACAGGATCTATTGTGAAATTCCAACAGTTCGTGAATATTCTCAATGACAATAACATCGGATTGCAATTAACATCTGTCATTGATGAAAAGACATTGGAATTTCTAGATCTGAGAATTATATTGGGTATGGATGGCACAGTAACAACTGAACTGTACAGAAAGGCCACTGCTACTAACAGCTTATTGCACTGGCAAAGCCACCACCCATTTAAATTGAAGGCCGCTATACCATACGGCCAGTATCTAAGGGCACGGAGAAACTGCTCCCAAGAGATTGCCTTCCAGAAAGAAGCAAAGGATATAAAAGCCAGATTCAAGGAACAGGGGTATCCTAATAGAATTCTAAAAAAAGCGTACCAAAAGGCAAATAGCATGGACAGATCACTCTGTCTTCGTTCTTCGAGACCTGTATTACCCAAACAAACTATAAGATGTGTTGGTACCTTTGACCAATATTGGGAACCCGTGAGAAAAATTTTGACAAATAACTGGCCAATTCTTTTACACGATAAAGAACTTCAAGACAATATCACCTTACACCCTACTCTAACGGCACGAAGACCTAAGAATTTGAGAGATTCCCTTGTCCACAGTCACCTGGAACCCCCCATCATAGCTCCAAGTTGGCTAACACAGATGAAGGGTACCTACAAATGTGGGTCGTGTAAGGCTTGCAAATATATTAATCCAGCCAAATCTATTCTTTGCACTAAAACTAACAAACAATATGTTATTCGTGATTTTATCAATTGCAGTACCACTAGAATTATCTATGTCATTACATGCAATTGCAATATTCAGTACATAGGTAAGACATACCAACAATTTAGGAGACGCATCCTACAACACATCAATTCAGTCACCAATATTAACATCTATACACCAGTAGCTAACCACGTTCGATCTCAACATCAAGGGGATCCATCTAGCCTCCACTTTCAAGCCATTGAACGCTTATCTACCAATGCCAGAAGAGGTGACTTTAATACAAGACTCTTGAAAAGGGAGTCCAAATGGATTCATGAATTCAAAACTCACACACCCTCGGGTCTTAATGAAGAATTCAATTTCACCCCATTCATACATTAATATAATTATATTATATTATTTTGTGTTTATTGCCACCTTAGTCGTGGTACAATTTTCTTTTCTTTTCATGTCTCAGCTACCTTGAGACACCTCTAATTACTAATACTACTCGGTTCCTCTGTACACTTATTTATATTCTCATTTATATCCTATTTGGACCTCCGTGTTCTCTATGTGGACATTGCACGGTATTTAGGATAATTTAGCTCACTATCCTGTCAGTATCCTCCACTGACGTCTCCTCCTCCTCAGCAGGATAATGCCATTAAGGTAAAATGTATCATCACTTGAATGACTTGTTACTGTACAATTACGTAATTTGGCATCGGCAGAGTAAGGGTTACACCGTAACCCCACCCACTATAGACTGCCGAACCTCCCATTGGCTAACTAATTGACCAATGGGACTCGACCTTCTCTCCTATATAAACCTGATCAGAACAGGAGCTCAGTTCCCCTCTGAAGAGCTTTGAGTGGCGAAACGCGCGTCAGGGGCTTGTACCCGGCGTTATCCTTCCTTTTTGAACTGCACCACCAGTGTCTTCATACTTTGCTACCCTGCTACTTAGACAGGATATATCTATACCCATCGGTAACTCTGAATCCTGGGGGTTCCGGTTAGGAGCATTTACGGCATCGATATTTATCTTTTGAGCGCATTCTCTAATTTGGGGGTGGGCTTACTACTGAAAGTATTAGGAGTTATTAGGCTTTTTGGGTTAAGGGGTGCCCTCGAAGGCACAAGCGGCTAGGGCTCATATATATCTCACATATCTACTGAGTGCTTAGTTTTTGTTTGTTTTTTCTCCCTTGCCACATATTTTTTCATTAGCTACCTCTCTCCCTAATTTGTGTCAGCTATTTAGCTTTACAATTGGACAGGTTCTCACTTACAGGATCCTGGAAGTTTTATTGTATTGGCAATTATACCATATAACTTACTATCTATCCAGTCAGTATTCCACCTTTATACTTTATTATATCCTGTGAGGGTATTATAGACTCACAGTGGATACTGTCTTGACAATATATCCACACTACTGATTATGAAGCAGTGAATGGTTACTTATGACACTACTTAAGTAGCGTGTGTTTACTTATTTTGTAACATTTTTTCACCTTTGTGTTACACTCTGCTATTAATAGCTGCCAGTCCTCAAGAGGGACTCTTTTCCTGACCGCTCCTGGAGTTGCCGCTGTTCGGCTATATACAGACATAGCTATCTTGGAGGGCAATTGTATCCACCATTATTTGTGTTTTTAGTTAGTTATTATTAAAAGCTACGTTTTACATTTGGGATTGTGTTATTTAGACACTAACGGTTCCCGCCATTATTTCCCTTTTCTCTAAGGGAAACCCACTCTACTAGGACTATTGGTACTAGTCTGTCCTATTTTTCTCCTTTTTTCTTCCTTTTTGTGCCAAAAAAAAAGTATTTTATTACATAAATATCTAACTAAAGAACAAATTGATTTAGGTTTTCTCCAAGAAACGCATTGGAGACAATCAGAGACTATAACTTAGGGCGGAAAGAGATTCCCAAATATTATCCATGCCTCAGTCAAAAAAAAGAAAAAAAAAAGCAGTGTTGCAATAGTATTTGGAGAAAAATTAAAAGTTGAAATACTTCATAAACTGTGTGATCCAGAAGGAAGATTCTTAGTAGTAATCAGTAAAATAAATGAAAAATGATACACTGTATGCAATATTTACCTTCCAAACAAATCCCTGACTACCCAGAGAGAATGCACAAGATGTTCCCTATGGAAGACCATCTATGTTGGAGATGCGGGTCATCAATAGGCACATACCTTCATGTCTGGTGAGACTGTGTCAAAATTAAAAAATTATGGGAAAAAACATTTCAATTTATTCTAACAATATTAAACTTTGAATTAAAGATATCTCCAGGGGTAGCTTTACTTCACTTAAATTGCCCCCCTTTGCCCCCTGTGAACAAACGGATTATAACTCATTTATTTCTAGCTACTTAAATAGTTACATCTAGACATTGGAGAAATTTTAAAAAATATTATTCTTTGGTCACAAGTTAAATTTCAACTCAAATTCCAGATCAAAATGGAGCAAATGCTTAGCATACAAAATCTAGGTAGGAAAACACCTCTATGGGATACATGTTGGGAGTTGATAAATAATAGCCCAATCTCATTCAGTTATGAAGAGACTGAGTAAAATCTCTTTTTTTTTTTTGTGATTTGTAGGTGTATTTTCTTTTCTGAAGTTTACGCCCCAGGACAGGATAAGTAATACAACTGAAATTCAGTCTTAAATAGCCAGTTAGTTCTGTCAGTTTTGAATAAAATTTACTGCCCTCACTCTCTTGGCATCTCATAAAAAAGCAGTTTGTCTGGCACTGTCTTTTGTATGAAGTTGTTTTCGTCTACTTGTCTGTTTGTTAGTGTGCGTGGCTGTTCATATGTCTATTATTGCAAATCTTGACTTGATACATGTTCTAAAGTAGTAACATATATTTATATAATTTTAACTCACTATCATGTATCATCTAATTGCAAATATACTAGGTACATTGTATTTTGTATGTCTTATTTAAACAAAATTCTGTAAAAAAGATTATATATTTAAAAAAAAAAAGTAAATGTAGAGTCTACAGATCTCTGAAGAATGTAAATGTCTGCTTTCATTGTATGGAAATTCTATGGATTAAACCCTGAACATAAGACACAGAGTAGATTGTCTTTATTCTGTTGTTTTTATCTCTAATAATGCAGGTGTTTAGGGTGACAAATCACACCTTGCCGCCCACCGGTTCCGGTCATGGCAGTATGTGCCCTCATCGAACACAGCCGCACAGCGTCATGTGCCAGGATCCACCTGTGTTTGTGTTTTTCGTGTGCCTCGTGACACTCTCACTCACTTTTCTTGTCTTTGGAGTATTCATCGATTCGTATGATGTGAGGGACTCTGATTTAACACAGGTAGGAAGGCAGGCACATCCCTGGGTAAGGACATCTTTTATTCTGATCAGTGGTAAATACATGTGTCTCCCTGTGTGGTAGGACTGGCACACATTCTTCGTGGCCCTCAGCTTACTAGATGTCTGCCTTTTTGGAAAGGAAGCAGGCCGTGCAAACTCCACAGGCATGGCTGGAAGTACACTTGCTGTTTCCAAAGGCCCCCCAGAGACCATCGGAAACGTTTCCACCCTTGCTTTGCTAAGACTTCCCTCACAGTATATGGGCGCCAATCACAGTAGTCTTCAGATTTCTGTCACAGGCCAACAGCTTGGCATTAAAGGTGAGTGGCAGGTTTATAACCATGTGTTGTTTAACTTGTGTCTGAAAAATTATATATAGATAATGCTTTAAAAAAATAAACCTCACATTTCTTGGCTTTCCCATTTCCAGTGTAAACATCTTAGCAGGAAGTGGCCCATGGCCTTTAAAGGGACACTATAGTCACCAAATAAATTTAGCTTAATTAAGCAGTTTTTGTGTATAAACCATGCCCGTAAAGTTTCAACGCTCAATTCTCTGCCATTTAGGAGTTAAACCACTTTTAATTCTGTTTGTGCAGCCCTAGCCACACCTCCCCTGGCTGTGACTCACTCAGCCTGCATGAAAGAAAAATGACTTCATTTCCAATCAGATGTTAACTTACTTGTTCTTAATTGTATCTCCTGCTCTGTAAATTGAACTTTAATTACATACAGGAGGCTCCTGCACAGTCTATCACTCAATTAACAGAAGAGGAGATAAGAAATTCTAAATTAAAGATAATTTGCAATACAGGAAGTGTAAAAATTAGGTGACTCTGTACAAAAGTCAGTGTAAGTCATATGCACGGAGTGTCTAGGGTGGCATAAACAAAGTTATTTAACTCCTAAATGGCAGAGAATTGAGTAGTGAGACTGCAGGGACATGATCTATACACCAAAACTCCTTATTAACCTAAAGTTGTGTTGGTGACTACAGAGTCCCTTTAAGTTTTCTTTTGCACTGCTGAGATGCTGTTTTTTTGGGCACAACATGGGTTTCAGGAAGATTTAGTCATCTTTCTACTGTAGAAAGCTTACTACTGAACTACAAAGCATAGACGCTAGACATTAACTAACCATAACCTAACTTACACAGTGCACATAATGTGAGTGGGAAGCGTCCCTTTAATAATATAAACCCACCCAGCATAACTAACTAACCTAACCTACACAGTGCACCTAATGTGTGTGGGAGCCTGAAGTGTCCCTTTAATATAAACCCACGTAGTATAACTATGTGTAACCTAACCTGCACAGTGCACCTAATGTGTGTGGGAGCTTGGGTGTCCCTTTAATAGTATAAACTCACCGAGTATAAATGAAATAATACACTATTTGGCTAGTACCCCATACTTTTGCAGGCAATGGTTAGTTTTCTCGATGTTATAAGATTTCTCATTTCTCTGGATAAGGTAACGATAACAATTTCATTGCAGCCAAGTTCCCATGGTGCATGAAGGTGACATCTTCCCTTAAGGTAGTGGTTCCTAAACTTTTTAGGTTCAATGCGCCCTTAATATTTCAATACAATACAATTTCCTAGGTTGTATATATGTACAGCACTGCGGCATATACTGGGCCCCTGTTCTTCAGAAATGCTTGCCATTCAAGCACGGTTCCAAAACCTGATCTTTGGAGGGGCACTGGTAGATTATTTAAAAAAACATCCAAGCATAATAACTACTACAGCACTTTGTAGTGGTTATGGTGTCAGTAGTGCCCTCCCAGAGTAAGTAGTCAAACTGTTTAAGAACAGTTTGACAAATTACCTGGGATTTGCATGGATTGGGGCAGTAGTGTGTCTGGGGGGTGCAATGTGTGTGTTTGTATGTGAGTGGTGGAGTGTGTGTGTGTGGGGTGCAGTGAGTGTACAGGGGTGCATTGTGTTTGTAAAGGATGTAGTGTGTGTGAGGAGTGCAGTGTGTGTGTATGGAGGGGTAGTGTGTGTTTATGAGGGGTGAGGGGGGATAATTGATGTTTGTGTAGGGTGAGCTGTTGTGGGTCTGTGGGGGTGAGAAGGCAGATAAATATTTATTTTCATATCCCTTCTCCCTGCTTACCTTTGCCTGGAAGGATGGACAGTACAAGGCAATCCCTGGTGGTCCGGTGGAGAAGCTCTGGTGCTCCAAGTGGTGAGAGTGAACTCTAGCCTCAGGAGCTGCCAGAGTTCTCTCTTGCGAGATTCGGAGCGTTGCCACTTCTATACAATCTTCCAGACTTTGGGGATTATTATGTTTTAAACCCTTAAGGTAAGACTGAGCCTTGGACCTCTTTGCCCAAAAAATCTTCTTTGAAGTGGAGTAGTTATAATGTCCTCGGTATATAATGGCTATGAAGTATGGTTTTCCTTTTTGCTAGTTTCCACTTAATGACTAGACCCAAAATGCCATGCAGGTCCCTCTGCACAACAGATGCAGTAACCTCAGACAATTATTTGTGCCTTCACTAGGATTTATCACTGAGGTATACCCCTATAGGCAATTCTTTGGGAGATGCAAACACTGAGCAGCTTGTTAAATGAACATTTCATATGTTGATGACCAAAAACAACTTAACAGTGAAGCGTTAATAATGAAATAAGTGATACACACTTAGCTTTTGCTCTTCTAATATAACACATGCAGATTTAGTGTAAAACCATCAAACTTGTAAAATTAATTAAGAATAATGGAACACTCACATGTTTCAGAGCTAATGGTTAACTCTGGGAATAAAAGCTTTGTGGGTCCGTGTAGGCAACCCCTCCCTTCTTCTTCTTATGTAGATGGATAAATGTTCTAATAGTATATAGTATTCTCAAGTATCTCAAAAGAGAGAATATGATCATGTCATATTGTATATAACAGTGTCACACACTCTTAAATAGGTCAAATACTCACAAGGCAGGAGCCTATAAACTTGCTCTGTGTATTGGCACTGTATGAATATGGACTGTACTCCCTTCTTTCAGGAACTTATTGGCCAAACCAAAAGGAATAAAAAGTATGTACTTTTTTGAATAATAGCTTTAAAAATATATATATATCACTGAAAAAACCCAATAAATGCCCAGGACCGGACGGCTGCACAGGCCTCTATTACAAAACATTCTCAGACATCCTACTATCCCACCTCACCGCATCCTGAACTCACTACTACGCGGGGAACCCTTACCGGCAGACATGCTCAGAACAAATATCTGCCTCATCCCGAAACCAAACAAAACACACTTGGACCCAGGACACTACCGGCCCATATCCCTCCTTAGTGTGGACATGAAAATATTTACAAAAACCCTTGTCAACCGAATTCAACCCGCCCACCCCGATCAGGTAGGCTTCATCCCCACAAGAGAGGCGTGCGACAACACCAGACACACGCCAGACCTGATCTGGGTGGCCCGCCATAGACAGATCCCAACCCTACTTCTTTCAATGGACGCCGAAAAGGCATTCTACCGCCTGCCCTGGCCTGTCCTTTTCGACACCCTACAGAAATTCAGATTCCCCGCACGAGGGCCTCCCTAACTTCTACCACTACTTTTAAGTGGCCCAATTAGCTCAAATACAAAACCTGCATGCACAATCAGGCATTAACCTATGGGTGAACCTCAAACACGACCTCTTGGGTAGAGATCATTCCTCTTCTGGCTCCCCAAATGGGACAGACCTAACACCCCACAGACGACCCCGGCCCTAAATATTCCTCGTATGGGACAAAACCATCCCAAATCACCCTCTAGTGAACAACCCATCACCTCTCATACCACTCCTGATAAACAATTTCCCCCATACCTGACACCCCAAAATTTTGAGCGCTATGAGGAAAACGGTCTCCTTAGATTTTTCCACTTCTTTCACGACCAACAACTCCTACCATTCTCAGAATTACCAAGGAAGATACCACTAAACACCTTCGACCACTTCCGCTACCTACATATACGCAGTTTCCTAAACGAACCACGAAACACCGCCACAGCCACCACTAAACTAACACAATTTGAAAAAGCTTGCATACATGCACCCATTCAAAAGGGGCATATTTCCACTATATACCTCCTCTTGAACTCTAACTACCCAGCGGATGCCCTTTCGCACACAAGGGCATGGGAAAAAAGAGGCCCCCCGGAAGACCCCTCAGACTGGGCAGACCTCTGGGAAGCCACGGCCTCACTCACGATATGTGTTAACCACAAGGAGCAAGCCTACAAGACGATGCTCCGATGGTATCTCACATGGCTAAGACAATGGTGGGAGTGCCCCCAGATCTCCCAACTTTGGGTCGAGGTCTCCAACCTCCCCTCCAGACTCCTAAATACGGACATACCCATGGATCCCTGAATCTGGCTACTCTCCAAACCCTTTGCCCCCCTCCCCAGAGCTCAAAACAAACTGGTGGCAAGACTAGCACTGGCCACCAGATACACAATCGCAGATCAGTGGGGCAACCAGAACAAACCTCTGCTTATACACTCAGGTCACTCTACCCATCCACGACAACAATGCCACGGGGCACCCAACGCAATATACCCCACCCCCGATCTGAACTCCCCATCCCCTAACTGACACCCACGACCCAGACACCCTTACACAAACTATTAGAACACAACGGGGGGGGAGCTTGATCGGCTAACTGTCACTTGAGCTTCTGAGCCCAACAAGCTTACAATTACACTTACATGCAGCCGTGCAGTAGAATCAACTGCAAACACAGCTGGCTACAGAGGGGAGACCGAGAGGATCCGACAGATACTAAACTCGGAGCCCTTTGGGCCCAGATCGCCGAGCCTCAACCCTTTGCGGCCTACAAGCGCGTCAGGCGCTGGAGAGATGGCTGCTCCCCAGCGCTGTTAACTGCTAAGCATGGCGGACTTCTACTTCCCCCTCTCCCCCCCATGGACTGTCATCCCGGTCCCAGGAGGCTCCCCACCACTGCACCCGATGCCTACTGGGCAGCACGACGGAGCGGCACCCAAGTTGGCGGGAAACACGAGCAGCCCCACAAAGAGGCCTATTTTGCAGCATTTAAGGCAAGACTTGACCGCATCTTCGCCAGATTCTGGGCTACACTGGCAGCATGGCAAAAGGGCACATTGGAGCCTGTCCGGCTCGCAGGTGATCCAACGGCGCCACAAACCCGCTCCCGCAGACCTACCAAAACACCCGACAACACGTGGGCAGTTGGGCAGGAAAGCGAAGCCCCCGCAAGAAGTGGCACACGATGAAGAAATGCTTGCCTGCCGCCTCACAGAAGCCAGGAACATACTGCAAAAAGGAAGTAGCAAGGAAGAGAGAGGACGGAGCCCAGACGAGCAAGAACCTGACACACTTAGCCCCATAAGATGGTGGATCATCGAGCAGGGACACCACATGGCACCCAGCTACAGGACAGCCTTACACTCCCACAAAAAAAACTTTCACAGCAGAAAGATAGACTCATACCACCCAAGGGCTACAGCCTGCCACAGATAGGCATCAGTTGTTCAGCCTCTCACAGGTACCATGGGGTCAAGCTTTATGCTCAGGGCTTTGGAAAAACTGACTTGCTCCTCCACTATAAGCAATAACTTTAGCAGCCTAGCTCCCCGGTGGCTATTTTATTTTATATTATTTAGTTTTATTCCTTCCTGCATTTTGTCTAGCAGTATAATACATTAATGTGTTACATATTTTTTCATTCAGCATCCATGGGAATAAAACCCATGGCGTACAAACAAAGTTAATTTTTCATGTTATATGTGCCATACCTATCGGGCCTGATAACTTGCAGGACCTCAAACGGATAATTTCACATAGGCATCCACAGGCATTAATAGCATCACCCTGTTTTACCTACAAAAAGTTATGCCTGTTCCTCTTGTAATATAATATTTTATTTCATAAAAATGTGCGGTACTATCAAATGCCCCCCAAAAAAGAACACAACAAAGGCTCACACAGCTTACTCTCCACCACTAGATATAACAATGCAATTGTCAAATATCTCATAGGGGACGCCATGCATGGAAAAGGCACTCTGACTATGATAATACATAAATGTTATTATGCACTCGATGCCAAATCTCTTCACTGAGCCTTACCTGAACTGTACCCCCTCCTTATTCTTCATTCTGTATCCCACAAAATGCCTTGCTAAAAAAAAAAACTACTGAAAATAAATAATTTACAAAACAAAATATAAATATATATATGTATATAATACCAAAATAGGCAGTATTAAAGTCCCAGATGCATTTCGCCAAGAACGGCTTCGTCATTCCGGTATGATGAAAGTCGGTCCATAAGTTTATAGGTCTTTAACTCAGATAAATGCCATCAAGTGTGTCCTCTTGCATTGCTCCCCTCGTCCTCGGGGGAAACGCTGCATCTCAATCCTCGTGATTCTATATTTTAGCTAAACATTATATATATTTATTAATCTGAAGATAAACCTGTCTCCTCTCTTTCCTGGTTATACATTTATACAGGTTTCCATGGAGACGCCAGTTTGATTGTTACAGTATTTGCACTAGAAACCTCGACAGCCTGCAATGACAGCAAAACAAACTGCCCAGTGAAGACTTGTGTTACTGTTATCGGCCCACAGTCACTTCTGCCTAAATCAAAGTGAGTGCTGCACATATCCCCAAAATCCCACATGGCTACAAATGCACTGCTCCAAGACCCCACCGCCTGTATAATGCTTCAAAGCCCCACACCTCTATACATACACTGCTACATGGCACCACCACCTGTATAATGCTTCAATACGCCACACCTCTATACATACACTGCTACATGGCACCACCACCTGTATAATGCTTCAATGCCCCACACCTCTATACATACACTGCTACATGGCACCACCACCTGTATAATGCTTCAATACGCCACACCTCTATACATACACTGCTACATGGCACCACCACCTGTATAATGCTTCAATACGCCACACCTCTATACATACACTGCTACATGGTACCACCACCTGTATAATGCTTCAATGCCCCACAACTCTATACATACACTGCTACATGGCACCACCACCTGTATAATGCTTCAATGCCCCACACCTCTATACATACTCTGCTACATGGCACCACCACCTGTATAATGCTTCAATGCCCCACACCTCTATACATACACTGCTACATGGCACCACCACCTGTATAATGCGTCAATGCCCCACAACTCTATACATACACTGCTACATGGCACCACCACCTGTATAATGCTTCAATGCCCCACACCTCTATACATACTTTGCTACATGGCACCACCACCTGTATAATGCTTCAATGCCCCACACCTCTATACATACACTGCTACATGGCACCACCACCTGTATAATGCTTCAATGCCCCACACCTCTATACATACACTGCTACATGGCACCACCACCTGTATAATGCTTCAATGCCCCACACCTCTATACATACACTGCTACATGGTACCACCACCTGTATAATGCTTTAATGCCCCACACCTCTATACGTACACTGCTACATGGCACCACCACCTGTATAATGCTTCAATGCCCCACACCTATATACATACACTGCTACATGGCACCACCACCTGTATAATGCTTCAATGCCCTACAACTCTATACATACACTGCTACATGGTACCACCACCTGTATAATGCTTCAATGCCCCACACGTCTATACATACACTGCTACATGGCACCACCACCTGTATAATGCTTCAATGCCCTACAACTCTATACATACACTGCTACATGGTACCACCACCTGTATAATGCTTTAATGCCCCACACCTCTATACGTACACTGCTACATGGCACCACCACCTGTATAATGCCCCACAAGTCTATACATACACTGCTACATGGCACCACCACCTGTATAATGCCCCACAAGTCTATACATACACTGCTACATGGCACCACCACCTGTATAATGCTTCAATGCCCCACAAGTCTATACATACACTGCTACATGGCACCACCACCTGTATAATGCTTCAATGCCCCACAGCTCTATACATACACTGCTACATGGCACCACCACCTGTATAATGCCCCACAAGTCTATACATACACTGCTACATGGCACCACCACCTGTATAATGCTTCAATGCCCCACAAGTCTATACATACACTGCTACATGGCACCACCACCTGTATAATGCTTCAATGCCCCACAGCTCTTTACATACACTGCTACATGGCACCACCACCTGTATAATGCCCCACAAGTCTATACATACACTGCTACATGGCACCACCACCTGTATAATGCTTCAATGCCCCACAACTCTATACATACATTGCTACATGGCACCACCACCTGTACAATGCTTCAATGCCCTTACCCCATTATACATACACTACTACAAATCACAGTACCCTTTACAGAACCATTTTGAGGTCTCTCCTGACACATTCCCAGACATGCAAACCGATACATATTCCTAGAGACTAATAGAACACATTCCGAGAGACAGATACAAATAGGTACACATTCCCAGAGGCAGACACACAAAGGTACACATTCCCAGAGACAGATACAAATAGGTACACCTTCCCAGAGACAGATACAAATAGGTACACCTTCCCAGAGACAGATACAAATAGGTACACATTCCCAGAGACGGACACAAATAGGTACACCTTCCCAGAGACAGATACAAATAGGTACACCTTCCCAGAGGCAGACACACAAAGGTACACATTCCCAGAGGCAGACACACAAAGGTACACCTTCCCAGAGACGGACGCAAATAGGTACACCTTCCCAGAGACGGACGCAAATAGGTACACCTTCCCAGAGACGGACGCAAATAGGTACACCTTCCCAGAGACGGACGCAAATAGGTACACCTTCCCAGAGACGGACGCAAATAGGTACACCTTCCCAGAGACGGACGCAAATAGGTACACCTTCCCAGAGACGGACGCAAATAGGTACACCTTCCCAGAGACGGACGCAAATAGGTACACCTTCCCAGAGACGGACGCAAATAGGTACACCTTCCCAGAGACGGACGCAAATAGGTACACCTTCCCAGAGACGGACGCAAATAGGTACACCTTCCCAGAGACGGACGCAAATAGGTACACCTTCCCAGAGACGGACGCAAATAGGTACACATTTCCATGCACACTTACACATACACATTTACAAACGTAGTCTCAAATACACACTTTCAGACACACACTCCGAGGTGTACACTTCCCCACATAAATGTATGAACAAATGTATACATTTAGCCACCCTCCTGTTAGCTTACTCTTTGAGCCTAGTAGGAGCAAGTAGGAACAGGCTATTTGTTCCCTTGTCTCTGCTCTGCCTCCTTGACGTTCGATGAACACTGAAAACATGTTTGAATCTGGTCAGAGGCCCATGCGATGCAACTGAATGCTGTTAAAGAGCCCTGAGTGGACCCAGTGCTCCGTGGTCCCTTAAATGTGTTTTGCCTTTACTATGCACCATTACACTGTTATTTAGCCTATCTGTAACCAGTTCACAGTTAGCGCACAGCCTACACCCAGCTGTAGAGCCTCAAACCTCCACAGATGCTCATTCTTTCTCACTATTTGTTGCCATGTTCACAGGTCCCCAATGCTGTGTCCCCGGGTTGATCCCAACCCTATGCTGGTTTTGTACCTGTCGGCAAGAAAACCAGACATCACTGCAGAGTGTTACCGTGTGGGATATATCCGAAACCCTCAACTGGAAGCCTGGATCTCTAAGGTCAGGACAAAAAGCTCCCATTTGCTGCCCATAAACAGATACCTCTCCCAACCCCTGTGAGAGGCAATGTGATTAAATAACTAGCATCCACTCTTCATTCCCTCTACAGGCGGACCGGAATATAAACTCAATACGCCTGATCTGCTTGGCACTGACTCTCCTTGTGGTCGCCATCTTGTTGTTCTGCATGACTTGCAGTACTAGCTCTCAGCCTGTTCAAGAAAATAAACACCTGGGAGCACTGTGACGTAGCACAACTTCTGCCATCTGCAAAGACTTACATTTATAAACTCTTCCTTGTTTTCTGGAGACTGTGAGCTGTTTTATTCTAAATAAACCTGCTGCGACTTTTAAGTCCTTTTCAATTTTTTATTGTTCCACCTGTTTATTTATTTACAAAATCAATACTACAGCAATGATACAAGTAAACATGACGGAAATCGGAATATAGTAATACAAACAATGTAATGCTGTCACAAAGTCACTTTTGCAACGGCAGCCGGAAACACAGCCTATGTTGAGAGATAATTATATCTAAATCTGACAGGGCTATTTACTAACGTGAGCATTCAAGGTGAATTTCACAGCCAGAACAGATGAACTGAAAGCACAGCTGACTTTGAGAATGTTTCCGTTTTGGTTAGTTTTGACCTTGAATTCTCACTTCAGTGAATAACTGTGAGATTATTCCTTTCTGAGACACCATTAATGAGTGAATCGGTGTCACTCGGATATTATGGTGAGGATTTAAGTGGCATACCAGCAGTTTTGTTTATATTTCTTAAAACTTATACCGGCAGTGTTATTTACTAAGGTGAGAATTCAAAGTGACTTCCAAATTTAAGGTCAAAATAGCCGATCTTCAGAAATTCAACTGTGCTTTTAGTTTTGTTACTCCTGGCATTTAATGTGAATTTCACTTTCAGCTCTGACTTTAGTAAATATCCCGCTAGTCTATTTCTTTACTATAACATGTACTTGCTGTATTGTTTCATCTCATACATTTAGTATATTATAGATTATATATCTTGTATATTATAGATAATGTGTTTGAGGCTACATAGAGTTGTACAAGACACTATCCATGCCCTTAGCTTAAAGGAACACTTTGTGCACCATGACAACCTCATTGATATTAAAGGGAATTTATAGTCTCCAGAAAAGCTACAGCTTATTGAATTTGTTCTGGTGAGTAGAATCATTCTGTTCAGGCTTTTTGCTGTAAGCACTGTCTTTTCAGAGAAAATTTAGTGTTCACATTACAGCCTAGTGATAACTCCACTGGCCACTCCTCAGATGGCTGCTAGAGGTGCTTCCTGGGGCAGTACTGCACAGTGTGACTGACATTCAGTGTCTCCACCCTCTGCATGGAGACACTGAATTTTCCCGATAGAGATGCATTGATTCAATGCATTTCTATGTGGAGATAAGTGGTGTATCTTGGATTTGTGCTGCCCTAGGCACAACTAAATTCAGGCACCCCCCTAATCTAAATTTGCACAACCACTTTGTATAAAGGCCACTTTTGTGACTGACTGACAGACGCACGCCCTCATTAACACATGCACTGACAGATACATAGTCATTGGCACACACACTGTTTAAACAACCCACACTTTCACTGACACACACACACACTGACACACCCACTCACTGACAGGCACATACTCTCAGATACTGACATATACTCTCTGAAAGACACTCACTGACACAAACATCCTCACTGATTTGACACACTCTGACAGGCACACACTTACAGCTACAAACACACACACACTCCCTGACAGACACACACATACTCCCTTACAGACACACTCCCTGACATGCACACACACACACACACTCACTGACTGACAGACACATTCATCCTGACAGAAACAGACACACTAACTGACAGATACACACATTCATTGACAAACACACACCCATACTTTCTCATACACTCACTGTTGCTGGGCTGACAGACTCTTCGGGCTGCTGGCTTCTGCAGGCTTGTCTAGCTGGGTCTGCAGCCTCGTCTGGGCGCGTGGGAAGGCACTTAATGAAGGTGGCGAGGGAACTGAGCTCTTCCTGCTGTACTCCCTCGCGCACGGCCGGCGCCGGAGTGAGACAATATTCCAGCTCCCGGCATCATAGAAGGGCGCGCAAGGGAGCAGGAAGAGCTCAGGGGACTGTGCGAAGGAGCAGGAAGAGCTCAGGGGACTGCACTTCCTCGCCACCCTCCTACACAACGAGCCAGCCGGCCACCTCATGCTCCCTCCAAGACATAAGGCAAACAAAGCACTTGCCTGGGCACTTAAGGCGGCCTTTTTTGCAGCCCTAGGCAAGTTTATTTTAGAATTTCTTATCTTCCGCTCTGTTAATAACCTTCTAGAGCATGCACGAGCCTCCTGTGTGTGTTTTATATTCAATTTACAGAGCAGGAGATTAAAAAAAACCTTCGTAAGTAAATTAACATCTGATTTTTTTAATGCAGGCTCTGTGAGCCATAACCAGGGGATCTGTGGCTAGGGAAGCATGGAGAGAAACAAAAGTGATTTAACTCCTAAATGGCAGATAATTGAGCATTGAGGCTACAGGGGCATGATCTATGCACCAAAAACGCATATTAAGCTAAATGTATTTTGTTATGATGCCTATAAGAAAAATAATGGTTTAACCCATACAAATGAGCCAGAGCCTGGGTCCTCCTGGCACCCTAACATTTAATTTCAATGAAGTTGTGATGGTGCTCAAAGTGGTCTTTTAAAGTTACACTCCAAACCTCTACCTGAAGTGTTTTATTTTCCATGTCATCATTTTTCTAAAAGTGCAGATTTCAAAAGAAATTAACACTTTTTAAATTTTTATTGAACCTTGTTACACCACCTGGCTGTCAATCAGACAACTGATCCTGTTACTCCCTGGTTTTGTTAACTCAATGAAGATAAACTCAAGAGGCAGCAATTGCTCAGAGCACCTGCCTTGCAAAGACTTTCATCAAGCTGCATTGGGAAGTCTGCAATTGGACAGACACAGAAAGTCTGGACGGGGTTAGAAGAGGAGGGCTTTACTGATTCCTTCTCGGGTACATCTTCCTCTTTGCTGGCTCTTTCTGTTGGGGTTCGTCAAGGTCCTGCTCTGGACCTCCTTCTGTCATCTCTCTCCAATGCCTCACTGCGTGACCTGATCATTTCTTTAAATTCACCTTTATTCGTACCCCATTTCAATTAGATTGTAAGCTCATTTGAGCTGGGTCTTCACCACCTCTTGCTCCTGCAAGTCCAATTCCTGAAGAGACTTTACAACACCACAGAAAATATTGTCTCTTTATGAATAATAATATAGTAGATTTCCATAGAGTGACATGTTACATCACACTTCTGATAGCAAATAGTGTGAATGCCTTCTCAGGGTATCCGCACACCTGAGGATTTACATAACGGAGGAATGGAATGAGTCGTGCTACTGCCATAGAACATTTGGAGATGATGTCTGTATGGAGTCAGCCATGTTCATATAAACACTGGCAAATCTTCACTCTCCTTCAGATACCCATCTTAAATTCTTACTCAGAGAGAGAATACAAGCCTGGTAAATTAGAACTGGAGTAATTCTCTAAGTCAGCTATACTTTATGTTTAGCTACTATGGCCATAAATAATACTTTGAACTCTCACTTTATTAAATAATGTTACAGCCAGTCCCTCATTCCCCTAAATTGTAAGCTTGGGAGCCAGAATCTCTCTATATTGTTTCCCCATCCACTATTCCCTCTGGAATGTGAGCTAGGTTCTTTTTATACTATTTGCACATTATATATTCACTGTTGAGGGACTTGGAAGAATAGACTAGAGAACAGACATGCGTATGTGGAACTCTTGCCATAATAAAAGGCTACCTACAGACCATCAATTTATCCCACCCCCTGGATGACATTATGGCCCTCAAGTATAAAAAATCTCGCCAACCAGAAGGCCCCAGTTTACCTGATATCAGGCTTTCTTTCAAGAGGCTTGCGATGGTAATACCTCCTAAGATGCCATCTGAGGCTCAAAGAAAGACGAAAGCCTAAGAAGAGTCCAACGAGGGCGGTGATTCCTTCAACTTACCCTGACACGTGGAGGTTTTTCAAGCATTTGAATCAAATGAAGATTCCCTTCCCTTCACAGAAATTTCAAATGGTTTCTGCTGAATTTGAGAAAGATCTGGAAGGCCGACCTCCAAGAGACCCAGATTGGGAGTCATCCACAAGAAACTCAAAGCAGTGGAGGCAAGAGAGACTGCAAGAGACAACCAGCCAAGTAGAGGGACTTACCCAGCAGATCCAGAAGCTGAGTCAAGCAGTGGCTTCTCTGGAGTCCAAACACAGGCGTCGGAACATCTGCCTGCGAGGTATACCCAAGAGGGTTGGTGGAGAACATATACTGCCATTTGCACAAAGGCTGATTAACTCATTGGGCTGACATTTTGTGTACGCAAGGCAGCTGTAGCTTCAGCTGGGACTCCCAGAGTCACTATATTGGTGGTCAGAGATGTTGCCGTGTGATCCGCCATCATGACCCACTGCAGAATCTTAGAGACTGTACATTGTGAGGGATGCTTGGTGGCACTGTACGGTGATCTACCAATTGCTGTCCTGCTGGGGAAGCAACAGTTGGTTCTGGTCGCCAAGCAACTGAGAACCATTGAATTAAGTACCACTGGGGAGTGAAAGGCTCTCTTATAGTCCCGCAAGGAGACATTTATTTTGTCTTTTGATGAAAACTCAGAGACTTTAATGCAGAAACTAGGTATGCCGGCTGTGCCACCGGTGAAGATTGCGGCTCCAAAGGAAGGAATACAAACACAGTATCCACAGAGATTCTGGGGAATGTATTCCACAACCCCTGGTTAACCATTCTGCTGGCCGGCTGTAGTCGCAGATTCAAGGAAATATATATGCTATCACCCACACTACTACCTACACAGCCGTGTGGATGTGGCTTCAATTCATTTTCACTGCCAAGTTGTATTATGGTTATATTATACTGCATTTTTTTAAATTTGTTTTAACCCCTTAAGGACCAAACTTCAGGAATACAAGGGAATCATGACATGTCACACGTCATGTGTCCTTAAGGGTTTAAACAGTCCTATATTCCTATTCGTTATCAGTTATTTAATTAATTATTGTTTTAAAGTGCTTGTCGCTTCATACCTATACTCATCTTCTAACCTCTATATTTCTCCTACTATTCCCCTATAATGAACCGGATGTATACTGTGTGTACAAACTCCAATAAAATATAAATTTAAATAAATAAATGAAATAATCGAGCTGGTAAAATCCACCAACTCAGCTATTTTTACAGATCGGTTACTTTGTCCTAAACTGTTCAAGTCCCTTGTCAGTTCTAACAATTCCATTTGTAGTAGATGACCTCACTATTGTACATAGAAAGAATTGGAATAGTTGAATCTCCATTGTTGGATCAGAGGGGGGGGAAAAGTAACACATTTTACAGATTTTTGTCAATGATGCCAACTTGGCACCATAATTCCATCAATCAAACCTTGTTTTTTTAAGGTTGATATCTCTTCGGACCAGACTGCCAGGTCTGTTATAGGTTAAAAGAACACTTACACTTTGTAAGTGTGATAAGCCAAATCACCCTTATTAAATTAAGATTTGGCTAATTTCAAAAGAAAACTGATCCACAGTCAAACAGAAGTGCAAATTATTTTGGAATAGCCTTATTTGCTTTTAGTGATTAACCAAATTGGTTAAAACAGCTAAATTTGACTGCTGTTAGGTTGGCATTTGTCATTTAGTGAATAGATCCCTCTAACGATACTCCAATCTTAAATTCTTCCCATATCTAACTCATACATTAGTGGTATTTTTTCCCCTGCAGCATATTAATTCAGTAAGAATTGAGCTGTGATGCAGTTCAGCTATTTTCAAATAAACCTCACTGTCACAATGAGGGCCATTTGTAAATTAGCCGGGATCCATTTGTCTCAATTCGCTCACCATTTGGTTCTTAGTGAATACAGTGAACCCTTTAAAGTAAATTTAACAACCGTACGTAAGGCAACTGAGCCGAATGCAATTGCAAAACTGCTTTTAGTGGTTAGTGAATAGGCACCTCTTCCTGAAATCTATTCACAGCTCGGATATTATTTATATTCAGTTTAATAGACCCCACTCCCTTATTCCCCAATGGCTAGATCCAGATTCACTCCATGGATACTGTAATGGGATTCCCATAGCTAGGAGCTGGCCCTGCTTTGTGTTGTCCCTTTAATTCCCCATTATATTGATGACTTTATTCCCTAATGTGGTTTGTTCTGTGTGTAGCTATGTAATTAATCAATCACTGGCCCATTGTGTTCCCATAGTGCACAATGCAGAGCATGCCATGTAAATGGAACACAGCCACAGCCTCTCAGCTCCACTTCCTGCTATGGAAGATATGGAATAAAGGAGAAGCCATTTTCAATAAAGTTTTATTATAAGGTGTTGAAAAAAAATCCGCGCATGCGCCCTTAGCAAGCCCTGCCCCACCCACTTCCGCTCTTGCCCTCAGTGAAGCCCGATGACGCTCTGCGCATGTCACCTTTCTGCGTTCTCCAGCGGCCGCGGCAGACTGGCACTGTGTGTATCTGTGTGTCTGCGCATGCGCACAGATAGCCCCTTAGCTGCTTCCGGTTTAGCTCCCGCCCTGTCCGCCATCTTGGATGGTGGGAGAGAAAAAAAAAGGGAGGGGGAGTAGAAGGAGAGAGGGAGCTGTATAGAGAGGACGGGAGGGGGGTGTACTGCTCCCATTAGACTTCCTACAGAGCGGGCACGCTTACCCATCTATTTATACAGCTGGGCATTCACAGCATAGAGAGGGGGCAGCAGGCTGGGCATTGGCAGCATAGAAAGGGGGCAGCAGGCTGGGCACTGGGGTATAGAGAGGGGGCAACAGGCTGGGCATTGGCAGCATAGAAAGGGGGCAGCAGGCTGGGCATTGGCAGCATAGAGAGGGGACAGCAGGCTGGGCATTGGCAGCATAGAAAGGGGGCAGCAGGCTGGGCATTGGCAGCATAGAGAGGGGACAGCAGGCTGGGCATTGGCAGCATAGAGAGGGGGCAGCAGGCTGGGCATTGGCAGCATAGAGAGGGGCAGCAGGCTGGGCATTGGCAGCATAGAGAGGGGGCAGCAGGCTGGGGGCAGCAGCATAGAGAGGGGCAGGGCAGCAGGCTGGGCATTGGCAGCATTGAGAGGGGGCAGCAGGCTGGGCATTGGCAGCATTGAGAGGGGGCAGCAGGCTGGGCATTGGCAGCATTGAGAGGGGGCAGCAGGCTGGGCATTGGCAGCATAGAGGGGGCAGCAGGCTGGGCATCGGCAGCATTGAGAAGGGGCAGCGGGCTGGGCATTGGCAGCATAGAGAGGGGGCAGCGGGCTGGGCATTGGCAGCATTGAGAGGGGGCAGCGGGCTGGGCATTGGCAGCATTGAGAGGGGGCAGCAAACTGGGCACTGGCAGCATTGAGAGGGGGCAGCAGGCTGGGCACTGGGGTATAGAGAGCTAGAATGTAAAGATTGAATCAGGGCTCCATAGACATACACACCCAAATATACACTATATTAATATATAGATATATAGACTGATACAGGGCTGGGGTAATAGGCTCTATAGAGATACACACACACACACACACCCATATACACACTATATTAATATATAGATATATTGACTGATACAGGGCTGGGCATTGACAGGAGAGGGGGCAGCAGGCTGGGCACTGTGTTATTGAGAGCTAGAATGTAAAGATTTAATCAGGGCTGGGATAATAGGCTCCACAGACATACACACACCCAAATATACATACCATATTAATATATAGACAGATACAGGACAGGGCACACTCCCTGTTAATGGGGTATAGAGCAGATCTCCAGGTGATTATAGAAATCAGGCTAGGTGTACAGGGAGAGGATATTTCATTCCATGCATGATGGTCTATTCATTGCAATCTGCATGGAGAGCCAGGGCTAATGTCACTCAGCATTTCCTCTGAGCGAGAGGCAGATGTGAAGAGAAGGCTCTGATTATACCCTGACAGCCGAGAGACCGCAGTAGACACAAAGAGACAGATACGCTCAGAAAGGATCCTGGGAGAGACGGCGACAGGGAGACACAAAGAAACGCTGCTACATGAATAGAGACTGCCCGAGAGAGCCAAAGTTGCCTGTCGTGGCAGCTGAGAGGTGAGGGCGGAAAGGCTGCCACACTTGCCTATGTCCAAAGAGACAGCCAAAGTTAGAGGGACAGGGGGACTATCAGCCCGAAGAGCCAGCATGGGAGGCTGCGGGCAGAAATTTCTCCTCCTCGCCCATTGAGTGCCGCAAGACCGGCGAGGAGAGATACCCAGTGGCACGGGGAAACATTCAGGTAAGCTAAGTGAATGTCAGCTCTGTGTGCCTTTCCAATGAGACCGTCATGGTTCGAATTGGTCCTATTAAGAATGGTAAGGTCCAAAGGCAAAAAATTCCATTGGGTTGCAGTATCTGGGCTGCTTGGGTTCTACAATTAAATAATGTGATGGAAATCTGCCTGTGTTTATGATTTGGAGTGTCCTGGCCCATTGCTTCTTCACATTATTTAAACACTGCCCATATGGGCTGGCCCACAGCAGTGGGGTCTCATATTGGAAACATCCTATAGGGTTTTTATTTGAGAACGAAAATTATTTCAATATTGTAAGGCCCTTTGGTGAGTGTGGGGCCTCACGGACAGACCGGTTCCTGTACTCTGTAGCCCCTTGGTTGGACTGACTCACATTCTGTTGGGCCATTTGGTTGGACGTACTGCCTCCCACTGGAGACCCTTGGTCATACTTGTTTCCACCGAATAGGGCCTCTTGATTGGACTAGACTTGTGTAAGTGGACATGGGCCTGCCCGTTGTATCCCTTTGTGGTTGAAATTTTGCCTGTTGAAAGGGGACATTGGTTGGATTGGCACCGTGCATGGTGCCTCTCAGCTATAATTTGGAGTTTATTTCAGAATATAGCGAGCAGCTGTCTTAGTCAATATTGGCATGCATAAGTCTCAGGTGAAGCATGTAAACACTGGCATGTCTGCAGCAGTGTTAGGGTTGTGGAATTGAGGCATTACGGTCTAGTGGCTACAAATACTCGACGGGGTTTAGGTTGAAGAACTGCTTTAGCAAGGTCTTAGTCAGATTCTTTCTAGCTTGAAGAAATCATATGTTTGTGAATTATTGAATCTTAAAATAGCAGAGGTATTTACTTTGCTAAAGGAACCTGGCAGCAGCTTACATTGGGTTAAGTAATTGCATGAACATATGCTGGGTAAGGTCAGTTGAGATGAATGGGATTACGTTGGAGGCGTCAGTACCCAAGGAGTGCTAAGATTAGGTACTGTGGTTCCTGACAGTTTGCGTGGGTTTAAGGTGCTTGCATTGATGATGTACTTGGGGGTTCAAAACATGGTTTTGTATGAGAGGTGGGTATACTGCCTTGTTTGTGCTGTCCAGCCAATGCTGTGTACATGGACTCCTGGTGATGGAGAAGACTGAATGATACAACAGATATAATTCTGCTGACAGAGCTATGATTGGCAGAATGGTATTGTAGGGTTTGACAGATTCATAGAAATGTTATTTATGGAGCACGTATATTTAGCACCTAATAGAAATAAAAATATATATAATTATTTATTTTTGTTCTAAATTAAAGGAGCTTCCATCACATCCTCTATAAGATAGCCAAGTGCTAGCATTTTTTTTTTCTTTTTCCTTTCCTTCCTTGAACAATAGCTTCTGGGGAAATTGAAGAAATCTCGCATGTTTCTGGCTTTTTATGTGCATCCGGATTTCAGATACGAGGGATTGTCTAGGTTTCTCATGATTGTCTGCATTGTAGGTGATACCGAGGATATTTGGCTTGGTGTTCCTTTGCAGTTGAGGTTTTTAGTTTAAACTGGGATCCACCAGGGTCAAAGTGCGTAGTTTGGGGGCAATAGCCTATTGACTATCATGATCAGCATTTGCTTGGGCTCTCCATTTCCATAGGCATAGTCAACGTTCTTGGAAGTCCATGAAAGGCAAGAACGTATCTTAATGGAAAGTGGTAGAGGACAGTTTTGGTGGAACAGTGCTTCCTTGTTAAACCAATAGTAATATGGTACGAGTTCTGTCTGGGTTATCATCGGTATATCATCTGGCTTGTGCTGGGTTAATGTTCAGAGGCGAGTGATTTTTAGCAGTTCAATATAAGGAATTGTGGAACAATTTTATTTATTGCAAATGATCTGTGGTTCAGCAAAGGTGTCAGGAATTTAATATTGTAATATTTTGCCAATGCTTAGATTGCACCTGTCCGTGTATTGCAGGCCTTAGACAGCAGGGAGTCCAGCAGGGATGCTCTGCAGATTGGCAGTGAGGGGCAATGCTCTGTGTAGGCCTGGTGTTATAGTACAGGCACATATTGTATGCTACTGAAAGAAAGCATTTATGCAAAGTGGCAATAATGGTGCAGTGATCTTGATGTTTTGGTTAAGATTAAATTGGCTAACGCTTATTATATTAACAGATGTAAAATATTAAATTGCATACCTAGCCCCATTAAACACCTCAATTTCTTCAGTGTTAAACTTGATGTTCTCCTCGTACAGTCTCTGCCTGTCAGACTGGGTTGTTGACAGTACACTTTGTATTTTTTCCCCTAATATCGCTTTTCTTGATCCCTGCTCTTCATGGTTTGCACAACACAGCGTCTAAGACTTGTATGCTATTTGTTGGGCATTCTGTGTGAGTTTAGACAGCAGACTGCCCTGTGGCTAATCTAGTACTCTGAATTATACTGTGTTTTAAAGGGTTACTCCAGTCACCATGACCACTTCTCTGATTTTAACCGGTGATGGTGCCTTGGGTCTTTTTGTGCAGCGTTTCGATATGAGATGCTGCACATACTGAGTTGTAACCCTGTATGGAATCCATGGTTATAGAGGTAGTGTGTAGAAGGTGGGTTAGAGATGGTGTCTGTAAGCAGTTCATGATTATAGCTGTAGGTGTAAAAGGTTGGTTAGATATGGTGTCTGTATTTTTTATAGAGGTAGTGTCGTAGGTTGACTAGAGAAGGTGTCTGGATGCAGTGTGTAGAATAATTGTTAGAGATGGTGTCTGTTTGGACTCCATGGTTATAGATGCAGTGTGTCGAAGGTTGGTTTGAGGAAGTGTCTGTGTGGAGTCCATGGTTATAGATGCAGTGTGTCGAAGGTTGGTTAGAGGAAGTGTCTGTGTGGAGTCCATGGTTATAGATGCAGTGTGTTGAAGGTTGGTTAGAGGAAGTGTCTGTGTGGAGTCCATGGTTATAGATGCAGTGCGTCGAAGGTTGGTTAGAGGAAGTGTCTGTGTGGAGTCCATGGTTATAGATGCAGTGTGTCGAAGGTTGGTTAGAGGAAGTGTCTGTGTGGAGTCCATGGTTATAGATGCAGTGTGTAGAAAGCTGATTCTCAGTTGTGTCTGTACAGAGTCAGTGGTTATGAGAGCTTTGCTCTTTCAGAAGGTGAGGACTAGTTTGTTGGAGGCAGCGTCTGTATAGAGTTCATGATTAAAGGACCACTATAGGCACCCAGACCACTTCAGCTTAATGAAGTGGTCTGGGTGCCAGGTCCAGCTAGGATTAACCCTTTCTTCCATAAACATTCTGAGAAACTGCTATGTTTATAATAGGGTTAATCCAGCCTCTAGTGGCTGTCCCATTGACAGCCGCTAGAGGCGCTTCTCACTGTGATTTTCAGTGAGAAGACGCTGCTGTCCATAGGAAAGCTGCGCATTCGGCCGATGACGAGGAGGAGAGTCCCCCGCCCGGCGCTAGGAAAAGAGGTAAATTTAACCCCTTCCACCACCTAGAGCCTGGCGGGAGGGGGGCCCTGAAAGGAGGGGACCTAGAGACCCTATAGAGCCTGGTAAACGAGTATGTTTGTTTTCCTGGCACTATAGTGGTCCTTTTTTTTTTTTTCAATGTCTTAATTTTTTTATTATTTTGTGCGGTGACGCACTGACAACAAGTAAAGGGGATACAGAAAGGAAAAAGGGGAAGGGGTAACATGTGTTGACACAATCATCTGTTCCATTACAATACTGTAGCGTGACTAACATCATGCGGAGGCTAATAAAGCAGACAGCTTTTACACTCTAATATGAGGTTACCAATTAGATCTAGGATCAATCAATTTCGGTGGAGGCTAACGGAAGCATCGGGGAAGAACCTTGGGAGATTCACCTGCCTGACCTGGGTAGCTCGCGGAGCGGATGAGCTCTCCTCCTCCCCCAACATCTAAAGGCCCTCATCCTGGAATGCTGTGTGCCTGTCTGCTTGGGTGTTGGGTTGTCTGTCAATGCTCTCATCTGGAGTATTTGTGTCGCTAAACGAAATGGCCCTCCCTCTACTCCCTATCCCTCTATTTGCCGGAATGTGTTGACACCAACTGACCCATAATTTTGTGTGTTTGTCCACTTTGGATAGCATCCGGAATGCAAGGCGCTCATGTTCGTAAGTCGTGTGGACTCTCTGTTTTACTTCTTGGATGTTGGGAGGATCTTGGCTTTTCCATCTGCTAGCTATACTAGTCTTGGCGGCTAGCAGTATGTGATAGATAACCACCTTGTGTGGCGAGACCAGTGTACCTGCATGAATGTGTAAAAGGCAGCATTCTGGGCGTAGCGGGATGGAGTTCCCTGAAACCTCTTGTATTAAGTTACTGACCTGTTGCCAGAATTGAGTTAGTATCGTGCACTCCCAAAAGACATGGAGTAAGGTGCCCACCTCGACACCACACATCCAACAATGTCGTGGAACAGTAGGATATATCTGGGCCAGGCGTGATGGGACAAGATACCATCTCATCAGTAATTTACTAAAGCTCTCCCAATGAGACAGGCTGTGCGATGATGCACGCGTATTTTGGATTACTTGTAGCCACATGGGTAGAGGGAATGTATTGTTTAGGTCACGCTCCCATTTTAACATATAGTCATGTTTCATGGTCCTATCTACATCATTGATTGCGGAATAGCTCAGAGAGAGCGGTTTACATATGGATTGAGGGTTAATGCACCGTCGACCGAATGTGGTGAGATGTTCTGGTTCGCTGTGGTGTATTTTTAATGAAGATAGGGCGTGTTTGATACGCATGTAAGTGAATAGCTCCCTAGAAGGTAATGCATATTCGGCTTGTAGATCAGGGAATTGTTTCAAGCCCTGTGTTGTGAAGAGACTCTACTGTAGTAATTCCCTTTTGTGATCCATGTTTTCAGTGAGATGTCACTGATTAGGTCTTGTAGGCGGGATAGGGGGGCAAAGAAAATAGGGTGTGCTTGACCCATGAGGTCCCCCGCCCATCTCCTCCAACTGGCTATCAGAAAGTTGGTAGTATACAAGCTTTGTGGGGGGAGATTAGTGGGTGCACTAAGCGACCATAGTTTTTGGGCTAACGAGGCCAGGTGTAGGCACGCATTCTCCAAGGGCAACCACACCGGTGTGTTGGCCCTTGGCAAGGTCTCCACACCCTGGGCGAGCACTGAAGCCTTGTAATACCCTTTTATATCAGGGATCCCTATGCCTCCTTTATTTGGAGACAGCCATGTGAGTCTACGGGCACTATAGTGGTCCTTTAATAGACTCCATTGGGGGAGGGGGGGGATTCCAAGTCTAGTCCTTAAAGTTCTGTTGTTTTGGTCTAGAATTTGAAATTCTCTTTTTAAAGGGTTACTCCAACCATAATGGCAATTCAAGCAGTATTCAGAGTATCAGTTATTGTGTGCTTGGGGCTAATGGCCATTCCTGCAGTATTCAGAGTATTGGTAGTTGTGTGCTTGGGGCTAATGGCCTATTCAGCAGTATTCAGAGTATGGGTAATTGAATACTGCTGGAATGGCCATTAGCCCCAAGCACACAGAGTATGGGTAATTGTGTGCTTGAAGCTAATGGCTATTCCAGCAGTATTCAAAGTATCGGTAGTTGTGTGCTTGGGGCTAATGGCCTATTCAGCAGTATTCAGAGTATGGGTAATTGTGTATAGAGGGGGGTAGGTGGAAACGTCCCAAAAACCAGAGTCTCTTCTTTTCTGGTGGTACAATGGATATAGGTAGAAGGATCAGGGAGCAGTGCCTGTGAAGGAATCCCGTCTTTTAGAGCGATATGGAGTAGGGAAGGAAAAAGACACGGATATGGTGTAGTATATTGAGATCTTAAGTGATGGTAAATGAAGAGAAAGGAATTGCACTTACAATTTCCTGGAGCCTATACTCCGCTCCAGATATGTGCACCTGGACGGTACAGTCCCCGCCTATGGATATGTAGATGGTCATTAGATATCCTCATAAAGGGGGTCTCCAGTGGTGGTAGGGTTTATCTCCTTTCCAATGGCAGTAGGCCAGTATTCAAATAGTTGGTGATGTATAAAAACACAAAATAGTGCTCCCTGTTTAATATAAAATGATTTTTTTTAAAAATGGAGGTATACTCACAAGTGAAGAGCAAATAGGTTATTGCTCAATATATGTAGGCGTAGGTGGTATGATCCCACCAAGGATATCACTCCTCGAGTCCTCCAGTGGGGGTGTTGGAGAGAGTAAAAGGAATTATATTATAAAAGAAAATTAGAATAAAAAGGATAGGCTTGGAGGCTCCAATAGCATACATGAGCTATCTTTATTGGAGATAAAAAAAATAGTAACATTAAACAGCTTTAAAAAACACTAACGCGTTTCTCCTACAAAGAGGCTTTATCAAAGTGTTCACTTGGTGGGGATCATACCACCTACGCCTACATATATTGAGCAATATCCTATTTGCTCTTCACTTGTGAGTATACCTCCATTTAAAAAAAAATCATTTTATTTTGTATTATACAGAGATCACTATTTTGTGTTTTTATATATAACCAACTATTTGAATACCGGCCTACTGCCATTGGAAAGGAGATATACCCTACCACAACTGGAGAGCCCCTTTTTGAGGACATCCATAGGCGGGGATTGTACCGTCCAGGCGCACATATTTGGAGCTGAGTATAGGCTCCAGAATATTGTAAGTGCAATTCCTTTCCCTTTATTTACCATAACTTAAGATCTCAATTTACTACACTATATCCGTGTCTTTTTCCTTCCCTCCTCCATATCGCTCTGAGCATGGGAATTCCTTCACAGGCGCTGCTCCCTGATCCTACTACCTACATCCATGGGTAATTGTGTGCTTGGGGCTAATGGCCCTTCCAGCAGTATTCAGAGTATGGGTAATTGTGTGCGTGGGGCTAATGGCCATTCCAGCAGTACTCAGAGTATGGGTAACTGTGTGCTTGGGGCTAGTTGCAGCCCCAGCACACGTGATCTTGGCAGCCCACAACTCTCTTCTGGGCTGTCTAACGTCCATTCTGTGCACATTTAACTTCTGTCTTCAGCGCTCCTGCCTCATTCCATTGTAGAAAGTATATTTTAAAAAACAAATACTCCACCACCTTCCCTCTTTTTGCCAGCCAGCAGCACTCATGCGCTCTGAGACTGCAATTAGTCCATTCACAGACTAAATGAGAATTCTGTGATTGGAACGTGCAGTCCCTGTGATGAGGTGCAGAAGTCAATAAATGGTGCCAAACATGAGATGGTCAATTTGTCTCCCCCACTGTGTTTACTTTAGAAGTTATCTCCTGCACTGCTAATGCTGCTTTTTCATGGATTTATGGACTCTCAAGTACAAACAACGTATTTTTAGTTGTTTGTCTGTCTACCTTTGAAAATGGGTCTTCATTTTTGGCTCCTGATCATTTTTCTATCCCGTGCCATCTTCAGTAACGTGTGGTCACTACCTTCTTCTGCCTCCTTTACAATGTGTGTTTCATTGGTAGTTTGTCAGAGAAAGTGTTCTATACAAACTGGAGTGCAGAAACAAATGCATTCATAGTAGTATAGAATCATAGTTGAGCCTTAAAGGGAAACTAGAGTTCCAGGAAAACAAAGTTTTCCTATGGGGTTTTGGGTGACCCTTGATGTCCTCATGCATAGCTTGAGGACGTCCAGTGTCAGGTGACCAAAAGTCCCTCTGGAAGTGGAGTTAACACTTTGCAGGGTTCAGGGGCCTGGGAATATGCACCCAGACCACTTCAGTTTACACGGGTCATCGGTCAGGCAATATGAATAGTGCCAAGATTCCAGAACAGCTAGAATATATGCAAGCAATGAACAAGAAACTTATACTGCAAGATGAGATATGCAAAACAGATCAAATGCTCCTTATGGTATGTGTGTGTGTGTATATATATGTGTGTGTGTGTATGTATGTATGTATGTATGTATGTATATATATATCTATAAACTCATTGAGTGAAAACACCATATAAATCTATCTCACTAGGACTCATGAAAGTAAAATGTTCAGCAACAAAGTGCCTATGGATCCTGTAAGCCATGTGTAAGTAAGGAGAATTTTTTTCAACGCCGCGCAGGGGTCCTTGCATCTGGTTCTGCCCCCAATCCGCCTCCTTGATGACCTCATCAGAATTTAATATCTCAGCCAATCACAATGCTTTCTCGTAGAAAGCATTGGATTGGCTTAGATTGTCAATTCTGATATGAGCCATGGAGGTGCGGAACCAAACATTGTCCTGGATAATCCGCATCTCCTCATAGATGCATTGATTCAATGCATCTCTATGGGGAATGTTCAGCATCTTGATGCAGAGCATGGAGGTGCTAAATGTCAGTGGTTCACACTGTGCAGCACTGCCCCAGGAAGCACCTCTAGTGGTCGTGTTACTAGGCTTTAATGTAAACACTGCATTTTCTCTGAAAGATAGTGTTTACATTAAAAAGCCTGCAGGGACTGACTATACTCACCAGAGCAAATACATTAAGCTGTTGTTTGTTCTGGTGACCATAGTGTCCCTTGAAGTTGTTTTGGTGCTGAGTGCCAGTTTAACCCCTTAAGGACACACGACATGTGTGACACGTCATGATTCCCTTTTATTCCAGAAGTTTGGTCCTTAAGGGGTTAAGGATAATTGGTCTCTGCTTCGAATTGACATTTGATTGCGTTAATGAAAATTCCAACGCATTCTGTATGAGATTTTTTTTTTCCAAATGTTCAGATGGCCGTGCTACATTAAGTACAATGTGAGACAGCGTGGTGCAGTGATGCTGGACTGCGAGAGTTGGGGATCAGCAGTTAAACACCGCTGTATTGGCTAGCTAGGTAGAAGATAGGGGGGCCAGTGTGACCTGCTTAATGAAGGTGATTGAGGGTGTTTTTTTTAACCGTATTTCGTTAAATGAGCTTCTCTGTGTTTGTCTGTTTCACTTCAGGTGTGTTCTGAACCTGTAGGTTACAATGTATTTCAGGGGGCAGAATCTTTTAGTGCCTTTCCTTCCTGCTCCTTTAAGTTTCAGCCAATGGCAGGCCTGTAACTATGGCTGTCAGCAGTGGGGGCAGGCACGACACATAGAGCTGTCTGCATCGTTCATCTCCACCACCAAAATTGCACAGCTCCTTAATCCAGGAGGGGAGGGGTTAAATGAGCAGTGTTGGGATTCTACCGGGCAGATAAAGGGTTAAGAGCGATGCTCTTCTGATTTGCTATATGGTGGGGTTATCGGCTCAGTAGTTTTCTGGAGAGGAAGATGTTAATTTAAATATCTTTTCACATCCTGGCAAATGGATATGGTTAGATAGTTTGTGCTTTGCGAATAGTTAATAGACTTCTTTTAAAATCTAGTACCCTGCTCCATCTTTATCACTTGTCTATCCCTGCCTTCAATGTGTTCCCCCTTTCACCCATGTACACTAATCTTTCTGATTCCTTTATTGCACGTACTATCTTTCTGTGTGCTCTGTTGTCCTTCCTCTCCTCCCAAACCTCCCCCTACCCTCCTATATTCCCAGCCATTGCTTGTATTGCTCCTCAACGCTTCCCCCATCTTATGCAGTTAGCCTCTGTCCTTCCTGGGCCCTTTCCTGTCTATGCTCTGTGTTCCATCTTATTCTTGTGGCCCTGCCACTTGTGGTCTCTTTTGCCTTTCTCTGACTCTTTCCCACACCACCCACATGTGGCTTCTGTCCTCTCCCCATTGATTTTATGTTCCCTTTTTCCCTCTGTGTCCCATTTATCTCATTATCTTATTCTTTTTGACTTTTGTCTCCTCTCACCGTTTGCCTCAGCCCTCTGTCTCCCTCCCTGTGGCCTCCCCCACGGTGCCTCTGGTCTCTGTCCAGCTCTCCCTTCTTTTCCCCTGTGTCTTTTTACTTTCATTCCTCTTGGGGGTTTTCGTGAAGGAGTTTTGTCATCTTTCCACATATAACCTTATGCAGACATATCATGAATGAATGAATGAATGACAAAGCAAAAATATAGAAACCAATATCCGATCTTATTTGTGGTTATTTTATAGATCCAGAGTACAGCTGCAAAGTTGCCGGGTTCTGACTAGTGTGGGCAAATGTCCAGGCTCCAAGGTGGAGTCCTTTTACTTTGGTTAATTTTTAATATAAAACCTAAAAATTCAAACAAATGTAGCAGTGCTCTGGTGGTGCGGGACAGTTAGGACGCTTACACGTTTTGTACACACTTCCTTAAAGACTTCTTCCTACAGTCTGTAAAGGCGCACTAACTAGCAAAACCAATAAATACATCATTAAAAAACCGACCTGAATCTAAGAATCCCCAGGAAGAACCACGTATGTGAACGATAGAAATGCTAAGCAATGAACAGATTCGAGTGACACTCCAAAATTCAACTGGACTGATCATGCAAAACGGTTGCAGGCTTAAAAAAAAAAAGCGGGGGGGGGGGATAAACCCAGTAACATTTTTACATATACAGCAGGATTAATTCGAGTAAACAATCTATAAAATGTAACGGGGAAAAAACAAAGTTGCAAATAATCCAGAGAATGACACATTTTAAACAACCACACATAATAGACGGTTGGGACCTTTTTTGTACGCTGAGGCATCACCGATCCAGGTCAGCGTATTCTTCATTTGTTAGTCTTGCTTGTTTGGGTGTGTTTCACTTAATTGGCGTGACTTTATAGACTGTGTGCAACTGTAGGGAGACGTATTTGAGAACCTGAATCGCGTTGAGCGTTTTACCAATGGTGTCCTGTGCTCTGCTCACTATCTGTAAATTTTTATGTTTTATATTTCATTAACCAAAATAAAGAAACTGCTTTTTATTCCACGTCTGAGCCTGGATATTCATCCTTGTTAGGCAGGACCCGGTACTCTGCATCTAGTGGTTGGGAACCCACTAGCTGGACTCCTATGGTAAGAATGTACTTTATTTGCTATTGTGGTGGTGGTCTCTGAAACTGATTTTATCCTTGTTTTATAGGTCCATATTGATACATTTTAACTGGACACACTTTGTTTAGGAACGCTATATTAACCCCTTAAAACATGGTTTATTTCTCACATTGAGGTGGGCTGTTCAAAGCTAATGGATAAGTCAGATATTGTAGACTAAATTACATCTTCAACTAGTGTCATTCTAAAACCTCGAAATGATATCATCCTGCATAAGTCTTGATAATTATCACAGGCAAATCTGTTGTTGGCCATTGCAGGCAAAAAGGGATTCATTTTGACAAATTCATAGATGAAGCAGCTTCCTTTTTTTTGTGTTTCATTGTTACTACAGTGTTTCAGTTTGTTTCCCTTGTTTTCCATGCATTGCAGGCTCAGTGGGTCCCCCCTCACTGAGAAGTGGTGGCGGTGTCCCACGGAGCCCTCCCTCTGGCCTTCGTCATGCCGTCCAATGCACGGGCTGGCAGCTTGAAGGACCCAGAGGTGGCCGAGCTCTTCTTTAAAGATGATCCCGAAAAGCTATTTGCAGACCTCCGAGAGATTGGGCATGGAAGCTTTGGGGCAGTATATTTTGTGAGTACCCTCGGGGAACTTTGTGCATTATATTTTTGTCTTGCTTTGTTCATTTATGTCACCGTTTTAAATCACACACCTGTCTCGTGTTCTGTGTGTCTCCATTCATCTCTACTCTATATATGGCCCCTGGCCTCTTACGTTTTAACCTGTATTGTCTTGTCTTGTCCTCCGCAGGCCAGGGATATCCGGAATAATGAAGTTGTTGCTATTAAGAAAATGTCATATAGTGGGAAGCAGTCGAACGAGGTAGGTGTCTAATTAAAATGGCAACCCAGCTAAAGTTATTAGTATTAAGAAAAAAATCGGAAATTTTAAAAAGAATTCTGTTACATTTATAGAAAATATTTTTCTGGGGCAAAGTTCTAAAAGTGTCACAAATGGCAGGACGATTTCATTGGTTTCCGTGGTAACTACTCCATGTTTCAAACTTTGCACCAAAGCCCCTCTGTTTCTAAATAACCCCTTCTTCCCTTTTGTTGCTGCCACTGACAGCCAGGGCACATTCTTCTGTTTTTATTTAAAGGGTGTCCTCATTGAGGTTTGTTGGCTGGAGGCAGATCTTGGCTGAGTAAGCATTGTTCTTCTCTTGGTCCATTTTTAAAAACTGTAAAAACAAAAAAGTTAGCCCCACAGCACGCACCTAGTCTCCAATAGGGTGCATTAAAAACACCCTGGAAAAAGTACTTAAAGTACTTGTACATCTCCCAGAATCCCTTGCTAACCATGGTTTCTGGGTTAGTACAGCTCTCTCGTGGGCTTTCTTTTAGCTCTTGCATGCGAGAACTGTACTGCTGGCTGATTGTCATTCATTAATAAATGAGAAGTATTCACACAAGTGAATTGAAGCCTCTGTTTGAAGAGTGCTTCTCTGTAATATTTTTTTCTTGATGAATTGGTAGCTTCTGGCTGAGCCGTTTGTATTTCTGCACTATCGATGTGTATCCTTTCTTTATTACCTTCTCTAGGCAATCAATTGGTTAAAATGGAGTGCTGAAATATTGATTGTAGTTTTTGTCTGTGGAACATGGTGTGTTTTCTGAACACGCTTTCTGCTTCTCTTCAACCTACAGAAATGGCAGGATATCATAAAAGAGGTGAAATTTCTACAGAAACTCAGACACCCGAACACTATAGAATATAAAGGATGTTACCTGAGGGAGCACACTGCCTGGGTGAGTACTTTATGGCCCTTGATCTGAGCTCCCTGTCTGTGTCAATTGGAAACACCAGACCCCTACATGTATGTCTGTTACCTACCTGGATTTAGTTCCATGTTATTCCTATTGTACACATAGTCCTTTTTAGTTAGCCTTTAAAGCAACTACTGGAAGGCTATTCCAGGTATCTAGTACCCATTTATATCTCTGCCAACCTTTACTGCTCCCACTGGAAGGCTATTCCATGTACAGTTTCAAGAAAATGTATGTGAACCCTTTGGAATGATATGGATTTCTGCACAAATTGGTCATAAAATGTGATCTGATCATCTAAGTCACAACAATAGACCATCACAGTCTGCTTAAACTAATAACACACAAAGAATGAAATGTTGCCATGTTTTTTATTGAACACACCATGTAAACATTCACAGTGCAGGTGGAAAAAGTATGTGAACCCTTGGATTTAATAACCAGTTGAACCTCCTTTGGCAGCAATAACTTCAACCAAACGTTTCCTGTAGTTGCAGATCAGACGTGCGCAACGGTCAGAAGTAATTCTTGACCATTCCTCTTTACAGAACTGTTTCAGTTCAGCAATATTCTTGGGATGTCTGGTGTGAATCGCTTTCTTGAGGTCATGCCACAGCATCTCAATCGGATTGAGGTCAGGACACTGACTGGGCCACTTCAGAAGGCGTATTTTATTCTGTTTAAGCCATTCTGTTGATTTACTTCTATGCTTTGGGTCATTGTCCTGTTGCAACACCCATCTTCTGTTGAGCTTTAGCTGGTAGACAGATTGCCTTAAGTTCTCCTGCAAAATGTCTTGATAAACTTGGGAATTAATTTTTCCTTCGATGATAGCAATCCGTTCAGGCCCTGACGCAGCAAAGCAGCCCCAAACCATGATGCCCCCACCACCATACTTCACAGTTGGGATGAGGTTTTGATGTTGGTGTGCTGTGCCTCTTTTTCGCCACACATAGTGTTGTGTGTTTCTTCCAAACAACTCAACTTTGGTTTCATCTGTCCACAGAATATTTTGCCAGTACTGCTGTGGAACATCCAGGTGCTCTTGTGCAAACTGTAAACGTGCAGCAATGTTTTGTTTGGACAGCAGTGGCTTCCTCTGTGGTATCCTCCCATGAAATCCATTCTTGTTTAGTGTTTTACGTATTGTAGATTCGCAAACAGGGATGTTAGCATTTGCCAGTGACTTTTGTAAGTCTTTAGCTGACACTCTGTGCTGTGTTCTTGCAATCATCTTTACAGGACGGCCACTCCTAGGGAGAGTAGCAGCAGTGCTGAACTTTCTCCATTTTATAGACAATTTGTCTTACCGTGGACTGATGAACAGCAAGGCTTCTGGAGATACTTTTATAACCCTTTCCAGCTTTATGCAAGTCAACAATTCTTAATCGTAGGTCTTCTGAGAGCTCTTTTGTGCGAGGCATCATTCACATCAGGCAATGCTTCTTGTGAAAAGCAAACCCAGAACTGGTGTGTGTTTTTTTTTTTTTTTTTATAGGACAGGGCAGCTGTAACCAACACCTCCAATCTAATCTCATTGATTGGACTCCAGTTGGCTGACATCTCACTCCAATTAGCTCTTAGAGATGTCATTAGTCTAGGGGTTCGCATACTTTTTCCACCTGCACTGTGAATGTTTACATGGTGTGTTCAATAAAAACATGGCAACATTTCATTCTTTGTGTGTTATTAGTTTAAGCAGACTGTGATTGTATATTGTTGTGACTTAAAATGTGATCTGATCATCATCTATAACCAATTTGTGCAGACATCCATATCATTCCAAAGGGTGCACATACTTTTTCTTGCAACTGTATATACTACCCTTTAAATATCACTGGAAGCCTTTTATTGGTATGCAATGGTTGGACAAACCAAGTTCCCTCTATCACCAATACAATGTACTGATTGTTGGCTGGAAGAGCAATACATGTAAATGATCTAATAAACCACCCAGAAATCTCGTATCAGCCTTTGTAAAGTCTATGAAGGCTGAATGTCGTGTGATCTCCCTATACAGTGTCTGCGTTTTGCTACATTTAAAGTGGATCTCTGATCTGCAAACTGTGTGCCTGCCATGGTACTCTTCCTGAAGGTTAATAATTGTACATTTACCTGAACTTGGTCTTCAGTGAGTGCTCCAATACAATACCTTGCTTAGTATTTACTCTGCAATACCTTGTTCCCAATTGTATAGGTCACAGGCAGCTACCTGCACCTATCTCTGTACCCTAGAGGTATAAACGAGAATCCGCAATGATATCCATATAGCTAGGATAATGTGTAGCTAATGTCGGGTTATGTATGTGGTGTATATGTGGCGCCTGGCAAGGTGTACGTGTTATACATGTGGTATATGGTGAGGTATACATGCAGTCTGTGTGTGCTTTGCATACAGGGGCTGATGGTTGGTTTGTGCCAGCGCAGAGCAATGAGTGCTTTGTGTGGGAGGTTGGAGCAGTGCATTTCAGTAAAAGCAATCACAATAACCCCCTGCAGGCTGCCCGCGTCACTGCCTAACACCCCCTCATCCTCAGCCATGGCTGTCATCTACTTCTCTCCATGAAAGGCCAAGAACCCCTGCTGGCACCTTGGTGTCATCTGACCCTCCAAGCTAATCAGTCTCCCCTCTTCTCTCCTTTCTGACTCTCAGCTGGTGATGGAGTACTGCCTGGGATCTGCTTCTGACCTCCTGGAGGGTGAGTGTCACATACCACGCTTTCCACTACTTCCCATTGTGCTTTATTTCAAATTAATCCCAACGCTCCTTTTCAGTCAATGCTTTGTTTGTCCTTTTGATTCCTAGAAGGTTAATTAATGAGATGGTGTAATGCAGCTTGCTATACTTCTGTCTTGCTTTCTGCAAATGGTTAAAAACAACCTGCTTCTCTTGTATCTTCCGAACAGTGCACAAGAAACCCCTGCAGGAGGTGGAGATTGCTGCTATAACCCATGGTGCACTGCAAGGCTTGGCCTATCTCCATGCACACAATATGATCCACCGGTAAGAGGCAGGAAATTAGTCCCTTTTCTCCTCTTCATCAAACTGATCCCATTTATGTTCACAACCTTCTGGCTTAATTATTGGGATCTTCTAAATTGCCCTTTCGGCACTATTTCATGTCCAACCTTTCTTTGTGTCTTATTCCGCATTATTTCTCAATTTTTTTTTTGTGATTTTTATCAATGTCCATATCGATGACTTCCTGATCTTGTCTCTGGTCTCCTCAACAGAGATGTCAAAGCTGGGAATATCCTCCTCACGGAGCCAGGCTTGGTGAAGCTGGGAGACTTTGGCTCGGCCTCCATTGTCGCTCCAGCAAACTCATTTGTTGGAACTCCTTACTGGTGAGAAGTTTCTTGAGTCCCTAGAATGTTCCTACTTATTCTTGTTACAATATAATGGGGTGAAATTCTATTTGCTGGGGATAAATATTTACTTGCTGAAAATTATGCTGTGTGTGTATGTATATATGTATTGCATGTTTGCACTGTGTGTGAGAATTTTCTCTGTGTATGTCTTGTTAATCCAGGATGGCTCCAGAGGTAATCCTTGCCATGGACGAAGGACAGTATGATGGGAAAGTGGATGTGTGGTCTCTTGGGATCACAAGTATCGAGCTGGGTGAGTGCAAAATCTGGGTATTTAAATTAGTTTGGTTGTATTCACAATTTTCCCTTTTCTAACTGGCAGCATGAGGGCTATGCTGCGGTGTGCCGCTCGCCCTGTGGTCTGCATATCCTCTATCCAAAATTGCAGGCTTCTTGATGTGGTGTTCTGCTAAGGACAGTAAACCGTCTAAAGAGAGAACTTTTGTAAATGCACGCATAGTCCCTGTCTCTGCAATCTGGGAATGTACGTTACCTTTTCAGAGAACCCGCAATTTTTATATCCAGCCAAAAACACACTAAAAACTAAAAACTTCCGAACTGCAAGTCACAAAAGGTGCTTTTATGTTTTTGATTTTATTTTAAAGGTAGCTTCGCAAAAGGTAAGGAGCACATTAAAAAGAAAAATGAGTATATTTCCTTTAGTTGTTTTAACACTTTGATAACTTTCAGCGTGATCAGTCGGTTGACTTTCGCACTGTTTTAACTCTATACAGAAGAATCCATCAACGTACTGTTAAAGGGTAATATTTCTATCTTTTCCCCATGCAGCGGAGAGGAAACCACCTCTCTTTAACATGAATGCAATGAGTGCCTTATATCACATTGCTCAGAATGAGTCTCCCGTCCTGCAGTCCAATCACTGGTGAGTACTGTGCAGGAAAACGCCATTACTGTGTTTAACTACCGCTTGCCAAGAACTTATTGTGTTGATTGTTATTATACCTCTCTTTTTTTTAATCATTATGGAAGGTGTGCATTGAAAAATATGAAGAAAATAAACTTTAAAAGAGATGTCAGTAAGAGATGTTTCTTGAATTTGGCATCTTGGGTTCCTGGAGTTTCCCTTTAATAGATACATAGCAGCTAAGGACGGTAACTGTATTAACAATGAGATGAAGACAGAATGGCAAATGTGAGGTCAAGGTAGCCAAGTGGAGCTGTAAATGAAGATGATTTCTCCTGTTCATATACTTTGGTCTGGTTTTGCATTTTGGGTTTTCATTTCAACGCAGCTCATTGTTGAGTGAATAAACATATAAATGTTTATTTGTGGAGTTACCTGAATTCAGTTTTCTGTGTTTTAAAGAACACAGTTCTAATTAATAAATTAAAGGGAGATTGCCAGGTCTGTAGTTTCACTGACCTTTATAAAGCTTGATCAACTGCTACTCATCTTTTCTTTTCTAATTTTACCTGGTAGTGTAGAAGTGGGGTTTTTTGTTTTTGGTTTTTTGCACCATTAGTAAATGAGAGACAGATTTCCTGTGTACAAAATGAGGAGACCGAGACATGACAAACACTGAGTGATGTCCTCTGCTTTTTACTCAGGTCTGAATATTTCCGAAACTTTGTGGATTCCTGTCTACAAAAGATCCCCCAAGATAGACCCAGCTCTGACATTTTGCTGAAGGTGTGTTTAGACGGAATTCCGGAGCTCTGTGCCATGGACTCTCACTGCATCATATTGGGTTGCTTAGGTTTGGGCTAAAGGCCATCAGAAACCACGGTATAGCGTTCTGCAGGCAGGTGCTGTTCAACCAATGTAGGACTGGTATGTCCCAAGCCACCTCAAATACAGTGGTTTCAGTGCTATTATTCGTTGAAAACATACCTTTTAAATTTTGTGAGTTATGTTTCCACATTAAAGGACTGCTGTGCGAGGAGGTCCCATACACCGGCTAACCAAAAGGGGTTAAATTGTTAATGAATGGTTTTTGCCCAAAGTCGTCAAGCTGTCACCTGATCGCTCTGTCCTGTACTTCCTCTCAATGTCAGAGGCTTTAATCAGGAATAGAAAGTACAGGGGAGAGTGGCGGGTTAAAATGGTCATTAACAGTTAACACTTTCTGGTAAGCTGGCGTCCATGACCACCTCGCACAATAACAACCTAATTGCAAGGAAGTTATGGTGGCCGGAATTGAATAATTAAAGTTAGTAACAGGCAGAAGCATGCAAATATCTCTAGTGAGGCTGCAAATAAATGGGATCTTTTATAAGCTGTTCATGAAGGTAAAAAAAGAAACAAATAGCCGAGCCTGGGTAGTGTTTGTTTCATTGATGTGTCTTTTGGAAACTGTTGCTGTAGCCTTGGTTTTTGAAGCTTTGTTTGTTTGCTTTTTTCCCCATCCCTTCAGCACCGATTCCTGCAGAGGGAGCGTCCTCAAACCGTGATAATGGAGCTTATCCAGCGCACAAAGGATGCAGTGAGGGAGCTGGATAACCTGCAATACCGCAAGATGAAGAAAATCCTCTTCCAAGACACCCAGAATGGACCCAACACTGAGACTACAGAAGAGGAGGAGGTAGCGAGTAGAGTCATGGTGGAAGGCCTGGGTCTGGGATGGCGAGCAGCTTGGGAATGGTCAAGCTTTGAAAGAGATGGCTCTGTATGCTAGTTTAATTCTTTGGGTTGCAATTAAGGGTCATAGACTGTAATTTTCTTGTTAGTATTTATGTATTTTTGCAAGATGTAATGCCATAATACAGTCGGCTATCCCAGGTAGAGCTTTCTTCTGCAGCGAAGGTTGGTGAGGTATCTGGGGAATTGGTTGTGGTGCAGAGAGGTGGTTTTTGGGGACGTTGTGAGAGGTGGTGAGGTGATTTGTTGGGATTAATGGGTAGCTTAACTGCAGGTTGTATTACCATTTACCATATTGAGTAGAAAATTGAGCTGATTCTGTGATTCTCAGGAGTCTGAGCAGTTCCTTCACTGCACGGGCACTATAACCAGCATGGAGAGCAGCCAGTCTGTGCCCAGCATGTCCATCAGTGCCAGCAGTCAAAGCAGCTCTGTCAACAGTCTGGCGGATGCCTCTGATGACAGCGGAGAAATGGCTATGATGCAGGAGGGGGAGCACACCGTGACCTCAAACAGCTCTGTAATACACCGCCTGCCAGTAGGTTTATTTGGTGTCTTTGCAGTATGTTTAAACACAGAGCTGAATAGTGCCTGGCTGCTAAAATCATTTATCTTTCTAGGCACATGAAAATATATATGACGATCCTTACCAGCCAGAAATGGAGGCCCAGCAATCCTCCTCTGCAGCTCGTAGACGTGCTTACTGCCGCAATCGGGACCACTTTGCCACTATCCGTACGGCCTCCCTGGTAAGCAGTTGCACACTTCACCATCAAAGTTTAAATCTCTTCCAGTTGATTTGTGTTCAACTGCTTGCTTTTACTTTCCCTTTTCCCTGTAACTGTAAGATCTATTTGTTTTGGTTCATGGAATAAGTTCCTGTGTCTCTGCTATCAGGTTTTTATTTGCCAATTCTGGATTTTGCACTCCTTGTTATACACCCGCTTTCAAACTATGCTCATGCCTTTCCTTTGTGGTACCGCTTATGCTTTACTTCATCACTGCTTGCTTTACTTCAGGTGACCCGTCAGATTCAGGAACACGAACAGGACTCTGCTCTCCGGGAACAGATGTCAGGATATAAACGCATGCGACGGCAGCACCAGAAGCAGCTGATGGCTCTAGAGAACAAATTGAAATCCGAACTTGATGAGCACCAACAGCGTCTGGACAAAGAGCTAGAGGCCCATAGGAGCAACTTCTCTGCTGAGACAGATAAGCTCTCCAAGAAACACCAGGCCATCTTTGAGAAAGAGGTACAGCGTTTCTGTAGGCAGAGGAGTAGGATGTGTTAAATGGTGCCGTATGTATGAGGGACTGAAGAGATGGATATTACTTTTTAGTATAAGAGTTATGTCCAATGCGTTACTTGAAGGTACACCATTACTGGGATATACTATTAGTATAATATTCATATAGATTTAAAAGGGTGGGATAAAGGTAGATGAATAAAACAATGTTCTGTATATGATGCCTGTGGTGCATACAGATAGTTCACTGAACCCTCACACCATATCACGCTTATTACATTCGTCTTCACAATTCTGTGTGGAGAGATATATATATATATATATATATATATATATATATATATATATATATATATATATATATATATATATATATATATATATATATATATATATAGTATAGTTGAAAAAGGATGCACTCAGAGGTATTTTTAGAAGAAATATCTCTATCTATCTATCTATTGTTCTATCTATCTATCTATCTATGATTTAGTGATGTGATATTGCAGTTATCCTGGCTGACCTGTTCTTACCTCCCACAGGCTAAAGCAGCAATGACCGAGGAAAAGAAGTTCCAGCAACATATTTTGGGGCAACAGAAAAAGGAGCTGACTAACCTCCTGGAAAGCCAAAAGCGTCAGTACAAAATCCGCAAGGAGCAGCTTAAAGAGGTGAGCTGCATAGCTGGAGCTGTACCTTGCGTCTGTGAATTAGTGGAGGCCATGTGCTTGTTAAAATACTATCCCCTGTCAGGCCAGCACCGAACAGTGTTGAGCTAGGAGGTCCTTCCTTGCTCTCGATAACTGTGCAGGGTAAGTTCCCTTGCTTACATTGTTCTTTATTATCTTATCTTAGGAACTGCAGGAGAACCAGAGCACACCGAAACGTGAAAAGCAGGAGTGGCTGCTCCGCCAAAAGGAAAGCATGCAACACTACCAGGCCGAGGAAGAGGCCAATCTGCTCCGCCGGCAGCGCCAATACTTCGAGCTGCAGTGTCGGCAGTACAAGAGGAAGATGCTGCTGGCACGGCACAACCTTGACCAAGACCTCTTGCGAGAGGTGAGGGCTATGTGACTACCAAGGAGATCTTATGTGTTTGCGTTTTACTGGAAGAAAATCTCTATTTATGTTTCTCCCCCTTTCTTGTCCTGCAGGAGCTGAACAAGAAACAGACACAACGTGATTTAGAATGTGCTATGCTCCTGCGGCAGCATGAATGCACTCAAGAATTAGAATTCCGCCACTTGCAGCTTTTGCAGCACACACGCAGCGAGTTAATTCGCCTCCAGCACCAGACGGAACTGGGCAACCAGTTGGAGTATAACAAGCGTCGCGAGCAGGAGCTGCGGCAGAAGCACGCCGCAGAGGTTCGACAGCAACCTAAAAGCCTGAAAGTAAGGCCCGGGGAGGATGAGGAGGGGGGAGAGGGAGATCGCTTCAGCCTCTGCAGCTCTGAGGATGAAGAGCCAGTGGATTTGGGGATAACCCCAGAACGTACTGAGGCTGATGGCTGCCCAGATTCAGATGTGCCTTACTTTGAGTTGACTTCAGAGTGGGTATCAGAACCAGCTGCCCCTCCCCGTCTGCCACCATCAGCAGTCTCCTCTTCCCTGCCTAGCCATGCCATTTGTGCTGTGCTCACTCTACTGGCAGCCACACGCCCTTTCTGCCCCTGGTCTTTGTTACCCCTTCTGATGGCCCTACTCACACTTTGGAGGCCTGGGCCCCTTTTGGACTCTGCTTTAATTGCCCTGGAGACTCTGGGGGCCAGTCTACTGTGTGGCTACATCTTTCTGCGCTGGGTGTTGGCTCTAAGCCCCATTTCCTTCCTGTTGGTAACGCAGAGCTCAGGCGCACTGGCTGCACTAGCTCTGAGCTACCGTCTACGGTTATATTATGTGCCAGTTCTGGCTATAGCAGTGGGGGTATTCACCTCACCAGGAATCTTCCTCTCCCTGTTTCTGTTGGCTGGCTCTCTGGGTAAACAGACAGGCCAATGGTTAAAGGACTGGCCAAAGAGAGGGCGCAAACTGTGGCTCAGAGCGCTACTTCGCTTGCCTCGGCCACTTTTTAGAGTCCTGCAGCGCTGTGGGGCTGCTGGCGAAGGAGGTCTGTTTTACCTTTTCCCCAAAACGTACAAGGGTGGGTACCGCAGCCGTATCCCTGTTCTTGCAAGGAACTCTCAGGCTGGCAGTGGAAAAACCTTGTGGAATAGCCTAGTGAGGACACCCAAACTACTGACCAAAGCATTAAATGATAGCCTGGCGCAAGGGGTTAGGAGACTGTGTGGCGTTCTGCCTCTTATGGTTCTCCAGTACTTGGAGAGGTTAAAACTGTTAAGGGTTGAAAAACCAAGCCGAATCCCGAAGCTGCAGAGTAGAGCGGAGCGTAGAAGAGAAGAATTGAAGCGGAGGGTGCAGCATGGCCCACTGATAGGCAGGTCAATGATCAGGCAGAGCACTGTAAGGAGATCAAACCCACAAATCCCATGGAGATGAGGCACTTTTTCCAGACTTGTCCCCCTTTCTAAAACCATAAAGTGCCTTAGAAGATAAATTGTCATGTTAGGGCAGCCCTGTAGGCCATGTCACTGGGATGACCTAATGTGATGCATTAATTTTTAAGAAAATTTGATGGACCATACCGCTGGTTGACCGAACAAGATACAGTTGTGTTAGAGCAGTCTAATGGACCATACCACTGGGGTGGCCTAATGAGTGACAGTTGTCTGGGCAATCCAGTGGATCATACCACTTTACCTGGGTAGAAGCAATCTGTGGTTTTAACCCAATTTATTGAACCATAACACAGGCGTGGCCTGAAGAGAGACAATGTTAGGGCAGTTCTATGGATCATACCACTGAGTTGACCTTGAAGGGTTTTTGTTTTGTTTTTTCTGTTTTTCATATTTGGTTTGTGCTGGTCTCAAAGGCAGAGAAGCGGTTAAGGCGTCTTTCTTATTCTAGTAGACAAACGTTTCCGAGGTCTAAAACCACGCTAAGGGCAGGGCATTACACAGCATGCAACTTCATAAACAGCTGCTTTTGTCTCATGATATACTGTATTATTCTGTTAACTTGTGTGTCACTGTAATATATCTGTGCTTTCTTTTGGCAGACTGTGTGATTTCTGATGATGTCCGTGGCTGTATCACTTATAATACAGAGCTATTCTGCTGCTGCCCATTGTGACTTGGCTCTATTTACTGTGGTGCTGCCACGTCTAACATGGCTTTATTTAATAGAGTATCAAGGGGCCAATCTCTTTGCAAATTCTGTTTTGAGAATAGAACTTGTTAGAATTCCTGTGTCTGCAGTGACACCCTGTGGTTATTGTGAGTTTTGCAGTTCTTGTTGTTCTCAAGCAGCAGTGTAGGTGAGCTGGTGGAAGCTTGGTCTGTAATTAAAATCTAACAGACCTGTTTCACAGCAGTGTATCTGTGAGCGCTAGACCGACCTTGCATACACTAAAGTTTTTCAACTGAGATACTTTATAACTCTGTCCCTCAGCTTCTATGATTGTGTTTTTGTTGTTTTTTTGTTTTTGTTTTTTTTTTTTGGCTGACAAGGGGGTGATGGGAGTGGGGTCTCAGAAAATCACAATGAAATAAGTCCATATTTTCCTCTCTTACATTTCCTGTTACCTTATCAAACAGACCTGACCTCCTACAGGGACTTTAATTCTGTATCTAGTGACACCCAGTGGCTATTCTTTACATTGCAACTGTTCTATTGCTTCACAGATTGGAGGTATATTTATAGAGAGAGAGTTTTATTGCTAGATGGGGGAGGCACATTAACCTCTTCCTATGCCGGAGACCAGCCTATCCTAAACCTCTGCACTCAGGACAAAAAACAAAACAAAACACCATTTTTATTTTTTGGTATATCACCTTTTTTATTTTTTACCAGATTTTTGTGCATATTTTTATTTATTTTCTTCCCTTCCTGCACCTTGTTAAAACGATTACATAAAATTAATACCTGCTAACAATTCTGTACTTTATATACATAAAATATATATATTTAATTAACCCTTTTTCTGCCAGAGGGAGAGACACCAAAGGCAGCTAAGGTGTTAAATCTATTTATTTAACATTTCATAAATATGTATATATAATTCTGTCCATATTTTTTGTTCGTTTTTTTTTTTTTTTTCCCTCAGTGTAAAGATTTTTTTTTTGTGTCCTTTTTGTGTTTTGTTTTGTTTTTTTGTTGATTTTGTAATAAATGTGTTGCTGGATTTTCAACTCATTGAAGTGTCTTTCATTTCTTTATATTTTATCACCATCTGTCTGGGAATGGAGGCTGGGAAATCACACAAGGCGGTCTCTCATGAGCAAGGAAATGGTTAATGGTGCAGTGTAACACAGCCAGAGCTGACTGGGAAATTGAGTATGGCTAATGGGGAGGGGAGCTTGGTATCGTTGGGGACCTATGCTTCCTGCCACATAACCAGTGCCCTATTGCAGGTGTTGTGACTGTACCAAGCATTCTGTTTGCTTGTTAACGGATATGTGTGCACACTGGGTCGTGGTCAAATACTTGGGTACAGTCGTAGGGAAGTCTTGCCCTAATGCGCGATTACAGGAGAGTCTTCTACTAGTGTACAGTGGCAGGGGAGTACAGATAAACATCAATACTAGCAAGGAGTTTGCACATTTAAAGGGTATACATATTCTGGGACACAGAAGTATGTGCACACCTGATGTGTACAGATACAGAGGTGTGTGCACACCTGATGTGTACAGATACAGAGGTGTGTAGAGATACACAGGTGTGTGCACACCTGATGTGTAGAGATACACAGGTGTGTGCACACCTGATGTGTAGAGATACACAGGTGTGTGCACACCTGATGTGTAGAGATACACAGGTGTGTGCACACCTGATGTGTACTGGTAAAGGTGGGTACATACAACTTGGGGTCAGTGGCATGTACAGATGGGTATATACACACACCCTGAGAACAGTGATACTGTGTACAGAAATAGAGGTAAGCACTCCCTAAGGCCAGTGTAATATGTACAGATATTGGAGTATGTGCAGATAGACAATACATGGTTTGTATATGTCCTGGTGTTGTGTAAAGGTAGCGTATACACAAATTGTGTATGTGAGTTGGGTGTAATGTGTTCAAATAGTGTGGTATACATGTGGGACATCTATAATGTTTACTTTGGGTATACACACTGGCAATTGGCTATGTGTATGGGTAAAGGGGCTATGTGTACATTGGTTGGTGGTAGTGTATATGGGTAAAGGGGCTATGTGTACATTGGTTGGTAGTGTATATGGGTAAAGGGGCTATGTGTACATTTGGTTGGTGGTAATGTGTACGGGTAAAGGGGCTATGTGTACATTGGTTAGTAGTGTATATGGGTAAAGGGGCTATGTGTACATTGGTTGGTGGTAGTGTATATGCGTAAAGGGTTATGTGTACATTGGTTGTACATGAACTGGTGGTAATGTGGACGGGTAAAGCTATGTGTTGGCTGGTGGTAATTCGTACAGATAAAGTTGTACACACACAGGCCAGTGGTATTGTGGGGCAGGATATACATGTGCACAGTTGGGCTTGTAATGTGTAAATGTGGAGGGCTTTATATGTACAGATGGAATTGGTGTGCACACAGGCTGTTATTAAAGTGTACATATTTGATTCACTTTCTTTTTTCCTCCCCTCTCAATCCTTTCTCATTCACCTGTTTTGCTCTATGGTTTTGTTTTCTTACCCAACACTTTATCTGCATGGTCCTTTTCTTTCATTTTGTATCTTCTTTCCTTTACCAACGGTTTTCCTTCCTGCGGTTTCATGTCACCTCATCCTCTCTCTTCCCACTTTGATCCCTTCCGATTGATTTTGCCTCCTCTTCCTTTTTCCTCCTACCTTCAGTCCAAGGAGCTGCAGATAAAGCGCCAGTTTCAGGACACTTGTAAGATCCAGACGCGACAATATAAGGCTCTGCGCAACCACTTACTGGAGACTACACCCAAGAGTGAGCATAAAAGTATCCTGAAAAGACTGAAGGATGAACAGACTCGCAAGCTGGCAATCCTGGCTGAACAATATGACCACAGTATAAACGAGATGCTGTCCACACAAGCTGTACGTTACCCCTTTTCCCTGTCACAATAACTGACAAGTGGCAGCAACGCACCCCTCAAACTTCAGAGTAGGCAATTCTATAGTCACATTTTACACAAATACTAAGCAGTGCTATCCGTTTAATCCCTGCCGCTAATACGACATACCCATAGTAATCCATCCCCTGCCGCTAATACTGCGCACCCATAGTAATCCACCCCCTGCCGCCAATACTATACACCCATAGTGATCCATCCCCTGCCGCCAATACTACACACCCATAGTGATCCCTCCCCTGCCGCCAATACTACACACCCATAGTGATCCCTCCCCTGCCGCCAGTACTACACACCCATAGTGATCCCTCCCCTGCCGCCAATACTACACACCATAGTGATCCACCCCCTGCCGCCAATACTACGCACCCATAGTGATCCACCCCCTGCCGCCAATACTACACACCCATAGTGATCCATCCCCTGCCGCCAATACTACGCACCCATAGTGATCCACCCCCTGCCGCCAATACTACGCACCCATAGTGATCCCTCCCCTGCCGCCAGTACTACACACCCATAGTGATCCCTCCCCTGCCGCCAATACTACACACCCATAGTAATCCCTCCCCTGCCGCCAGTACTACACACCCATAGTAATCCCTCCCCTGCCGCCAGTACTACACACCCATAGTGATCCCCTGGTCATTTTGCTGATGTAATATGGGGATGTCCTATTAAACAAGTATTTGTACACAGTGGAATCCTACTACCTGCTCACTCAGCTTTCTTACTGTGAGTGCATCAAGCGCCCCTGCCTAGTGTGCGTGGACCGTGTGAGCAGGATGTGCATAGTAACGTTGCCCTTGTCGGCTCCATGGGGAAGCAAGCTTTCCACGTGCAATGGCACTAAGAATGGGGCAATAAAGATTTCACAGATGCGGAGTGAGAAGAGAGTGCAGATAAGATTAGACTAATGGTTTATTGTAAAATGCAGATCGCTTGGGATTTAAAAAATAAAATAGCAATAATTTTGTTTTGACACTGCATGTTATGTGAAATATTTAACTAGAAAAGTATTTTTATAAAGGGAGCAAACATTGAAGCATTGCTGTTTTTTTTGTTTAATGATTGTGAGTGGATTATTTAACTGTATTTTTTAGTGTTACTGCCATTGTGAGTGTTAATATTGTGATATCTCGCCCTTCTATTGCATTTAGTTGCGTCTGGATGAGACCCAGGAGTCTGAGTACCAAGAGCTGCGGATCCAGCTGCAGAAAGAGCTGGAGCTTCTAAATGCTTATCAGAGTAAGATCAAAATTCACACAGAAGCCCAGCATGAACGGGAGATCAAGGAGTTGGAGCAGCGCGTGTCAATCCGCCGGGCGTTACTGGAACAAAGGGTGAGTGTGCCAGAGCTAATCAGAAACAGGCAATGTGTTGGCATTGTGACGTCCAGTCCTACAGTTTGCTCTGAAGCTGGGCATGGGATTACTTGATCCATAACAATACTAGTCTCAATTGTCCCCACAGATAGAAGAGGAGATGCTGTCCCTGCAGAGCGAACGCTCCGAACGGATTCGGAGCCTCCTAGAGCGACAAGCCCGTGAAATTGAAGCCTTTGACTCTGAGAGCATGCGACTAGGATTCAGCAACATGGCACTGACTGGAATTCCTGCCGAAGCCTTCAACCAGGGTTACCCTGCTCCTCCGCCCGGATGGCCTTCCCGACCTGTTCCTCGCAGCGGCTCACATTGGAGTCATGGGGTGCAGAACACGGGTGCCCCTCAACTCTGGCGACAGCCTACCTTGCTGGCTCCCCCTTCCTCGTCTTGGAGCTTGCACCCACCGGGCTCATCATCCTCTGCCATGCCCTCCTCCTCTTCTTCATCATCTTCTGCCTCCCCATCTTCCTCTTCATCGGGCGGTCGTGCAGGTCTTCTGCTGCTTCGCAATAGCCCACAGCCCCTGCGGAGAGGAGCGTCAGGGGGTCCAGCTGAAGCTGGTTTGAGCCGCAGCACTAGCGTCACCTCCCAACTTTCCAATGGCTCTCATCTGTCCTATTCCTAAGCCACTGCTCCTCCACAGCCAAAGGGAGCTCCTATTAAATGCCAGACATGGGGAGGGGGCCATCTTGCTGTCTGCATACTTTTGATCTCTTGGTCATACCCGCTAATATCCAGACTTTTAGGGTGTTGTCTTCAAACCCCAACCCCTCTTAAACTTTTTTTTTTTTTATTTTTTTTTTCTCCTCTTTTGTTTTATTGCACCAAAACCGCATTTGACCTTTTGTATGCTGGGGATTCCTTCTTGCATTCAAGAGGCTGATGCATTTTCATTTTTGTTAATTATTCTTATTCCCTCACCCGTATCCTGCCAACGCTGGGTTATGATCCTCCTGTATATAATTACTTTGCCCTACTCCTCACTAAATTTTTTTTGTTTTGTTTTGTAAAGATTTTTGGTTTGCTAGAGGATTTAACTCATTTCAATGGCAGCAGTACAAATCAAAGGCACTTGCACTTCTGTCCCTTGATTTGGTTAAATACATATAAATATATATAATTTTTTTTTTTATCCCTTTTATTATATGTTAAGTGCTGTATTATTTTAATGATGTTGTCACTGGGTTTTCTTATGGACGGTTGTGAGTCTGTGAGTGTGTATTGTGAGTGTGTGAGGCTGGGAGAATGAACTAAAATTTCCCTTTTTTTTTTTTTAAATAGATAAGAAAAGAAAAAAAAATATATGACAAACTATTAAGGAATGTATTAAAAAAAAAAAAAAAATTCAAACTACTCCATATCCCCTTGGGGGACATCCAGGGGCCGTGGGCCAACATTTTTTTTTTTTTTTTTTTTCCCTTTTCTTATTTTTGAAAAAGAGGAGGTAAATTGGACATTGTTCAGTTTGCTGCAGACCCGTGGAGATCAGAGACTTTACAGTACTTGGAAAATGTTGGATATTAAAGGATTAAACTGGATTACAGATGTGTTATTTTTATTTAGAAGGTGCTAACATATTTTGCAGAATTGTACAACAGACAGGCAAAACATTCAAATGGAGGGGGGTTCACATGGTTGTCTGTAAATAGTGGTCTGTGGAAGATCATAGCATCCGTACCGGCAGAGCCTCTAAGACAGTGACAGTAAATCCGTGACTGGCGTGTCACTCTAGCTACAGTTTACCTATGGATCATGAAGATTTGAGTACATTTAGAACCAAGGCACGGTCACATCACCAGCTAACCTGGTAATGGCTCTGGCTGATGCTCACCGATGGCTTTAAGTGGAGACGTTCCAAATGTTGCTTAAGTTTTAGGGTTCCTTTCCTGGTTTCCATTGAGCTGTGTTGGGCATACCGTGCTTTTTCTGGGGTTCATCGGGCTGTGTTGGGCATACCGTGGTGTGCCTGGTGTTTATTGGGCATAGCGTGCAGTGTCTGGTGTTCATTCAGCTGTGTGGGGCATACTGTGCTGTTTCTGGGGTTTATCAGGCTGTGTGGGGCATACCGTGCTGTGCCTGGTGTCCATCACAATGGGCAGATCCTAGGTGGCTGCACCTGGCGTCTGTTTCACTCAACCGGTCATGGAGTGACACGCCTGGCACCAACTTGAGCTGCGCATGTCAATGGTGGCCAGCCTTGGGGCCCCTAGTTATTGGCAGACCAAGAAAAATTCCCTAATCACTGCTATTCATAGTGACTGCTGGTAGAGGCTTCTTGTGTCCTAGCAACCACTATCTCCATGGAAACCAGGTCTCAAATTTATATATCACTGCCTGCGCCCAAGATTTCCGGTAGCGTGTAATGTCTAATGCAGCTTGTAGACAATGGATTATTAAAACGCCCGGGAAAAGTTTAGCTTGTCAACATTTACAGAGTATACTATTTTATAATCTGCACTGTTTAACTAGAGAAATGGCAGCTCATGTTCTAATCTGCGATTAGATTTAGATTTTGTGGTCTATTTACTTCCAGCTATATATAAAGAGCCATTTCTAGGGTCACAGGATTACATTCAAAGTACAAAATCAATCAATTTGGAAATAGCCAACATCCCAAGAAAATGGAAGCTGAAGTCGAGAGAAGTAGGAGCAGCTTAGTGAAGGAAGTGGAGACGTGACCTGTGAGGCAGAGATTTTGTCACAGCCCTGTAAGAAGGCCAGCAGGGTGCATTCAGTAGAGGAATTGTAAGGCAGCACAGGTGGTAATAGGTTACATGTGTAGCGGTAACAGGAAGCCGGTGAATGTATAGAGAGAAAACTAAACCAGTGGGTGTTGTGGAGGATACTGATTGTAACTACGTGTCGTGGTCAGTTTTTATTTATTTAATAAAGCTCCCTTGCATTCTGAGAAGGCATAGACATGGCATTATATGCAAATTAACTTTCTGGCCTCTGATACAATGATAACATCCCACTGCGTATAATTTACTTGCAACTTTGAATAAAACATACTATGTCATGGTAGGTGTGAGCCAGTCCCTTTTTATTGCACAGAAGATTGCCTCTTTACAATGGGAAGCAACCAACAGGGGCAGCGCTGCACACACAATGTAGCATTCTTCCACAACAACAAAAAATGAAACAGTCTTCAAAATAGATGCAGGTGAATGTAGAGTCATCTGCCCACCAGCTAAGGGCATGTGTACCATTTATTTAGGCTGCCCTGTGCATCAATTAGTGTTCGCTTCAATCCAGTCTTTTGCATCATTAACCTCCCTGGCGGTCTGATTAGGTCAGTGTTTTTAATGTTAAAGCAGTACCTTGTTTTACAATGTATTGTGTGTGTATATATTTTTTTATTTTATTTTTTACTAACGGGCTCGTAGTTACATTCATAGTTACATAGCTGAAAAGAGACTTGCATCCATCAAGTTTAACCTTCCTCGCATATGTGTTTGCTGTTGATCCAAAAGAAGGCAAAAAAAACCTAGTCTGAAGCACAATTTTGCAACAAGCTAGGAAAAAATTCCTTTTTGATCCCAAAATAGCAGTCAGATGTCTCCTTGGAGGTTAACAGCAGCCATCTTGGACGTGCTATCTGTGAATTTCCAGTCTGTATATTTTGATTTATGGATTTTCTGACCTAGGTTGTAGTTTAGAGTATATATACATGAAGGTGGTCATTGTCTAAGAGTAATTGTAAAGGTGGATTTGTCAGAAATTGGTGGAAAATTAGGGATGCTAGGAAGGAAAAGGACCTAGCTCAATATATGAACCAGTGCAAAAAGATACCCTCTAAATCACTTCAACTACATCACGTGCCAAACTGCACTCTAAATCACAGACCCCCAAAATAAGACTACTTTAGAGCTAAGGCCCCCATACGAAGATAAGATACATTGATAACTATAATGTGTAGAATATAAGGTAGATCTACATTTATGGTTGTCCCATCGTGGGAATAAGTGTGTATTATTAAAGGGTTGACGGGACATTATAGTCGCCAGAACAATGACCGCGTATTGTATTTGTTCTGGTGAGTATATCATGTCCCTGCAGGCTTTTTGCTGTAAACATTGTCGATGTTTGCAGTGCTCCCCAGGGACACCTTTAGTAGGAGTCACACAGACGGCCACTAGAGGTGCTTCCTCGAGCAGTGCTGCACACTGTTGGTTAGCGTCTCCATGCAGAGTGCAAAAGCTTTAACCATAGATATGCATTGACTGAATGAAGAGATGCTGATGGGCCAGGCTGGTGTTTGGCTCTGCCCCCTTGACCTGCCTACTTGGCTGAGTTGATCAGAATTGACAATCTCTGCCAATCCAATGCTGTGCTATGGAAAAACATTGTGATTGGCTGAGATCATTACTACCCCCCCAAAAACAAAAATTAGGCGGTGGGAGAGGGCTAGATAGTGAGTTTAACACTTTATGGTCCATAATACACATTTGTGTTCCTTTAACATTAGTGCATAAAGCTCTATAGAGCACTTACAAACATCAACCTTCGATTGGACCATTTAGCCAGCTCACAGCACAGTACTGTTCTATCCCGCAGCATATACATTCTATATGATAAAGGGCAGCATTTTCATGTTACCAGAAAACACAATGATATGTCTGTGAAAACATGGTGGATATTTACAACTGTGACATTGGAACCCATGGGATGCGGCAGATGGACAGTGAAATCGGGCTAGTCTGGTCTGTATCTGGGTACGGTAAAACTGTCTTGTGATTTATAAAGTACTGAAGGCTACACATGGAAGGGGGAAAAGACTTGTATCCTACTGGGTATTGACGGCCACATATGGCAGATCGGATGGACTTGTGCTGTAATGAACGGCCACATATGGGCATTCCTGTTATTTACCCTCTGAGCAGTCAATCAGGAAAGCACAATATAAAATTGAGCCAACTCTCCGCTCTTAGGGTGGCTGAGAACTGCAGTGATTTGTAAAGTCTGCATCGCTATAAAATGCCTTCGCAAGCGGTTAATCAGGCAGAAAAAATAAAAAAAACATTCTGAGTAGGATAATAGTAAGTTCCAAGCGATGGGCAGTGTACACAATGAGTGCAGCCCTGCCATCAGTTTACAGAGCAACTACACTCATTCTAAGTGATGATTGGGATTGCACCGTGCAATGCTTGGAATACTCCCGCGTGACGGCTGGGATGGTCCTCCCGCGTGACGGCTGGGATGGTCCTCCCTCGTGACGGCTGGGATCCTCCTCCCGCGTGACGGCTGGGATGGTCCTCCCGCGTGACGGCTGGGATCCTCCTCCCGCGTGACGGCTGGGATGGTCCTCCCGCGTGACGGCTGGGATGGTCCTCCCTCGTGACGGCTGGGATGGTCCTCCCGCGTGACGGCTGGGATCCTGCTCCCGAGTGACGGCTGGGATGGTCCTCCCGAGTGACGGCTGGGATGGTCCTCCCGAGTGACGGCTGGGATCCTGCTACCGCGTGACGGCTGGGATCGTCCTCCCGCGTGACGGCTGGGATCGTCCTCCCGCGTGACGGCTGGGATCGTCCTCCCTCGTGACGGCTGGGATGGTCCTCCCGAGTGACGGCTGGGATCCTCCTCCCGCGTGACGGCTGGGATCGTCCTCCCTCGTGACGGCTGGGATCCTCCTCCCTCGTGACGGCTGGGATCCTCCTCCCTCGTGACGGCTGGGATCCTCCTCCCTCGTGACGGCTGGGATCGTCCTCCCTCGTGACGGCTGGGATCGTCCTCCCTCGTGACGGCTGGGATCGTCCTCCCGCGTGACGGCTGGGATCGTCCTCCCGCGTGACGGCTGGGATCCTGCTCCCGCGTGACGGCTGGGATGGTCCTCCCGCGTGACGGCTGGGATGGTCCTCCCGCGTGACGGCTGGGATGGTCCTCCCGCGTGACGGCTGGGATCGTCCTCCCGAGTGACGGCTGGGATGGTCCTCCCGCGTGACGGCTGGGATCCTGCTACCGCGTGACGGCTGGGATCGTCCTCCCGCGTGACGGCTGGGATCGTCCTCCCGCGTGACGGCTGGGATGGTCCTCCCGCGTGACGGCTGGGATCGCTCCCAGGATACTTATTGTTTTATAAGAGTTTCTGCCTGAGATAACTGTAGAGGTATAATATTTGTATTTGGGGTTTTACTTCTCCCCATACATTAAATAATCAGTTAATTGATAATAATAATTGGTTTTACCCCATGGTTTCCAGATCATAGATTCGCTTCGATAAAATAAACAAATGTTGGAGGACCAAACCGAAACATCCGGCAGGAGGAGCCAAAGCCTCCCGCTCAGTCTCAGTCAGGGCACTCTATGATCTCCCTCCACAGGAGACGCTCTATCTGCCTTCTCCATTCAATGTCTATGGTATTACAGCCGTGCTTCCGGGAGATACCAAGATTGGGGGCGGGGGGAGCCGGATGCACCAAGCTGCGATACGCTGAATGCCCCTCTCCAAGTCCAGGGATCGGGAAGACGCGGAGTCAGATCGGTGACGTCAAGGATAGAGCTGTGACGTCAGAGCCTCGCCTGTCAAGATGGCGGAGAATATCTTTGTGTTCGTCCCCAACCTGATCGGTGAGAGGGGGCGGCCATGTTAGAGTGCGAGCTCTGTGGGCTCAGATAATCCCCAACACCATCACCACTGCATCCCAAACACCATCACCACTGCATCCCCAACACCATCACCACTGCATGCCCAACACCATCACCACTGCATGCCCAAACACCATCACCACTGCATGCCCAACACCATCACCACTGCATGCCCAAACACCATCACTACTGCATGTCCAACACCATCACCACTGCATGCCCAACACCATCACCACTGCATCCCAAACACCATCACCACTGCATGCCCAAACACCATCACCACTGCATGCCCAAACACCATCACTACTGCATGCCCAAACACCATCACTACTGCATGTCCAACACCATCACCACTGCATCCCAAACACCATCACCACTGCATCCCAAACACCATCACCACTGCATCCCAACACCATCACCACTGCATCCCCAAACACCATCACCACTGCATGCCCCAAACACCATCACCACTGCATGCCCCAAACACCATCACCACTGTATCCCCACCATCACCACTGCATGCCCCAAACACCATCACCACTGCATGCCCAACACCGTCACCACTGCATCCCCAACACCGTCACCACTGCAGCCCAAACACCGTCACCACTGCATCCCCAACACCGTCACCACTGCATCCCCAAACACCGTCACCACTGCATCCCCAACACCGTCACCACTGCATCCCCAAACACCGTCACCACTGCATCCCCAACACCATCACCACTGCATGCCCAAACACCATCACTACTGCATGTCCAACACCATCACCACTGCATCCCCAACACCATCACCACTGCATGCCCAAACACCATCACCACTGCATCCCAAACACCATCACCACTGAATGCCCAAACACCATCACCACTGCATCCCAAACACCATCACCACTGCATCCCAAACACCATCACCACTGCAGCCTCAAACACCATCACCACCGCAGTCCCAAACACCATCACCACTGCAGGTCAGCCCTGTCCTCAGTCTGCATGTCTCTGTGTATTGAAATAACACTCCAAGCACCATCATCACTGCAGGATTATGTAGTGATTATGGTGCGCCCCATTGTAAGTAGTCAGATCATTTTTACTTATTACCCGCTGTCTGCCAGGCGCCGCTCCCCATCTCCACTACATCAGTCACAGAGGATACTCGGACACTTCAGCCTGCGAGCTAGCCCTGCAACGCAGAGCTCCTGTCAATCATTTCTGGCTGAGGTAGTGGAGGCTGGCAGCAATGTCAAGCAGACCCAAGGTAAAACGTTGAACTGTTCTAAACCAGTTTGGTTTATTATTATATATGGGGAGAGTGTGGCACCATAACCACTACAGTGTGCTGAAGTGATTATGGTGCTTGGAGTGATCCTTGTTGATTACATTTTTGTTTTTTATTGTGTAATTTTCTTGGCTCCTAAAGCAGCTTGTGGTAACAGTGGGATGTGGAATTACTGTATATCTCATAAAGGGTTTTATTGCCCCAGCCACATTAGGGCTCATTCATTAAAACGGAATATTAAAATCAAAATGGCCAGGATTCCCAGCCTGCTCTCTGACTCGGTGAGTGCCAGACTGCAGCGAAGTAATTTCTGTGGTCTGCACCTGCCAGAGGTACACCCCACACGCTACTAAACCAGACAACCAGGGACCATAGCCACTCGTACTGCGTAAAGCTAAATAGAAGACTCACACAAAAACATCACACACGTAGTGATAGCATACATCATGCAGCCAACGCACAACACACACACACACACATATACACATACATCACACAGCCAGTACGCAACATACACATACATCACACAGCCAGTACGCAACACACACATACATCACACAGCCAGTATGCAACACACACATACATCACACAGCCAGTATGCAACACACACATACATCACACAGCCAGTATGCAACACACAAGGCATGTGCTTATTGTACACAATGGACATTTCGTATCAGAACTCATTTTATCCTAGCAGTGCGCCTTTATAATTGTATTTTGTTAATTCTGACCTGCAGTGTTTCCATCTCTTAAATAGACAGGACAATTGCCAGGAATTCAATGTGAAGTTTAAAATTTATGCCAAAATAGCTGAATTAGAAAAATTCTCCAAGTTAATTCTGTTTGTTTGTTTTTCTTTAATTTAGTTCTCACTGAATTCCTGTCAGTTCTCCGTTCACTGAATAACTCTGTCTGTTTATATCCTTCACCTCTCTTGGATTTTCTAACTGTTTTTTTTACATTTGTTTTTGTTCTGTCTGGTTTTACCCCAGGTTATGCGCGGATCCTTTTCGCATTCATCGCTTTTTATTTCATGCCCGATTCCCCTCTCGTGGCCTCTACATTTTACCTTCTCAGTGGCTTGCTGGATGCTTTCGATGGATATGCTGCCCGAGCCCTTAACCAGGGTAAGAAAAAACCTGAAACATGTAAAACAAGATGGCTGCCTTGTAGAATAGTAGTTTGCTTGTACCAATGACAGGCTGTCACAAAGCCATTGGAACAGTGAGAGAGAGTCGTGGCAGATTTGAGAGAGGGGATGGGAGTGAGATTAACATTACTAGTCAGATTGAGAATGAATGAAGTATAAACGCTACCGGATCGCTGGTGTCTTTACAAACATAGTCCAGAAATGGTACCCATTCCTGACCCAGAACAAAGACGAGAGTTCTAGTCTCTTCACTTGCCCTCCTGCAGGTACCAAGTTCGGAGCGATGTTGGACATGCTGACTGATCGCTGTGCCACCATGTGTCTGCTGGTTAACCTGTCCCTCCTGTATCCATCGTACACTGTACTATTCCAGCTCAGTATGAGCCTGGACATTTCCAGCCACTGGCTGCATCTTCACAGGTACCCCAGTGCCACCAACCAAGCGTGTCTGTCGCATTCTCTGATTAGAATGTCATGTGGAGCATTGTGTTCTTTATAATGATCAGCTTTCCCTTTTATCCCACCAGCTCCATCCTAAAAGGCAGTGACAGTCACAAGACCATCGACCTGTCCGGAAACCATATTCTTCGTCTGTATTACACCTCCAGGGTGAGTATCCTGCATATTTCTATTTCTCTAACATCTTGTCGTGTATTCCAATCTTTTTTTTCTTTTTCACTCAGCCTGTCCTGTTCCTGATGTGCGCTGGCAATGAGCTGTTTTACTGTATGCTGTACTTACTGCATTTTACCGAGGGACCCGCAGGTTAGTATGAGATATGGGGTGATTATTCTAATGAACTAAGAGCAAGATCTTCAGCCACTGCAGAACTGTAACTCTGCTACCCCTGGTCTGCAGAGAGAGGACGATTGTACAGCTCTTTGAAACATTTATTTTCCATAAACTGATATGAAAAGTCCAGTAATGACACAGCGTGGGAGAACAATTGTATAACAATGCTGCAGAGGATCATGAGAAAATAAAGCTTTTATTAATGCCGCAGGGGATGGTGGGGGGAGTATATTAATGCAATGCTGCAGAGGATCATGGGAGAACAATGTTATTGCAATGCTGCAGAGGATCATGGGAGAACAATGTTATTGCAATGCTGCAGAGGATCGTGGGAGAACAATGTTATTGCAATGCTGCAGATGATCGTGGGAGAACAATGTTATTGCAATGCTGCAGAGGATCGTGGGAGAACAATGTTATTGCAATGCTGCAGAGGATCATAATAAAATAAATCCTATAACAATGCTGCAGGGGATGTTAGATCAGCATGGCTGGATTGTAACCAAATCTACACAACACCTTAGTGACAAACCGTAAAACTGTGAAATTGCCTGTTTTAGGGAGAAATTGCTTTGTTGAAGAATTTTAGAAATTCGGCTATTTTGGGCCAAAATGGTCCATTCTCTGTAGTTTTTGGCTTAGTGTATAAACCTTTGTCTCTTTCTTCATTTTTACACCTCTCTCTCTCTTGTTCTCCCTCAGTCATCCTGGGGCCTCTCGGGACTGTTGGCATCTTCCGGTTAATCCTCTGGATATCCATCCCGGTATCCATGGTTAAATCTCTTATCAGTCTCCTCCACCTGGTCACCGCCTCCTGTAACATGGCTTCCCTTGACTGCGCTGAGCGCTCCAAGAAGAAGTGAAACCTGGGCTGAGACTGCAGCTTCCAAGCCAGACCGATTAAATCCTAAAGTATCCCATGTTCTGCTGCTAAGTGTTTATTCTGTGTATTCCAAGCAGTATATCTGGTTATCATCATCACTGCCCAGGAGCTGGTCCGCCGCGCCACCTGGTAGTGAGAAATAAAATCACCTGTTGGGGCTGGGTGGTATATTGGGGGTTTATGCTTGGTTATAATTTTCAGGTTGGTATAAAAGCTTTTGGGGCAAAAGGGGTTAAATATCTTTCCTATGACTGTACCCTCCATGTGGAAACAAGGGGTATTTACTTATATAATGCAATACATCACAGAGCAGATTGATATCCATGTACGGCCCCAGCATCGATGTCTGGGTAGCACAGAATTCACGTTTCTGGAAACAAACTTTTAAGATAAAATCTGGGTTTGTTTTTGGTTTTCTTCTTTCAGTATCACTGAATTAAATTTTTTGTTATTTATGTAATTTGTGTATGTGTTTTAATTCTCCATTTTTGTATTGTAACCTTGATGTATTTTGTTCATTACGTGGGGAACAATTTATGTTGTTGTTGTTGTTATAAACTTTATTTCCAGAAAACCTCTGTGTCCTGCTGTGCACCCAGAATCCTTTGCCCCTGCATTGATGTAGGTGTTGGCAGCCACTGTATGTTTAAGGGTGAACAAGCAAGGGCCGATAGCAGCCAAGTGTTTTATTATTTCCCAAAAGCAGGTTAGAATTTTGCCTTTTATCTACAGTAGCTCCTGTTCTAATTTTCCTTCTCTTTATGCAAATCTTACTTTTTTCACAATTCCCAGTTCCTGTAAAGTTTGTCAACTCAGGGAGAAAAGTAACTGACAGCAAGAGGACCAGCATTGGCTGCGATACCTCAGCCACTTCCTGTCCCTGCAGACATTACTGTAGAAGGAGATCCTGGGGTCTTGCTCCAACTCAAGGGTCATTTCAAGAGTTTTTTCCTTTTTAATATAAAAAACACAATGTGTATATATAATTTTTTCCAAGTTCGTTATCTTCATAAAGCATTAAAAACATACGGGACAACTACTCGCAGAAGCTACTTTAACTGAAATAAAAACACAATTTGTGTAAAAGATACTCGGGGGGGTTGGGGGGGGGGGGGTTATTTATCAAATTGTGAATTGGAACCTAAATGACAAACTTTAGAGCTGATTTAGAATAAAACCAAAATCACTTAAAACGTCGCTGTAATTCTGAATAATCCCCTTGTTTCCCTGTTGCTGTGTGCACAGAATATTGTGTTAGGGATACCCGAGGGCTGTGTTAACCCACACACGGTCACATTTCCAGCCACTGAATGTGGTTGTCCTATTATTTCTTTCTTATTTTTTCTAGAATTCGAATAAATCAGGGATAGCGTAATAAACCGATAGCACAAACAGCTGCAGAAGTGTTAACTTATTCATAGAAATGACATCATATGGTCCATCAGACCTGTTTAAAATCCACATTGGGCATTTAACGGTTAAGACAAACGGCATAATATGTTCTATGGTAAATCATGTACATTAATTGTTTTATTCACTGTATCACTTGCTTCCTCTGTGTTCCCCATATTTATGATAAAATGTAATAAATATGCAATGATACCCAAGACACGCGTGTTATCTGTGATTGTGTGTGTGTGTCTACATACAGTGTTCTAAAACTTGCTTTTAAAACTTGCACCGTGTTAAATTTAACCCTTAGATTTTGTAAATGACGAGTTCCTTGACTGGCTAAAAAAATATTTTTTTAAATCTCAATTTAAGCCATACAGCCAGAGTTCAATGAAAAATGTCCTACTCAAAATAACTATTTTGGGACACACAAGGCTATTCAGTAAAGTCTGCAAGGTTTTCCATCGGCTACTTTGACCTGAAGTTTGATATTAACTTTGAATTCCCAGAAGGTGATACTTAACCCCTTAAGGACCAAACTTCTGGAATAAAAAGGAATTATGACATGTCACACACGTCATGTGTCCTTAAGGGGTTAAAGGGACACTCCAGGCACCCAGACCACTTCTGCCCATTGGAGTGGTCTGGGTGCCATCTCCCACTACACTCTCAAGTGTAATTATTGCAGTTTCTAGTACTAGACAGCTAGTAGAGGGCACTTCCTTGTCCACAGCTCCTCCCAGTGATTGCGTTGGCCGGTGGGCGAGACTGATCCCGCCCACCGGCCAGGGAGACCTATAGGAAAGCATTGAAAATGCTTTTCAATGCTTTCCTATGGGGAAATGAGCGACGCTGGAGGTCCTCACACAGCGTGAGGACGTCCAGCGACGCTCTAGCACAGGTTTTCTGTGCTATGATGCAGGAAGTGCGCTCTAGTGGCTGTCTATTAGACAGACACTAGAGGTGGAGTTAACCCTGCAAGTTAATTATTGCTGGACTGATGGCTGTACCAGGTGAATACAGGAGCACCCATTAGATGCCAGCTTTCCCACACTAATGGTTCTATGGAACTCACAGGGAAAAGACTGTCACATAGCAGTATTGGGGAGGAGATGCTCAGTTTTACAGCAGTAAATCACAATTTATTTATTTTTTTTCCAGAATCTAAATTGCTAGATGTATGATATCGCCATAGAAACTTCAATTGTCTTGCGAGTGCAGGTACGGAGTTCTAATAATCGCGATAGAAAGTGCTCGTTTGCCTATTATCAAATTCCTCTCCTAAAACAATGAAAGATGTTTATATTAAAAAGATTAGATCTTACTGGAAAGGGATAATACAATGTTACAGCAGTAGCAGACTGTGTGCTGAGAGGTGAAATACCACCTTGCACAGGTAGGGGGCAGTATGACTTGTCAGTATTATTATAGCCTCAAGGCTTCGATAAACTGCGTCCGGCAGCAACAGAAAATGGGGTCTGCATTCCTGCCCATTACAAACATGGCTGCAGTAACAGCATCGCTTGCCCAAATCAGGGCGGTGTACTGCTGGTGACATCACAAGGGTTTCTGAGTAGTGACATTAAAATTACATTTTAACCATTTTTACCATAATTTTAAAATGTATTTTTATTGTTTTTATTTTGTCTCAAACAATGCCGGTCCTGACAGATCGATAGATATTATAGAGATACACACACGATATCTCACCAAAAAAGGAAAGCAGTTTATTTTCATTTTTTTCCGCCTCTTTGTTGAAACATGAATAGATGTTAAAGCTGGATCCAAACACCAAGCTCTACGCTAACGGTAAATTGTATTTTATTAACACGTTGACCACGCTCATCCCTCGGCTCCCTAACCCTATTTTTAAATTTTGTGATAACTGAGCATTTATCCCAAACAGCTGTGATTACACAAACCCACCCACAGTGGGCGCTACCTTGCAAACAATAAGAAACTTCAAGGGAAACGGTCAACTTCCTTGATTTTTTTATAGTCTGTATTAAATATGTTTGTGATGTATTGAAAATAAAATGTAGAATTTCACACATACTGTAACTGGCTGCTTCCATCTTGGCTCCCTCTCAGTCGCTCTGATAAATGCTGCTCTTCTCTGTCATTGGACAAAGAAGGAAACATTTTGCATTGTATGCCTTGGCTGTGCCAGGACTGACCTACATGATGATGGCACTTTGCCATACATTTTAAAAGAAAATGGAGTCTTTCAGAAGAAAAGATATGTACACACGTTATTGGTGATCCTTAATGATTTATTCCATTACCAGTAAAGTAACAGTTTTGCTTTAAGAGCTTGGATTTCTTATACACAGACTTTTCCTTCACAGGGGAGGGTATACATCTATGTAAAGCTGCCAGGCTGCAGGACGTTCAATATTATTAATCCAAGGGAACGCTCTGAATGATTTCAGTAGTGTAACACATTTCCCTCCTGCAGCATCTGATTCCTACATACTATAAGGACAGCAAGCACTTTCTATGAGTTGGCCACTGGCACAAACAAGAATAAAGTGTCCAAGGAAACGTGAGGGAGCGGAAAGCTAAAACAGTTACAGAAATAAAAAGGAGTTTAAAGGGGACTAAGTAGTTTATTTTGCTGAAGTGTTTTTGGGGTCAAGAGCGTTTCCTGTTTTTATTTCAATTAGACAATCGGTCCTGTTACTTCCTGGTTTGTTTAGCTCAGCGGAACTAAACTCAAGGAGGCAGCAATTACCCAGAGCAGCTGCATTGGGAGTCTGTGATTGGACAGCTACAGAAAGTCTGGGCCGGGTTAGAAGGGGAGGGCTTGCAAAGGCTGCAGACAAGAGATCAGCAGCTATTGCAAGCCAAGATTTTCTATACCCACAAATAAAACATGCAAAACAAAAATCATGTGCCTATTTTCCTTGGAGGCATACCTATTACATTGCTTGTTTTCTCCAAGTGTTCCTTTAAGAAGATAAGGCTAAATATATCTGGTATATCGTTGTGAATAATAAAATCCATTACTTGTGTTAGAAATGAGATTATTTATACTCACATAAAGCCATCCCCTGTTTTTGGGATCCTGTAGACCAGTCCAGATTTAGGGATTACCCACTTGTGTTTAAGAACCCCTACTAAAGACTGATAAAATAATGATTAGGTGTAATTAATAACAGGTTGCTTATTAATTAATGGTTGATTAGTATCCACTCATTTAAATTAGACTAGAAAAGTAATATTCAAGATTATTCATTAAACCTTGAATTGTGAGGATTTAAAAATGGAATTGTACATTTTAGCCTAGAATGGCAGAGATTCAAATCTAGCGTGGTGGAGATTTTAACACAGTCTGCAAAGCACAAACGGCCCAGGTTCTGTTTGTGTCCTTATAGAAGGGGGTTTTAACTGAGCCCAGTCTGTGTGCTGGGAGGCCGGGCCTGGGAGCCGTATTGAACAGTTGGTTGTGGGTTTGCGTAGAATATCTTCACGTTCTTGTGGTTTCAGTAACCTACAAAGAACATTTTATACAACTTCTATTGTCCACAAACATCAACAAACCGTTTTCAGACACTTTTGTCAGATCGGACTGATGAGATAGAATCTATGAACTCATATTGAAACCAACACAGGATAGGCAACCTTCGGCACTCTCGATATTGTGGACTACATCTCCCATAATGCTCTTACAGCCATAGGGTTGGCAAAGTATCAGTAGAGAGGTAGTCCCCATCTGGAGTGCCAAAGATTGCCTACCCATGGCGAACACATTCCAAAGATAGAAGGTAGAACAGGGACTGCACTGTGCTAAAGGCAAAGTTCAGTTTAAAAAAAAAGAAAAAAAAAAAAAAAAGGGAGGGTGAGTGTAAAACTGGCAAATATTTTCAGATAAGTATTTTGTGTTAGTTTCTCCCCTCCTCAACCATAAAAAAAATACATGTCACCTTGGGGTTATTTTACTAAATATCTATAAACCCCTAAAGGGTCCTTTAACTCCTTAAGGACCAAACTTCTGGAATAAAAGGGAATCATGACATGTCACACATGTAATGTGTCCTTAAGGGGTTAAAAAGTTTACAGAGATAGTTCTACTGAAACCGATAATTAACTTCATATTTAATAGCAGTTCCCCACTTTGGTATGGTATAGTCTATATAAATAAATCTCTCTAATCTATTGACTATAGCCACATACAGAACATGTGCTGGTTTCCAAAAGGATTGCATCACATTTAGCGTTTTGTCTATAGACACGCGGCCAGTAGTATAACTGTGTGAGTGTCCAATAATTACACAATAACCCAGGTGTATCCATAATGGCTGCAGGTTGGACTGGGATTCTCGTCTAAAAGTGCCTGCGGGATATTTTCAAGTCACGCAACACAGGTTCGTTTCCCGTGATTCTGGAATGAGATATATTGGAGAATCTCTGGCCGGAGATTCCGCTGTTCATTGTGGCACCAGTCAAAATATCAGTTAAGCCCGAGTGCAAGGTAGCAGAGATCTGACCCTCATCCAGATCCCCTAATTCTGATACACTGTCATCTCCACTTGCTGCCTCGGAATCTCCATCTTCCCGTCTTTGTAAGAACGTGAATGGGTCCGTCAACGAGCACATCTCCTCGATGTGACCCATCTTCTTGGACAGCTCTTCTTTCCGGACTTCCAGTTGACTGATCAGATGGGAGACTCTTAGTGAGATTTGGACACTTTGCCAGGAGATTTCAATCATAATTCGTTTCTCCAGGAATTCCAGCTCGTTCCGGAGCTCTTTAAACAATGCCCTCATATTTTTCATAACACCAGCCGCTTTATCCTGCACTTCTTTTCTCTGTTCCTGAAGTCTCTGAACTCTTTTCCCAGTCTCCTCTCTCTTTGAGGTCAGATTCACGAGAAGTTGGGTCAGTTTCTGCTTCTTTTCCTCAGAGGCCTTACATAGAGTCTCCACCTGGTGTCCCCTGTGCGTCCCGTCCAGGCGGCAGGAGACACAGATGCAGGCCCCATCCTCGGAGCAATAGTACTCCAAGAACCTCTTATGGATGGAGCACTTTTTATCCTCCAGACACTTGGTGGGTTCAGATAAGACATGTAGATCTGATTTGATATGTGCCCTCAGGTGGGTTTCGCAGAGAGAGGCCTCACAGTGCAGACATGTCTTGACAGCCGGTATGGGAGTATACACACAGTAGGTGCATACGATCCCAGAATCCTGTTCTGGATGAATCGAATGGAAATGTTCGGCGATCTTGCAAAGCTTTAGATTCCTCTGCAGAGCAGGACGTTGTTGATACTCTGCTCGGCACTCGGGGCAGCTATAAACTCCAGATCGTTCTTGTGAATCCAGAACACTCCCGATGCAGGCTCGGCAGAAGTTGTGTCCGCAGCTCAGGATGATGGGATCGCTGTAAATATTCAAGCAGATGGAGCAGTTCAGCTCCTCCAGCAGCTCTGCAGACGCCATCCCGAGAAATGAAAGTGAAAGTGTTGTGTTGGTGCAGGCCCCAGGGAAGGAGGGATTATCTCGGAGCTCTGTCTGGCAGCTGTGTGACTCACACAGGGAGCAGGGCCAGACCCAGGCAGATTATCTGCATTAACAGAACAAGGAACAAAAAAAATTAAATGCAGACAGCACACACCACGGCCACAGCATGTCTGTGTTAATAAAACAGAAATATGAACGTACTGCTCTCAGCTGTGTTATATAACATTGATCAATAATGCAGGTTTCAGGGTGCCTCCACATACAATACAGCCCTGCAGTCTGTATACAGCCTTCATGACAAGGAGCAGGATAAATCCCATTGTACCAGGACTTACATTGGGGGTTACAAAATGCAGCGTATGCAGAAACATTTGTTTGCTGTAACGAAGCTCCCAACATGTTAAATAGACAGAGAGATGCTTTAATTATAGGGGTGTCCCCAGGAGACGGCTGTATTAGAGACATTTTAAGTGACTTAACAATTTACACAGGCTGAGTTCTAAACACATTTACTGTAGTTTAAAGACACATTACTGGGAGTATTATTGCTGTGGAGCTCTGTTGTACACTCAGACACATTACTGGGAGTATTATTGCTGTGGAGCTCTGTTGTACACTCAGACACATTACTGGGAGTATTATTGCTGTGGAGCTCTGTTATACACTCATACACATTACTGGGAGTATTATTGCTGTGGAGCTCTGTTATACACTCAGACACATTACTGGGAGTATTATTGCTGTGGAGCTCTGTTATACACTCAGACACATTACTGGGAGTATTATTGCTGTGGAGCTCTGTTGTACACTCAGACACATTACTGGGAGTATTATTGCTGTGGAGCTCTGTTATACACTCAGACACATTACTGGGAGTATTATTGCTGTGGAGCTCTGTTATACACTCAGACACATTACTGGGAGTATTATTGCTGTGGAGCTCTGTTATACACTCAGACACATTACTGGGAGTATTATTGCTGTGGAGCTCTGTTATACACTCAGACACATTATTGGGAGTATTATTGCTGTGGAGCTCTGTTATACACTCAGACACATTACTGGGAGTATTATTGCTGTGGAGCTCTGTTATACACTCAGACACATTACTGGGAGTATTATTGCTGTGGAGCTCTGTTATACACTCAGACACATTACTGGGAGTATTATTGCTTTGGAGCTCTGTTATTCACTCAGACACATTACTGGGAGTATTATTGCTGTGGAGCTCTGTTATGCACTCATACACATTACTGGGAGTATTATTGCTGTGGAGCTCTGTTATACACTCAGACACCAACAATATGGAGCTCGTAGAAAAGAGGGACAGAAGGATTGGGCCCAAAATAGTGACTGTCCCTCCTAAACAGGGACACTTGGTAGTTGTGGTGCTATACAGAGAGGGACAGAGTGGGAGATAGTCATGTGTTATACACTCAGACATACCAACAATATGAGGGCCCTAAATAGGGACACTTGGGAGCTATGCTGTAATCTGACTCTGCACACCAGCTGCTCTGTACATAGTGTGATTTTATACCAAGCAGACATTAAACAAAATAATCACACTGTGCTGCCCAGCAAAACGCAGAATTCACACATTGCCAGAGGAGTTTAACGGACTCTTCTCGATGGATCCTGTAGAATTTCTCCAGTGATTAACCCATTGAGTCCACCTAGCAGCGTATAAATCTCACTCTGCTGGGCAGCACTCTTCATGCACCTACCAACAGCCATCTGTGAAACCACAGCCTAGATCTATACAAGCGAGCACCACCCTCCGTCCCAATTACTTACAGAATGAGTTATTAATTTACACTCCCATCACTCACAGCTGAGACTACGTGGTCGGATTTTTGTCTCTACACTAGAGCTTTATTCACTAAACTGGGAACAATGACAAAAGAATTGCTATATTTCAACCCAAATAACGGAGTGTAAGAAAGTATCCAGTTTGGGCTCCAACATGTAATTAAGAACACACAGCATTAAGCTCTGCACTCAAACTCCAGCTACTCCTGGGCAGCAGCAACAGAGTAGCTTATTCAGCAACCCAAATATATAGAACGAAGCCAAAAAATAAAGTTACCTGTGCTGCGCACTATCCCAAATCCCTGTGTAAATTTATAACATTGGGGTTTGATTATCATTCCCGTGGCCATTGAAGTGTAAGCTCACCTACCACGTCAAGGAAAACCTCCTTGTTGAGTCCCACACGAACATTCACCTTGCTGCTTTCAGCCAAAAGGCAAAATCTCGAATTATTAAACAGCAATAAGGGTGGGCAGCCGGACTTAATTATGTAAAAATGATTCATTCACTAACGTGATAATGGCTGGTTAATTCAAAGTGGGTGGAAGAGCTGAATTGGAAAAATTATCCAAATCAATTCTGTTTCCAATTCGGCTATTTTGGCCTGAAATTTTACATTTAACTTGAAATCCTGGCAAATCTCCTTTTAGTAGATAAATAATCCGTGTTATTTGCTAAAGTTAGACTTAAATGTGAAACTCTGTTTGAATTCACTTTAAAGGCCAGAGGGCCCCAAATGAAAGCACAGCTGATTCAGGGCGTTTGCTCAGCTCAGATATTTTAACCTGAAATGTGAAATTCTGTTTGAATTCACTTGAGTAAATAAATGTACCTGACGCCCATATAGCCTTTTTACTTGCTTGTATCACACAGCCAGGTTACAGTGGTGCCGCCGAGCCCATGTGTGCACTATAAAGGATTATCACGTGTGTAGGGGCTGGTAAGGACACCCCTTTTTAGTAATACACAATCTTGTTATCTAGGAGCACTGTACTTACTATAACTACTTCATCTAAATGTTTACAGTAGCTCCTCCCTCCTAAGTGGCCCGAGTGACTTTATGTTAATAATTTCAAGCCTTGGAGAAGCTGTCTGGGTCGGAGAGCTGTGATTGTCACTTCCTGGCTCTCAAACTATAGCATATCACAAGGCCACGCGTGCATGCGCAGTATCGTCAGAATCAGTCATAAGGAATCATCGCATGCGCCTCCGGTCTCCAATGCTCCAGGATGACATCACGTGAGGAGGAGCCTGCGGCAGTGCAGATAGAGACTGGAGTGAAGGTGAGTAAATTATGTTTTTTGTTTTCATTTTATTTCATTTTGCAGGTTGGGGAGGGGCCGAAAGTAACAAAGGACATTCAGGCTATAGTGTTCGGAATATAGATGTGTATGTCCCTTTAAATGTATACAGGGATTTGGGATGCCAGTAACTGTTTTTTTGATTTTGTAAAAGTTGCAGTTCTACTGTCAGCCACTCTCAGCACATCACTGCTGCCTACTCCAGAACTAGCACAGTTTCAATGAATGTTCGGATGTAGGAGCCTGGTGTGTCACATTTATTTGAATATAGACGGAAAACGTTTTGACGCAAACTTGGGAGAATGACCACATATTCTTTGTTCCATGATTACTACTCTAAACTGTATTAATATAATGATCTGTTGTGATTATGGTGCTTAGAACGCCCCTGCATTTTGTCATTGTGGGTATATCTAAAAACAGCTTGTAAAGCTGCAGATCTCTTGTTTGCAGTCTTTGCAAGGCCTCCCCTTCTAGCTCCACCCAGACTTTCTGTAGCTGTCCAATCACAGACTTCCCAACACAGCTCAATGAGATGTTTTTACAGGGCAGGTGCTCTGGGCAATTGCTGCTTCTCGCATACCTCCTAACATTTCAAATAGGCAAAGAGAGACACTTTAATTTTAGGGATGTGTGTGAGGGTGTGACCAGGGGTAGGGCTGTTCCATAATATATTAGGTACTAGTTACAATTAATATAACTAAAATATAATTTAGAAGATGAAGAACAATGTATCTTATTTCCACAGACTGATTTCTAAACACATTTATTGCACATTTAAAGACACATTACTGGGAGTATTATTACTGTGGAGCTCTGTAATACACTCAGACACATTACTGGGAGTATTATTGCTGTGGGGCTCTGTTATACACTCAGACACATTACTGGGAGTATTATTGCTGTGGAGCTCTGTTATACACTCAGACACCTTACTGGGAGTATTATTGCTGTGGAGCTCTGTTATACACTCAGACACATTACTGGGAGTATTATTGCTGTGGGGCTCTGTTATACACTCAGACACATTACTGGGAGTATTATTGCTGTGGAGTTCTGTTACACACTCAGACACATTACTGGGAGTATTATTGCTGTGGAGCTCTGTTATACACTCAGGCACATTACTGGGAGTATTGTTGCTGTTGAGCTCTGTTATACATTCAGACACACCAACAATATGGAGCTTCTACGAAAGAGAAACATTGGGATAGAAAAGTGGGATAGAGGGTTTGGGCCTAGAAATAGTGACTGTCCTTCCAAAATAGGGCCACTTGGGAGTTATGCTCATGAGTATAGGTCTAGTAAGTTTATAGCCAGGAAGAAACAGAACCAGGTGTTTGATTGACAGCTGTGTGTGTGTGTGTGTGGGGGGGGGGGTGGAACACAATGTTTATTTATAAAAATGACAATTTCTATTTAAATATTTACATTGTATGAAATAATTAAGAGGACACAGTCTTCACACATACAGCATTTCAGGACGCTCCAGGGGTCCCTTTAAAGCAAAACGAATATGAGTGTCTCACAGACAGAGGGAAAAATAATAAGACACATTACCGATACAAAGGACATGAGATCCCTGTCGTGGGTCTAGACCTCCTACACGCTCAGAAAGCCAGGGAGCTGACAATCTACAGCGGGAATCTTTACTTCTGCCTCCCCTAACCCCCATGTTTACTTGTATAACTCCCAGAATTCTTTCAATTCCAAAAGAACCTATTGTTACAGTAACAGAAATGAATGGATCATCGTCCTACTAGAAGGGGTAATGTTTTAGGATTTTGGAACTGTTTCTAGTTTGGATAATTTGGAGTAACATTTGAAATTCACTGTTAATTCCTGACAATTCACACTTCATTGAATATCTCTGTGTTCGTGTTAAACTGATCCATAGATATATTTCAGTGAGGGAAGAATACAGTCCATTATAAGAATGGAATTTACCTGAATAAAACCGAGCCGTTCACGAAGGTGATCATTTAATGCCAGAGTAGCAGGAATGGAGAGGATAGCTGACTTTAAATTTGAAATTCACTTTGAATTCTCACGTTTTGGAAAACCATGTTAGTTTGGACCAAAACCCATTTGGACGGACCCAGTGACACTTCCCCTTACCCATCGGCGTCCCGATTCTTGGACCGGTGTAGTTGGAAGGTTTGATGTCATTTAATGCCGTTTCTACAAAACCTTCACAGCAATAAAGTCCTGCATTGTTCATTGTTTGAAATGAAATCATTTTTCGACAAATAGGAATGTGAATTGATGGCTACGTCATGTCATGATTCTTACTGCTATAGATTGGCCATAGAGAGGAATCACAGAGCGATATAATACCCTACAGACGCAGACAGGACCTCTCTATGGTTCCTCTGAATTCTAGTGAATTGGAATCTGAAATCAGTCACAGCTTGGCTGGTTTAACCTCAGTTTTACCATTAGCATTTAATCTTCCAGCGTTCCCCTGGGTTATTACTGACACTGGACCCATTCAGCAATCTCTCTCCATTGATGGAGTGTATCAGGTCTGGGGTCTGACTGCTGACCCTGCTGTGTTGGTGATACCCGGTCCTGAGCCAGTCTCCACAGCGCCCCCTGGAGGACTCGCACAGATTCAGACACACAGACACGATTATTTACTAAATATATATTTTCGATTTGTGACAATATCCTCATTTCCTCTTTTGACTTTTCCCTATAAATATTTTTCTCCATTTACAATTCCCACCTTTTGCACCGCTACAGCAGATGTTGCTGCCATTTACCCCGTTGCCCACAGATCACAAGACAAACAGTAGTGTTTCATGCATAAATATTTCAATTTATTTTCATGCTCCGTTCATACAAAAAAATGTGCAGAGTATACAAACATTGTTGGCTCACGATACATGCAAAATTGGTTTAATTCGTTTTCCTGCAAGAACATAGCTTAATAAAAATACATTCTTAATTTCCCACAACCCCACCCTACAATAGGTATATAAAGACACAGGAGGCGGGAGAGAGAGAGAGAGAGAGAGATAGAGGTGGATGATAATATTGGGGGACCACAGGACGTGATAACTAATAGTGTTTAACTCTTTGAGAACCACGAGGGCAGAACTACCCCCTGCTAGCACTCAACAGGTTAATACAAACTTCACCCCCAACATTGCACCCAAAATGATAACACTGGATCCCGTAAACACAGCTACCGGGACAAATGAGGGGGGAAATTTTAATGTTAGTAAAAAGCTCAAAATGGTATCAAAAAGTAGCAGCGATGAGTATATGTGTAAAAATTTGGCCAGTTTTGCATTATGTTAATGAGTAATTATAAAGAGGGACTGGGTGAGTGTAACGTATAAGGATGGGTGCATTTCTGGATCCGAGCATTGAGTAAACGAGAAACCCAATTCTCTCTCTCTCTCTAGGAAAACCTTTACGCCTCCATTTTTTTGGTCCCCGTCTCCCACCCTCCCCACCCCTATTTTGGTAGTTCCCCCACCCTCCCCGGCGTGCATGTAAACCAGGCAGCATGCGGGACGATAGGTGCTTAATACAGATAACAGTCATTGGATATAGGACGTGGATAGACAGAAAGGTCTGAGGAACGAGAACACACGCGGTACGAGCGCAGCCAAGGAGAGACGCTCAACGCAATCCTCCATCTGCAACCGTCGCACCCAGATTAACCCCTTACTGCCAGCCAGCCGCCCTGCAGTGCACTGCCACGCCATGGAGTAACAGGCAATGCACTGCGCTAGTGGCCCTTAATGGAAGAGAAGAGTTAAATCAGACTGGCGAGAGAAGCTTCTTTGGCAAGTGAGAGAAGTAATGCTCTGCGAGTCTTATGGACGTATGGGGGGCTCATGGTATTGGGGAGTGACGCTCTGCATGTCTGTCAGAATATATTGGAGAGCGGATTCCCTGCAGGCTTGTATGAGAAGGCAGTGATTTCTGTCAGATTTATACAAAAAGAACATGAGGGGGAGTGATACTCTGCAGGCATGTACGAAAAGAAAATCAGGTAATGCTCTGCAGGTTATAAATTCTCAAAATGTAATTAGAAAAATGAGAAATGATCTGCAGGGAAGATGCTCTGCTGTCTCCCGGTGAGAAAGCTAATAGGTTAATGCTCTGCAGTCCTGTAACAGGCGAATTAGTTTAGACTGGTGATGCACTGCAGTGAATGTGGGAGAAATCATGTTCCTGCTATACACACAGCAACCACTAGGTATCACTGCTGCACAGTCAGAGCAATGGCTAAGTGTGAGTGAGAGTGTGAGTGAAAGTATTAATGAGTGTGCTTATATCTTCTGTGGAATGGAGATTCTCACTTGAGTTGATAATCAGAAGCAAGTGTGATTATATATACAAAATGTAGGAACAACACACAGCACACTCACAGCCCACTCACTGACCTACTGACACACTCACCCTCACAGCCCACTCACCTACTGACACACTCACCCTCACAGCCCACTCATTGACCTACTGACACACTCACCCTCACAGCCCACTCACTGACCTACTGACACACTCACCCTCACAGCCCACTCACTGACCTACTGATACACTCACCCTCACAGCCCACTCACTGACCTGCTGACACACTCACCCTCACAGCCCACTCACCTACTGACACACTCACCCTCACAGCGCACTCATTGACCTACTGACACACTCACAGCCCACTCATTCACCTACTGTCACCCTCACCCTCACAGCGCACTCACTTACCTATTGACACACTCACCCTCACAGCGCACTCACTGACCTGCTGATGGACATTTACACTCACTGTCACAATTAGAGGGCTCTCATCCATACACACGTCGGAGGTAGCTTTACTCATTCTTACACTCAATGAGCAGTCTCACGCACACTCCTTGGGAGGTTTCACTCTCTCACTCACATTTCTCAGGCAGTCTCACACACACTTCTTGGGAAGGCCCTCTCAGGTCTCTAGCTGGTGACACTGTGGGAATGTGAAGAATTCTCGATGGGATCCAGGACGTACCCCTCAGTGACTATGACAGAATTGACGGCTTTTCACAAAACTGAAAAAGATGAAAAGGAAGACATTAAAACAGAGACAGGAAGTGTGCAACAGTGTCAGCGCAATAGTGTAATAGTTTCAGTGTGCAACAGTGTCAGTGCGCTAGTGTAATAGTGTCAGTGCGCTAGTGTAATAGTGTCAGTGTGCGAGTGTAATAGTGTCAGTGTGCGAATGCAATGGTGTCAGTGTAACAGTGTCAGTGTATCAGTGTAATAGTGTCAGTGTAATAGTGTCTAGTGGCTGTCCGGTAGACAGCCGTTACAGGCAGAATTAGTGCTGCAATGTAAACATTGTGCTTAGGGTCACTGTACCCAGACCACTTCAATATGCTGAATTGGTCTGGGTTCCTATAGGATCCATTTAACACTGAAATTTTGTTTTGAAAAGTCTACGATTCTCTGTTTACTGAACAGTTTTGCTTATCATCATTATAAAAATTAACCGTGTGCTATAAATGGGCCTGTCTTAATTCTTTTATTTGTACATTAACTCTAAAAATCAATAAATGAAATACACTCATCCTATTAAAAATGTGAAATTTCAAATATTATCACTCACAAGACACATAATGCATCTTGGACGTAAAAACCCAAGGGCAGAGTACAGAATATTTGATACAGTCCTAACCTCAACATATGAGGAAAGGGATTTAGGGGTGATTATTTCTGATGACTTAAAGGTAGGCAGACAATGTAATAGAACAGCAGGAAACGCTAGCAGAATGCTTGGTTGTATAGGGAGAGTATTAGCAGTAGAAAGAGGGAAGTGCTCATGCCATTGTACAGAACACTGGTTAGACCTCACTTGGAGTATTGTACGCAGTACTGGAGACCGTATCTTCAGAAGGATATTGATACCTTAGAGAGGGTTCAGAGAAGGGCTACTAAACTGGTTCATGGATTGCGGGATAAAACTTACCAGGAAAGGTTAAAGGATCTTAACATGTATAGTTTGGAGGAAAGACGAGACAGGTGGGATATGATAGAAACATTTAAATATATAAAGGGAATTAACACAGTAAAGGAGGAGACTATATTTAAAAGAAGAAAAACTACCACAACAAGAGGACATAGTCTTAAATTAGAGGGACAAAGGTTTCAAAATAATATCAGGAAGTATTACTTTACTGAGAGGGTAGTGGATGCATGGAATAGCCTTCCAGCTAAAGTGGTAGAGGTTATCTCAGTAAAAGAGTTTAAGCATGCGTGGGATAGGCATAAGGCTATCCTAACTATAAGATAAGCTATTTAGAAAATTGGGCAGACTAAATGGGCCGAATGGTTCTTATCTGCCGTCACATTCTATGTTTCTATGTTAAACTGCGCTGAAAGAAGACATTATTACTTTAATTCAAGGCCAACTGTAGCGGACTGTGTTTTGCTACTCATCATTTTTTTTATTGTTGGCTGTCCCTACCCATAATTGTTGCAGTATTTTACACTATTTGTCACGGTTCTTTAGTTAGAAGAAACAAGTAACAAGTAACTATCTGTTATATCATTTGTCTGGTTGTTTGGTAAGAATCTACTTTCAACCATCTGAAGTCGTACCATTCGAGAAACGAACAAACTACCGAACAACTAGGTCACTCCGGAGAGGAGTGTGGCACTAATTGAACCCCCCTATCTTTATTCACACTACCTTAATTGACAATCACACGAACACACTGGGTATTCCCTGGGTGGCCGCCGTTCGGCATGCGAACATCTTTCCAAACGAACGCACCAGCGGTGTTTGGTCGTCGAGTGTCTGCAACCCAAATCTGACACTCGACAACGCGAACACCGCAGAGACCTCCATACTCAACCCCGTTCGTGGAAACTTAAGAGAACAGAAAGACATTCGGTGAAAAGAATCATACAAATGAGGGGAATCATACGAATCCAGGGAGAACCCATTATATTAAACAGTTTCATGCTTTTTACCTCACGAACGGAGACCGACCATAAGGCCAAAACACATGGAACTATCTTCGGCTTACACCTCGTGTGCGGTTGGTAAAACTAAGACCTCCAGGAAATTCGTGAACCCCTGAACCGATCTGGGTGATTTTTCAGTATGTTGCTCACCCAGATCAGGGCTATCAGGGGATATGTGATTTATGGGTGTAGGTTATAGTTTTGGGGTACATCCAAGAATTGGGGGAAAATGTGTGTTTAAAATGTACAGATAATTAAAGGAACACTATAGTCACCTAAATTACTTTAGCTAAATAAAGCAGTTTTAGTGTATAGATCAGTGGTAGGCAACCTACGGCACTAGTGCCACGCACGGCACTCGAGGTGTCTTTCCACGGCACTCAAGTCTGCTAGAGCCAAACAGGCTCTGGCCTATTAGGAGTCCCAGTGAAACTTCAGATATCTGCCAATACGAAAAGGTGGTGAAGGACAATCCTCAATTTATGCATTGCAGCACGTAGAGTAAGTGATCTCAGATCAGTTCCTCCCAGCACTTGTGAATGGGAATCCACACTGTAGTAGAGCAGCCTGCAGCTGCTATTGCAGCTCCTGTACCTGGCCAGCCTGGTCCCCACTGGAACCCAGGGAAGCCACCCACACTGCTAGATATACACAGAAATGCAGACTAACCCTCCCCTCATACAAATAACACGAACAGCCCACACTCAAACACAAAACACAATCTGCACAAACGTAACCCACTAACAAAACATATACATGCACACAATCTCACATGCAATACCCCAAACAGCCCCCAAACATACACACACTACCAAACACACAATGTGACATATCCATCCACACACACAATTCCACAAGCAGCCCCCATACACAGCCCACATTGATATGTATCATACACAACACCACAAACTACGCATGAACATATACAATATGATAGCTCACATACGCACAAATACAACAATACAAAGCAATTACAGTAAAAATAACACAAGCAGAATACGGCAGCATACACACCTCAATTTAAAAAAATAGGACCAGCACGCTACGGGATATCACAATCCTATATCGGCACAGTGCTGCTAAAAGATTGCCTACCCCTGGTATAGATCATTCCCCTGCAATTTCACTGCTCAATTCACTGCCATTTAGGAGTTAAATCACTTTGTTTCTGTTTATGCAGCCCTAGCCACACCTCCCCTGGCTATGATTGACAGAGCCTGCATGAAAAAAAACTGGTTTCACTTTCAAACAGATGTAATTTACCTTAAATAATTGTATCTCAATCTCTAAATTGAACTTTAATCACATACAGGAGGCTCTTGCAGGGTCTAGCAAGCTATTAACATAGCAGGGGATAAGAAAATCTTAATTAAACAGAACTTGCAATAAAGAAAGCCTAAATAGGGCTCTCTTTACAGGAAGTGTTTATGGAAGGCTGTGCAAGTCACATGCAGGGAGGTGTGACTAGGGTTCATAAACAAAGGGATTTAACTCCTAAATGGCAGAGGATTGAGCAGTGAGGCTGCAGGGGCATGTTCTATACACCAAAACTGCTTCATTAAGCTAAAGTTGTTCAGGTGACTATAGTGTCCCTTTAAGTTATCTCTCAGGCTGAGGGGAGGGAAAATGTGTACTGTAACCAGCTAGTGATTGGATAATTCCTAATTTTCTGTGGTTGTCTCCCTTGCATGGGAGGATTGCATAAAAGCAGATTGTGTGTCATTAAAGTTCAGTTCTGCTCCTGATACTGAGTGTCGTCCAGTTATTGGGAAAGGGGATGGGAGATTCGGAGATTACTTGATTTACTGCTTATGCTGATCTTTAGTAGTGTGTGTGGAACTGCACTCACTCCCATAAATCTGAGCCAGGGTGCTTGCTGAACCGTAATCAAATACCAGATTTCCAAAAATTAATAAAATAATAGAGGTCCAGGCACTCCTTGGTTCAAGCTTGACAAATACCTTTTTGGGTCGAAACGTTGCTCCTGTGGTTCTTAATAAAGTGCCTGTCTTAAACCAAGGAGTGCCTGGACCTCTATTATTTTATTGTTCTTCTTATGATAACCTACTTGATCCTGAGTAACTATTGGAATACCAGCGGAGGAAAGTCTATGTTAAACTAGCGCTCCGCTACACCAGCAAAGACACCACAACAGCCGTATTTTGCAAGTACATCTGCCGTTAAATTTAAAAACAGATCACGGTATGATTAATAAATTACTGCTAAATGCTGGAAAACCATCTGAATTGCATGTTAACATTTTATTTATATATCACATTTTATTAGTACATCTGCTCCAAAGTTTGCGATTTCGCAAATTTTGGTATAACTGCAGGAGAAACAGATATTGATAGATGGAGGTGAATTAAGTGACAGCGAGAGACCTTCCCCTGTGTAAGCCTGTATATCTGTCACGCATCAGCGGATAATGTCACCAGCAGCCAACCTTGCGTCTTGCTTGACTGGCGCTGTGACACAGTGAAACATGCACTGTCTAACGGGGTCCGACAGATGGAGATTTGTTGCCTGCCTAGTGGGGTGCGAGGGGAGGGACCTGGAAATGCTGTAATATACAAACAGTACATCTAATTCTCTGTATAGGGGGGAAATTAAATGTGCACAACTGTGTGGTCTCAATGTACAGACAGAGATAAATGTATTTATTAATAAAGAGGTGGACCCATCATCTGTTATACCGCTAATTAGCTTGGCATACCATTTATCTAAACACATACATCTTGTTTAACATGAAAAGGGGGTTATTTGATAAACACAGAATCGTAATCAACTGAAAACCAAATAGTGATTTAGGGTAAAATTAGCTTATGATTATTACTAAGTAGGGAGATTTTTTTTTTTAAACTAGATTTTGCACTGTAATAAATAATCCCCAGAGACACAGTATTGCCAGATGGTCATTTTTGGATAGAAGTTGGCTACTTGGGATTGAATCTCAGTTTTCCTCTGTGAAGAAGGGGGGAGGAGGTACGTAGCTTTTAAGATATACATTACCCCCCCGATGAAATTGATATCTCCCAGATTTGGAAGCATGAGTGCGGGATTAGCCTGGTGCGTAGCAGTGGCGTACACACAATCCATGGGGCTCCGGTGTGAAACTGATCCGTGACCCCCCCCCAGACACATACACCCCCCCGACAGACAGACACAAAGACACATACATACATACACACAGACACATACAGACACACACACGCATACACAAAATGTTTAAAGGACCACTGTAGGCACCCAGACCACTTCAGCTTAATGAAGTGGTCTGGGTGCATGGTCCATCTAGGATTAACCCTTTCTGAGAAACTGCTATGTTTACATATGGGTTAATCCAGCCTCTAGTGGCTGTCTCATTGACAGCCGCTAGAGGCGCTTCCACGCTTCTCACTGTGATTTTCACTGTGAGAAGACGCCAGCGTCCACAGGAAAGCATTGAGAATGCGATTTCCTATGAGACTGGCAGAATGCGCGCACGGCTCTTGCCGCGCATGCGTATTCAGCAGATGACATCAGAAGAGGGAGGAGAGAGGGCGCCCGGCGCTGGAAAAAAGGTAAGGGATTAACCCCTTCCTCCCCCTTCAGCGCAGTACTCTCAGGGCACTATAGTGCCAGGAAAACAAGTATGTTTACGTCACCCTCCTGTTTCCTACCTTTTGCAGGAGGGTGACTTTGTATCGGATTAACACAGATTAATATGGACTATGTATTGGAATAACACAGATTAATATGGACTATGTATCGGATTAACACAGATTAATATGGACTATGTATCGGATTAACACAGATTAATATGGACTATGTATTGGAATAACACAGATTAATATGGACTATGTATCGGATTAACACAGATTATGTATCGGAACTAATTTAGATCAGCATGGATTATATATCGGATTAAGACAGATCAGCATGGATTATGTATCGGATTAACACAGATAAGCATGGATTATGTATAGGACTGTAGTGGACTGTGTGCCAGAATAACACAGATTATATATCAGACTAACACAGACTGTGTACAGGTATTGGGCTATAACAGGATATGTATGGGACTAAAATAAACTATACAATAGATTCACACAAACTATGTTTTAGACTCACACAGATTATATATTGGATTTTCAAGGACTATGGAGGGGGGGGCGGGGGGGGAGCCTGACTGCCAAGCAGACCAGGCATGCTCAGCAGAAGCCCCTGTGTCTGGAGACCGATATCGGGGTATAATACCCCTGCTACTTATGTTTTTTCGACTGCAACCTGCACTAATCTTACCCAGCGGTCACTGCTGTACACAATGGTACCTCACACGAGCATCCCCGACTCTGGGCTGTCCTGCTCGAGGCTTGCAGCCTACACATGACCGAACCAGGGAGAGACGGTCGCCCTCCTGGTTCTTTGGCTGACGCTGATACTCCTGAATATCGCCCCCTCCCTTTTGACCAGTGGGGGTTATCCCGGTCCCCACTGATTAGCTCCACTCATCTCCCTGACCATAAGCAGCGGACACTACTGGGGAAAGACCACGATGCTACCCCTCAAAATGGCGGATACGCCTTTTACTCCTGAGCATCAGGAAAGGCCTGAAGTGCCAGCTGGATGAGCTGCAGTGGAACACATGCTTATATGGCTGGATGAGATCTTCACCCATTTCTGGGCACAACTAAAGGCAGCAAACTACTTCAACAACATATGGCCGGAACAGTGGAAGGCAGAGGGAAGGTAAAGGGGCACGTGAGCCAGCTCCGGGCGAAACTTCCCGCCAAGCTGTTAAGTTCCCTGTATTGAGCCCGCCTGGGCTGAGAGCCACCAGGGATATCCTCCCAACGCATCACCCATGGAGGCAGAAGACCAAACACCGCAGGCAGCGAACATCCATCCCGATAAGGAAGGACTTGAGCCCAGCCGTGAGCCCCAGAGTCCGTGGTATTCCGATGCAGGCCCTCAACGCAGCCCGGGGCTGGAGGGATGCCACACTTAGCATTGGACTACCTCCGAGCCACCCCTGCAAGTTTCCTTGTCTAGGAGATGGCTGACGCTGAGCCATGGCCAGTTACACATGATCTGCAGACGTTATTCAGCGATAGCCCATAGTATCTTAGTTTTTGTTTTTTGTTTCCTTTACCTACTTGACCTACGAACGGCAGTGATTTACCAGAGGGCAGTGTTATCAGGGCTATAATGATGTCACCTCTATATTGAGCCTGCTACATCTAATCCCAGCCTTAATGCTTACTTACAGCCACAGGGCATATCAACAAGGCCTATATCAGTCAGCCCGGTACCGTGTGAGTGTGTGGGGCCTCAATGGTTAACCTCTCATGCAATCCTAGCTAGACATAATGTAATTACTTTTACTCTTATTATACTACTCTCCAGCTACCTGTCAGTTTGACCTCTAGCATGTTCTTAGTTATAGATTAGACAGGTGTACCTAGCACGTTTCTTACATAACTTAAAAATGAGGCAGACATATTATGGAGTTTACACTCTTGTTTATATATATATGTATATAAGTGCATCACCGTGTGTGTGTGTGTGTGTGTGTGTGTGTATGTATGTATGCGTATATATATATACACACATGGTGATGCACTTCTATACGTATGTGACTGTGCTTCTGTAAACATCTGACTTTCTGTTATGACTCCTGTATGTACATAATACTTTAAAATTAACACGGACTACGTATCGGAATACACAACCTATGTATCGGAGTAACACGCACTGCGTATCGGAGTAACACGGACTGCGTATCGGAGTAACACAGACTGCGTATCGGAGTAACACAGACTGCGTATCGGAGTAACGGGGACTGCGTATCGGAGTAACACGGACTGCGTATCGGAGTAACACGGACTGCGTATCGGAGTAACACGGACTGCGTATCGGAGTAACGGGGACTGCGTATCGGAGTAACACGGACTGCGTATCGGAGTAACGGGGACTGCGTATCGGAGTAACACGGACTGCGTATCGGAGTAACGGGGACTGCGTAACTGAGTAACACGGACTATGTATCAGACTATTAGACTTTCATAGAATATATATTGGACAGATTGTGCACTGCACTATAGCATACTATTTATTGGACTAACATTTGTTTAGTAAGTCTGGCTCTTTGTAGGGGGGGGTATTGAACTTATCCTATATATCCTTCTATAATGGGTATTTGGAGAGGTTTAACATGATGGACCAAGTAGGTTATTATTGAAGAACAATCTTGGGAACATTTCTAAAAGTGTAGAAATCAGCAGGAATATTTCACTGGTTTCCATGGTGACCGCTAGACCTTTGCCCTGGAATTGCTCTTTCCACATTTTCCGAGTTATTCTACCACTCAAACACTGGAGAGTTCCAATGTCTTTGTTACCCTGGAGAGTTTTTTATTTTCGTGATTACATATAATTAGCAGAAATATCACACAAACTGGCACGCAATGTCAATTATCATCCATTTTGGGTCGGTTTGTAGAGTGTCGCTATGACTTATTGCGGGTTTATAATGTTACGTTATTGTGTCACGCTGTAGTATAACATTTGTCATTGTGCACAAAGTAACAGAAACAAAGCCATTTCATTCCACCTCTCAATGCAGCTTCATGGTACTGAGTGGAATTTGGAAAATACTTCACCAAACTTTATTTACACTGATCAGCCACAACATTAAACCCACTGACAGGTGAAGTGAGTAACGCTGATTATGCCGTTACAATGGCACTTGTCAAGGGCTGGGATATATTAGACAGTAAGTGAACAGTCAGTTCTTGAATTTCATGTGTTTTGAATAGGAAAAATGGGCAAGCGAAATGATCTGAGTGACTTTGACAAGGGTCAAATGGTGATGGCTAGCCGACTTGGTCAGAGCATCTCCAAAAAGTCTTGTGGGGTGTTCCCAGTATGCAGTGGTTAGTACCTACCGAATGTGGTGCAAAGGACAACTAGACAAACCGATGTCCGGGTCATGGGCGCCCTCAAGGCTCATTGCTGCACTGGGGGGTGAAAACTAGCCAGTCTGGTCTGATCACACAGAAGAGCGAATATAGCTCAAATTGTTAAAAACTTAATGCTGGCCATGGTGGAACAAGGTGAGTACACACAGTGCATCACAGTTTGCAGCGTATGGGGCTGCGTAATCGAAGATCAGTTAGCGAGCCCATGATTAGGTGGATGGCCAGCTGCGTGTGCGTCGTTTACCTGGGGAAGAGATGACGGCAGGATGCACTATTGGAAGAAGGCAGGCAGGCCGGCGGATGTTATGCTTTGGGTAATATTATCCTGGGAAACCATGGGTGTTAGCATTCATGCAGATGTTCCTTTGACACGTACCACCTACCTAGAGATTGTCTCAGACCATGTACACTCCATGGTAATGGTGTTCCCTGATAGGTGTGACCTCTTTCAGCAGGTTAATGCACCCTGCAACACTGCAAACATTGTTCAGGAATGGTTTGAGGAACATGACAATGAGTTCCAGGTGTTGCCTTGGCCTCCAAATCTGACTGAGCATCTGTTTGGTGTGCTGGAACAACAAATCTGATCCATGGAAGCCAGACCTTGCAACATGCAGGACTTAAAGGATCTGCTGCTAATGTCTTGGTTCCAGATACCACAGGACATGTTCAGAGATCTTATGGACCCCATGCCGTGCCGCATCAGAGCTGTTTTGGCGGTACGAGGGGGACATACACGATGTTAGGCAAGTGGTTTTAATGTTGTGACTAATCACTGTATTTACTTAGACAATGCTCCACTTTGCTTAGTTTACTATTGTAATTTGTTATACTTGCAGTTACATGTAGTTTATATTTTTGCTGATAGAATTATTTTGAAAAATATTTCATTTGTATACAACAAATGTCTGCTATGTTTTACACCCCAGCCTCCCACTTCCCTATCTATCTCTATCTCCCCACTCACTGTGTCTATCTCTATTCCTTAAGTCCAATTCCACAATGCAACTACACCAACTCGCCCCAGTTCCTTCTAACTATATAACATGCACTTCCAGCTGTTTGGAACCACAACCAATCACCTCCTCATTCCCTTCACATGTTACTGCAGTTATACTACTAATTCTATCTGCCATCACCTCCAGTGATATTCTGCTATTGTGTGTTACTGTACGTTTGTGATATGTTAATGTGTGTTACTGTACGTTTGTGATATTCTGCTATTGTGTGTTACTGTATGTTTGTGATATTATGCTAATGTGTGTTACTGTACGTTTGTGATATGTTAATGTGTGTTACTGTATTTTTTATATTATTTTAATGTGTGTTATATTAATGTGTGTTTGTAATATTGTATCTTTGTGTTTACTTTGGGCTTGTGATACTGTGTTTCACTGTAGGGTTGTGTGTTGTGTCACTGTGTGTTACTGTAGATTGTAAACTTACATCCAAAGTTGATGACGCAGGACACAATGATAATCAGGACTCCACCCACCAACGCCACAAGGCTCAGGAGCTTTGCTACGCGACCCAGTCTCAGGGCCCCATCCACGTCCCCTTGCTGAAGGCTGTTACGAGACTAGGGGCGAAAGAGAGAGAGAGAGTGTTTGTTATATTAGTGTCACATGATCAGAAAGGACGAGGTGCACTCTAAATCATCATCTTTTGTCCTCTCCCTCATTTGTCTTCAACCTCCACCCACATCCATTCTCCCACCAAACCCCATAGAGAGAGAACACCTTTCTAACCAAACCCCATTTATAGATTATCCCTTTCCACTACTTACAGCCAAATCCTTAGACCCCAACCAGTCTGTAACTTACCCTCCCCAACCTGATCCTCTGACCCCCTGTAACACCAGCCAGTCTGTGCTCCCAACCTGATCCTCTGACCCCCTGTAATCCCAGCCAGTCTGTGCCCTCAACCTGATCCTCTGACCCCCGGTAACTCCAGCCAGTCTGTGCCCCCAACCTGATCCTCTGACCCCCTGTAATCCCAGCCAGTCTGTGCCCCCAACCTGATCCTCTGACCCCCTGTAACACCAGCCAGTCTGTGCCCCCAACCTGATCCTCTGACCCCCTGTAACACCAGCCAGTCTGTGCCCCCAACCTGATCCTCTGACCCCCTGTAATCCCAGCCAGTCTGTGCCCCCAACTTGATCCTCTGACCCCTAGTAACACCAGCCAGTCTGTGCACCAACCTGATCCTCTGACCCCCTGTAATCCCAGCCAGTCTGTGCCCCCAACCTGATCCTCTGACCCCTAGTAACACCAGCCAGTCTGTGCACTAACCTGATCCTCTGACCCCTGTAATCCCAGCCAGTCTGTGCCCCCAACCTGATCCTCTGACCCCTAGTAACACCAGCCAGTCTGTGCCCCCAACCTGATCCTCTGACCCCCGGTAACAGCCAGTCTGATCCTCTGACCCCTGTCCAGCCAGTGTGCCCCCAACCTGATCCTCTGACCCCTGGTAAACCCAGCCAGTCTGTGCCCCCAACCTGATCCTCTGACCCCTGGTAAACCCAGCCAGTCTGTGCCCCCAACCTGATCCTCTGACCCCTGGTAAACCCAGCCAGTCTGTGCCCCCAACCTGATCCTCTGACCCCTGGTAAACCCAGCCAGTCTGTGCCCCCAACCTGATCCTCTGACCCCTGGTAAACCCAGCCAGTCTGTGCCCCCAACCTGATCCTCTGACCCCTGGTAAACCCAGCCAGTCTGTGCCCCCAACCTGATCCTCTGACCCCTGGTAAACCCAGCCAGTCTGTGCCCCCAACCTGATCCTCTGACCCCTGGTAAATCCAGCCAGTCTGTGCCCCCAACCTGATCCTCTGATTCACTGTAACCCCAGCCAGTCTGTGCCCCCAACCTGATCCTCTGAACCCCAGTAACCCCAGCCAGTCTGTAACAGACAGTCACTAGAGGCAACTTTAGGCAACAAACTGCCGCTGCTCGTCCTCATGCTCTGCATGAGGAAATCCAGCATCACCGGAATCCCCATAGGAAAGCCCTAATGTGAGTGCGGGGGAGGAGTGAAGGCTGGACCCGAGTCAGCGCCGAAGGACAAGGACAGAAGGGTGTTTCAACCACTTTTAAACCTGGCACTAAAGTTTCCCTTTATTGAGTTTAGGGCTAGGGGTGGGTTAAATTTAATATTGGGGTTCATGAGGTGTTTATTTTCTAAGAGGAATTATAGAATTAAGGTAAAAAATTATTTTTACGTTTCGGTTCTTGAGTTCTTAAATTTCGGAACAAGGAATGAGTCTCATAAGATTTTGGGAGGGGTTAAATTTAGAGTTAGAAAAACCAGGTGTTTAGGGCACGTGGGGTTTGAGGAGTTATCTGCAAAGTACTCACCCTCCTATGTCTCTGTAGAGCAGTCAGATTGATGATATTAGAGCAGCCGGAGCTGTGATACAGTGTGCATCACTCAGAACTTCCCTTGCTCCTCCTACAAGGCATTTCCTGTGTGAGAGGCTGTTCCTGTCCAGCCTCACACACAGACACTGGAGGCTGGGACAGCACTGAGTGTAACACCCGCTATAACTGTTCCTGCAGCTGCACGTTCCCCATAGAGATTTATTAATTCAATGCATCTCTATGAGCAGATGTTGATTGGTGCAGTGTGGCATTTTGCTGCGCATTACTAATAGTCTCCCAATGCTTTTCTATTGGAAAGCATTAGATTGGCTGAGATCATCAAGACTGATGATCTCAGCCATTGAGGTGGTGTGGGAAAAAATGTAAGTGTAAACACCTTTTTACTGCAATATAAGGGGGGCTGGGAATTGAGTTTAACACTTTGGTGTTCAAAACTACAACTCTCATGATGCTTTCATTTTACAACATTTGGAGATCTACCTTTTGGCACCCCTGGCTTAACACTATATTGCCAGGTATACCATAGTGTTCCTTTCAATCAGAAAAACAAAACGCATGTTATAAGTGCTGAAAACAGGCGTCCATTAGTGGTCAGGTGAATGTAGGCAGGTGTCTGCTCTGCCTATAGGGAGCCCTGAGCCCAGCCAAGCAGTGTCTCATCCTACCTAACCATCTCCACTGAGACTGCTCCAACCCACCCTGAGCCCAGCCAAGCAGTTCCTCATCCTACCTAACCATCTCCACTGAGACTGCTCCAACCCACCCTGACCTGAGCCCAGCCAAGCAGTGCCTCATCCTACCTAACCATCTCCACTGAGACTGCTCCAACCCACCCTGCCCTGAGCCCAGCCAAGCAGTGCCTCATCCTACCTAACCATCTCCACTGAGACTGCTCCAACCCACCCTGACCTGAGCCCAGCCAAGCAGTGCCTCATCCTACCTAACCATCTCCACTGAGACTGCTCCAACCCACCCTGCCCTGAGCCCAGCCAAGCAGTGTCTCATCCTACCTAACCATCTCCACTGAGACTGCTCCAACCCACCCTGCCCTGAGCCCAGCCAAGCAGTGTCTCATCCTACCTAACCATCTCCACTGAAACTGCTCCAACCCACCCTGACCTGAGCCCAGCCAAGCAGTGTCTCATCCTACCTAACCATCTCCACTGAGACTGCTAACAATCCAACCCACACTGCCTTCCAAACACATCCAGACTGTGCACCCCACCCCCGTCTGCTCCAATTATGTCCATCACTCCTTTCCTCACTGTCTGTCCCCCCCATGTTCTCAGTCACTATGTGTGTTGATGCACATTATTTACACAGCTTGTTCTGTGATTAATTTTACATTTGTTTGTGTGCTGGGATGGCTGTGTGTATGCCCCTGTGTCTCTTTGGGATTGTGTGTTCGTAATGCTTTGTGTGTCCTGTTGTAACTTCTTGGTATTCACCCTTTTTTGTATATCTGTCTGGGTATTCATGTTTCTGTACATCTGTGTCTGTTTCTGCACATATGTGTATATGTGTCTGTGTCCACCTCTGTATTTGTGTATATCTGTGAGTGTATCCGTGTCGGTATATTTGTGCACATGTCTGTATCCATGTCTGTGTGTTCCCATGTGTCATGGAGGACCTGCCTTATTATTAATTACTGTTAACGAGCTTTACCTGAGCTGCTGTGGCTGATGCTGACAGAGCAGGAATCCCATCATACCACTGTTCTAATCACTAACCTCACTCACCAACCTCCCACTAACCCTCACCAACGTCCCACTCACCCTCACCCTCACCAACCTCCCACTAAACTCCCAATAACCCTCACACTCACCAACCTCCGATTAACCCTCACCAACCTCCCACTCACCCTCACCAACCTCCCACTCACCCTCACACTCACCAACCTCCCACTAACCCTCACCAACCTCCCACTAACACTCACCAACCTCCCACTCACCCTCACCAACCTCCCACTCACCCTCACACTCACCAACCTCCCACTCATCCTGTCACTCACTAACCTACTAACCATCCTCACTGCAGAATGTGTCTATATTAACCGTTTATTACATACTCTATATGACGACATTGTCACAGTAAAAAACAGAGAATCTGTCAGTGTCCCCATTCAGACCAAGAGTATGTAACTGCCCCAAGTGCAGAGGACATTACCCCTGAGAATCTGCAATTGCACCGCAGGAATCTGGACATTACCCTTGAGTATCCTCCATTGTACCCCAGGAATCTGTTAGTTTAGGCTGTGAATGTGTCAGTGCACCCCAAGAATCTGTCTATTTACCCACCAATCTGTGCCCAGCTCATTATACCCCACAAATCATTCTGAGACACTGAGAATCTGCCCTTCGTTTCTGATTCCTGCAGAATGATATCATGATATCACCCTCATCTATCACCCTCGGATGGCACAGGGGGATCTGAATGTCAATAACTGGGGATGAGTTAAAGGTTAAAATACAAAGTTCTAAAGTAAAGGTTGAAATTCAAACATTAATGACTTTTAGTGGAAATTCCTTATTTGGTGTTATGTGTTGACCAAGGCATATGAGTAAAGGTAGGAGGGCGTATGTATGAGTAACGGTAGGAGGAAGTATGTGAGAGTAACGGTAGGAGGGAGGATGTATGAGTAACAGTAGGAAGGAGTGTGTAAGAGTAACGGTAGGAGGGAGTGTGTATGAGTAACGGTAGGAGGGAGTGTGTGTGAATAACGGTAGGAGGGAGTGTGTATGAGTAACGGTAGGAGGGAGTGTGTGTGAATAACGGTAGGAAGGAGTGTGTATGAGTAACGGTAGGAAGGAGTGTGTATGAGTAACGGTAGGAGGGCGTATATATGAGTAACGGTAGGAGGAAGTATGTGTGAGTAACGGTAGGAGGGAGGATGTATAAGTAACGGTAGGAAGGAATATGTATAAGTAACGGTAGGAAGGAGTGTGTATGAGTAACGGTAGGAGGGAGTGTGTATGAGTAACAGTAGGAAGGAGAGTGTAAGAGTAACGGTAGGAGGGAGTGTGTATGAGTAACGGTAGGAGGGAGTGTGTGTGAATAACGGTAGGAAGGAGTGTGTATGAGTAACGGTAGGAGGGAGTGTGTATGAGTAACGGTAGGAGGGAATGTGTATGAGTAACGGTAGGAGGGAATGTGTATGAGTAACGGTAGGAGGGAGTATGTAAGAGTAACGGTAGGAGGGTGTATGTATGGGTAATGATAGATGGCGTATGGATGGTTAAGGAGAGATAAGCTAGTATAAAGTGAGTAGAAGAAGGTTGAGGAATGAAGTTGTAATTACTCACCATGATGGAATAGACAAATCCCACAATGTTGACCGGCCACATGGGGCAGAAGCAAGACAGGATGGCAATGAGAAGATAGTCTTTGGGCTTCTCTGCAGCAATACCGCTGGTCGTGGCTGTAGACCCTTGTCGACATATGCTGGGCCTCGGAGAGTTAGAGGCAGCTTGTGCCAGGCGGCCCTCAGAGCCAGTAAGGCTAGGGGCCCTGGGCCCCCCATTTGCAGCAGGCTGGGATTTCAAATCATTGAGAGAAGAGGATTTTGATTGGATGGTCACATCTGGTTCCTCTTGAGATCCTGTAGCTTCTGGAGGAGCCTCGGGTGAGTCAACTACCACCACCACAGAGGCAGAAACAGGTTCTGTGGGCTCAGGAGATGTCTGGGCCTCAGGGGGTGGCCCAGTATCCGCAGGAGGGGTGGCCATTGGTATGGGAGCCAGGGGTGTGAATGGAGGGAAATTGGAGAACAACTAGGGTTGATGGAGTCAGAATAGGGGAACTTAGGAGGGAGAGCAAGACCTGGATTCTGCAATGGAGGAGGAAGGAGAGAATTAGGAAACAGACAAGACACAGCACTCTCATATGTCAGTAATTAATGAGAACATAATTGATTCCTTCTGTTCAGACTATTTATTACATGAAGAGTTAAATAAAGACAAAATGTAATTAAAGGGACATTCCAAACACCGTAACCAATGCCGCTTATTGTATTATTATAGCCTAGTGTATTATAACAGCTCAGTGTCTGATCACAGCTCACTGTACCTTGCAGCTGATTGTATCAATAAAGTTTATTGTTGTACTACAGTTTAAATATTATTGCTATATATAATGTATTTTTATAGTTTAATCTGCAGCCACAACACAACCTACTGATAAAAACACTCCAATACAGTGAGGCTCAGTGCTAAGTGACCATCGAGATGTGGAGACACAAAATAAAATCAGATCAGCTAAAATAAGACCCAAGTGATGGAAAAAACATGATCAGGTGTGAGTGATCTACGGAGGATGAGAAGAGACTGTGTGGAAGGTAAGGGAACATTGGGGGGGACTGAGTATAGCGTAAAAGGAGAAGTGAGTGCAGTGTTACAGGGCTAGGATGGGTTTGGAGGGGAGAATGTGGGGACTGAGTACAGATCAGATATGTATTTTTACATACAGTCCCAAACCTACCTCTACCATTATCCTCAGTCCCTCCATGGAAGATATGTGAGCCTCCCTGGTTACAAGCTATGAGTATGGCAGCAGTAGATCACTAAACATATTGCATTGTATGGGCCTGGAGCTTCAGCTCCAATAGACCCTGTGTTCATCTGGGAGATCTGAGAGAGGAGCTTGATATCAATTGGTGATGGGAGGACCAGGTGCTGACAGATGGACACTTGGTGCTTAAAGTGGTGACTTGCTATCTGGGGAGTGTGTCAGAACTAACTAACATGGGGGGAACTAGGTGAAGGGTTAAAGGGAGACTAGACGCAACATTAAAGGGGGGCTTAGAGTGAAGACTTGGTGGACTAGGGGACTTGGTGTAGAGGGAGTTGGGGACACTAAGTGCTAATATAGGGGACTTGTTGTAGATTGAGTTGGGGACACTTGGTGCTGATAAAGGAGACTTGGTGTAGAGTGAGTTGGGGAACTTGGTGCAGAGGACGCTGGGGACACTAGGTGCTGAGTTAGGGGAGTTGGTGTTGAGGAAGTTGGGTACACTAGGTGCTGAGATAGGATACTTGGCGTAGAGGGAGTTGGGGACATTAGGTGCTGAGATAGGAGACTTGGTGTAGAGGGAGTTTGGGACATTAGGTGCTGAGATAGGAGACTTGGTGTAGAGGGAGTTTGGGACATTAGGTGCTGAGATAGGAGACTTGGTGTAGAGGGAATTTGGGACATTAGGTGCTGAGATAGGAGACTTGGTGTAGAGGGAGTTGGGAACACTAGGTGTTGAGATAGGAGACTTGGCGTAGAGGGAGTTGGGAACACTAGGTGCTGAGATAGGGGACTTGGTGTAGAGGGAGTTTGGGACTGAATATGCCCAATGCCATGGTGTATTTGGGTATCTGTGAATATATACATGTCTGTGGGTAACTCTCTGTATATTGTGTGTATAATAATATACGTGTGTGGCTCTGGGTAACTGTATATTTTGTGTGTATATTAATGTTTGTTTGTAGCTCTGGGTAACTATATTTTGTGTACATTAATTTGAAATGTATATTGTGTGTACAGTAATGTCAATATGCTGCTTCAAATGACAAACTTTGTGCGCTATACCTTTTTGATATATATTTTAATTAATTTTTCCACCCTCTGCAGCCGCACACATCTTGCCGTTTGTTCCATTACACATGGGATTGGCTTCCCCACTCAGAGCAGACCAGCACAGTGAACGCAGTGTGTACCGACCATCTGTGCACCCCTCTCTGGCTCCATCCTGAACATATATCATGCAGCCACCCCCCACCCCCCATTCACACACAGGCACCCACTGCAGTAACACATGGAGACGTGGATGGAGAACACAGCTGTCTACTAGCACATGCTAATGAGGATGTCGCTTTGATACATGCATGTTACATAGTGTACATACACACACACACAAACATTCACAAATACACACAAACCCCTGTCTATTGTGTGACACAGCGCCCCTCCCTACACAACTCATCTGGCAAACACACAAAGTGTGCCCCTCACCTCCTCTCCTTCCTTGCTCTCGCGCAGTCTCCTGGGGTGTTAGACAGGATGAGGGGTGTTAGATAGGATGAAGTCTCTGCACCCCAAAATCCAGTCCTAGAGAGGTCCGTCACCTGCCCACCCCCGACACCAAGCAAGCAGCGTGTCTGGCTGTGAAGATGCTGTGTCTTGATTCTCTTCCCCTCCCTTTCTCTCACTCTCCCTCTCTCACAGCATCCCTCCCTCCCACTCTCACTCCATCTCACTCTCCGAGCATCCCTCCCTCCCATTCTCACTCCATCTCTCTGCTCGAAAAGATGCTCACAGAAGATACCCCCCCTTCACCCACGCCCAGTGCTAACCCTAAGCATCTCCTTGACACCTTGCACTTTCACGACTATTCCAACACAGACCGTAACCACCCTCTGCTATTCCAACACAAACATTAGCCATCCTCTGCTATTCCAACACAGACCGTAACCACCCTCTGCTATTCCATCACAGACCGTAACCACCTTCTGCTATTCCAACACAGACCGTAACCACCCTCTGCTATTCCATCACAGACCGTAACCACCTTCTGCTATTCCAACACACAACCTGATCACCCTCTGCTATTCCAACACAGACCGTAGCCATCCTCTGCTATTCCAACACAGACCGTAACCACCCTCTGCTATTCCAACACAGACCTTAGCCATCCTCTGCTATTCCAACACAGACCTTAGCCATCCTCTGCTATTCCAACACAGACCGTAGCCATCCTCTGCTATTCCAACACAGACCGTAGCCATCCTCTGCTATTCCAACACAGACCGTAACCACCCTCTGCTATTCCATCACAGACCGTAACCACCTTCTGCTATTCCAACACACAACCTGATCACCCTCTGCTATTCCAACACAGACCGTAACCACCCTCTGCTATTCCAACACAGACCTTAGCCATCCTCTGCTATTCCAACACAGACTGTAGCCATCCTCTGCTATTCCAACACAGACCGTAGCCATCCTCTGCTATTCCAACACAGACCGTAACCACCCTCTGCTATTCCAACATAGACCTTAGCCATCCTCTGCTATTCCAACACAGACCTTAGCCATCCTCTGCTATTCCAACACAGACCGTAGCCATCCTCTGCTATTCCAACACAGACATTAGCTACCCTCTGCTATTGCAACACAGACCCTAACCACCCTCTTCTATTCCAACACAAACATTAGCCATCCTCTGCTATTCCAACACAGACCGTAACCACCCTCTGCTATTCCAACACAGACCGTAACCACCCTTTTGCTATTCCAACACAGACCGTAACCACCCTCTGCTATTCCAACACAGACCGTAACCACCCTCTGCTATTCCAACACAGACCGTAACCACCCTCTGCTATTCCAACACAGACCGTAGCCATCCTCTGCTATTCCAACACACAACCTGATCACCCTCTGCTATTCCAACACAGACCTTAGCCATCCTCTGCTATTCCAACACAGACCGTAACCACCCTCTGCTATTCCAACACAGACCGTAGCCATCCTCTGCTATTCCAACACACAACCTGATCACCCTCTGCTATTCCAACACAGACCTTAGCCATCCTCTGCTATTCCAACACAGACCTTAGCCATCCTCTGCTATTCCAACACAGACCTTAGCCACCCTCTGCTATTCCAACACAGACCTTAGCCATCCTCTGCTATTCCAACACAGACCGTAACCACCCTCTGCTATTCCAACACAGACCGTAACCACCCTCTGCTATTCCAACACAGACCTTAGCCATCCTCTGCTATTCCATTACACAGCCAATCCACACTGTTTCCCCTGCTGACCCCCCACTATCTCACTCTCTGCTATTCCATTACCTAGCCAACATACACCATATCTCCTGCTAATCATCCATCTCACTCAGCACTCCCTGCTATTCCATTACACAGCCAACATACACTGTATTTCCTGCTAATCATCCACTATCTCACTCAGCACTCGCTGCTATTCCATTACACAGCCAACATACACTGCATTTCCTGCTAATCATCCACTATCCCACTCAGCACTCCCTGCTATTCCATTACACAGCCAACCCACACTATATAACCTGCTAATCATCCACTATCTCACCCTGCACCCCCTCCTATTCCATTACACATCCCTGCACACATGCTATTCCATTACACATACATGGTTAGTCTCTACTATTCCAATAGGTCTGCATGCAGTGTCAGTCTCTGCTATTCCAGTAGTTCTGGATGCAGTGTTAGCCTCTGCTATTCCATAGTTCTGAATGCAACACTAGTCTCTGCTATTCCAGTAGTTCTGGATAGAGTGCTAGCCTCTCTGCTATTCCAGTAGTTCTAGATGCAGTGTTAACCTCTCTGCTATTCCAGTAGTTCTGGCTGCAATGCTAGTATCAATTCCAGTAGTTCTGGATGCAGTGTTAGCCTCTGCTATTGCAATAATTCTGGATAGAGTGCTAGCCTCTCTGCTATTCCAGTAGTTCTGGATGCAGTGTTTGCCTCTCTGCTATTCCAGTTGTTCTGGGTGCAGTGCTAGTCTCTGCTATTCCAGTAGTTCTGAATGCAGTGCTAGTCTCTAGCATTCCAGTAGTTCTAAATGTAGTGCTATTCTCCCTACTATTCCAGTAGTTCTGGATGCAGTGTTAGTCTCTGCTGTTCCAGTAGTTCTGGATGCAGTGCTAGTCTCTCTGCTATTCCAGTAGTTCTGGATACTGTACTGGTCTCTCTGCTA